AATCATTAGGTGGCTTTGATGAAAATTTACTGTGGAAAATGTCATATGAAATACAAAACCGGGAATATCTGCGAAACCGTTAAAAATTTTGAAACACTCTAAATACAAAAAATGTTGATTTTTTAATTCTCCATCTATTGAAAAAATAATATACAGGGTGTTCCATTTAAAAAAACGAAGAAAAGTTATTTTATATTTTAGAAAGTTTGGCGTAGAATTTTGAACATCCTGTATGATTGACGATTTCCATATTTATAGCAAAGTAAGAACGGATCATCTAAAGTAAATATCTAATATAGTTTTGATTTCAGAACAGTTCTTGTATTATTAATAATTTTTTTAAGAAAGGCTGAAAAATACATAATTTTTATTTATTTATTAATATCTCTAAAATTATCGAAATATATTTACTCATGTCTTAGGATTATGTAAAGTGATCTAAAAAGAAGCCAAAAATGCAATAATATACAGGGTGTTCCATTTAAAAAAAATCATCCCGATCCACTCACACTTTTTTGAGCCACCCTATAAAAGTTAAAATATTTTCCTGAAACACATCCTAGTATATAATTTAGTTTTGCACTTAAACAAAATTTTTAAGTTCTTTATTCTAGGAGCTACAGATGCCCGACGCACTATTGCCGGACCCTGTATAAAATCGTTAAGTGACTGACTCACTGATTAATCACGATCCTGCTCAAATCACTCAACGTAAGAAGCTCAATTTTGGCAAACAGGTTGATTCTAGGGTGTAGAGGTTCGATAAGAAGGGATTTTTCGAAATTCCAGTTCCAAGAGGGTGAAACCACCCCTCAAATATTACAATATTTTTTATTTAAAAAACGGTCAAGTTTCCGAAAAAACGCTTAAAAACGTATATTTTATTTTGTCTTTTTACGTATTTTAAGATTTTTTAAAAATGTATACAGGGTGTTTCGAAAAATCTGGTCATTGATTAATCACGATCCTGCTTAAAGCGCTTGACGTAAAAAGCAGATTTTTGGAAAACGAATTCACTTTAGGGTGTAGAGGTTCGATAAGAAGGGATTTTTCGAAACTCGAATTCTAAGGGGTGTGAAACCACCCCTCAAATATTAGAATATTTTTTATTTAAAAACCGGTGAGTTTTTCGGAAAAACTCTTAAACACGTATATTTTATTTTGTTGTTTAACATATTTTTAGATTTTTTAAAAATTTATACAGGGTGTTTAACAAAATATGACCATTCTGCTTAAACTGCTTGACGTTTAAAGCTGATTTTTGGCAAACGGATTGACTGTGGGGTGTAGAGGTTCGATAAGGAGGGGTTTCTCGATTGTTTTTTCTCATGCTGACATAAATCTGAGAAAATTTTATTCAGTTTGTATGTTAATGGAAATTCTTGCTTTGCTTTATCATCACCATTACAAATGATTAATTCGACGCGAACGAAGTCGCGGGTACACGCTAGTTTTACATAAAAACTTCATTATTTCAAATGTAACACTCTAAATAAACACTCTAAATACTAAGTATTTTTTAATGTAAGTCGAAGCAAATTGAAATGCCCTTTCAAACGGTATTACGGTTTCCTATACTTATCAGGTTCAGATTTTGAAGAAAGAGCGATGTTTCAATAAAATGGCAACCAGAGGGCTAGTGTTGTCAAGGCACTTTTCTAGTGACAGTAGTTAGTTTATTTAGCTTTTTATCTGCTTCTAGTTATCTCAGTAGAGGGTGTTGCATTTGAAATCACGAATATTCCATGTAAAATAAATATTTAAAATAGACCAGCAATTCTTGATACCCCTGTATACATTTAAGGAAGCAATAAAAAATTTTAGTAAAGTTTATTTCTCTGGCTTCAAAGTCAGCACAAGATTGTTGAACTTGAAGAGTGTTGACAATATTTTCTATTATAACATGCATATGTAAATATCTCAAAAACCAAAGTTTTTAAACATAACCGAGGCGAATGAGGTGCGTCACCCTGTATAGTTGATTTTTTAAAGATTCTGTTTTATTTACAGTGCATTTTTTGAAACTTTTCATAATTAATTAATTAATTATTTAATTTAGTATCTTTGTATCTCTCATAACTGAAATACGAAAATGCATAAATTATTCAAAATGAACAATTTGCTTCAATTTAAGGAGTTTTTTAAAACGTTTCAAATAAAATAGAATGGTATACTTTTATCATCATTTTTCTATGTTCAGATCGGCGCTGTAACACACGGTATATAAAATTCTCTTAAAAAGAGTATTGACGTAACTATTTGTGACTGTATAGAAGTGAAATCGCATTTTATGTAAAAATAATGCGTCGATATTCGACTATGACTATATTTACGATAAAATATAGGCAAGACCCTATTTTTAACGATTGTCTCAACGGTTTTTAGGTAGTTTGTTAGTTTTATGTTATTAATACACGCGAACTCATGAAAAAAAATCGATTTGAACAGTAGAGGGGTTCCACAGTTACCTTATGCCATCATCATCAATAAAAGATCGAAATAAAATAGAAAAAATGATTTATTTTTATCCCATAAATTTTATTTAACCATAACACCAAGTTTATCTGTCTACGTTTTCAATAAACAAAAATATATCTAATCGAAAAAGCCTAAAAAAAGTCTAAGAGCGACCAAACTGACACCATGGGAAGCTATTTTTTGACAGTTTTGTTGACGTATTGTTTGATACATTTGAAGTTTTTGTTGGATTTTCCTGGGTTTATTTTATATTATATCTTGTCTACTTATACTGGGTGAGTTTTCTACAATGTTTCGGAAACTACTGGAGCTAGAGAGTCGGTCAAATGGGGAAAGATTTGCAGTGTTGTGAAGACAAATATATACGCCTTTCTAATTTTTGAAAAAGTTTATGGCTTACTAGATATTTCGAAAAAAAACAATTTCGGTTATTTTGAAAATGCTCCCAATTTCATTATAATCCATTTACGACGCGCTGGTGATTATCAGGTCCTTTCCGTATATTCTATATTTTTACTAGCCATATATCACAGGATTTAATAACTTATTGCCCTGTACAGTTTATACATTTTGTAGGAACCAGTTGGATACCTACTATAATATTGTAAAATCCTAAAATTGACGCTTAAATATTTTTTATCCTGGACCCTTCATAATATGGAACACACATAATTCGAAATACAAAATTAGTTAAAGAAGATCAATCTCTAGCTTAATCTGAGTAAAAATACTAGCGTTAGGCATTAATGTGTCTTGTTTTTTAATTCCGGGTGCAACTTTTTCTAAAAATTAATTTAAATTAAATCTAATTTATTAGGCGTAGATGCAACCTATTTTTTTGGCTCTAGGATCTCATAAAAAAAACAGGGGAAACATGAAGGCACCCTGTGTAATATTCAAAGTGGACTCTACTACTGAGAGATGGTGGAGGACTGTCGGGCTGAGCAAAGTCAGAAAGCTAAGAAAAACTTTAAAGAATCCATTTAGATGGAAAGGAAATACTGCCATCATAGGAAGTCAAATATCTGGGAATAACTCTGGACAGTAAATTTCTCTGGAACAGGCATATTAAGAACATTACCAGCAAAGCCACAAAGGCTTTCGTGATATGCAGAAGACTGGCGGGAAATAGATGGGGCTGAGCCCCCAACATTTTGCGCTGAATGTATACCATGATAGTAAGACCCATGATTACTTACGGAGCAGTTGCTTGTTAGACAAAACTAGAGCAACGCACAGCAAGGCAAAACCTGTGCAAAGTTCAGAGACTGACATGCATGTGCATCACAGATGCCATGACAACAAACTAAGAATGGAGGTCGTCCTGGACCTAACACCACTGACCACTGCACATTGTCATCGTTAGATATACCAATGATTAGAACGGTCATTGACGGAAACAGTACTGGGAGAATTTTCAGATCAGGGGCTTGGGATCCCCTTAAAAAGAAAATTCTACTCCTCCAACTCTCAGTGGATGACATACCAAGAATGTACAACTTCGACAAAGATCTCCCCGTAGTATTAAACAATAAAAATAATTGGAAGAGAGAAACGTTTGCTCAGCATGTAAAAGATCATACCATAACGTTGTATACTGATGCTTCCAAAACCAAAGCAGGGACAGGGATAGTTTTTTTAGTGGGAGGGGTAACCCTCCTTCTTTTAGGCAGAAAGCTACGCTATCGAAAGATGCGTACAATTTATCTTAGATAGGAACGGGCAAACAAGAAATAGTCATCTTATCTGATAGTCAAGCAGCAGTTAAAGTGACCAACTCAATAACTATCTATTCGAAGTTGGTTAAATAATGCCTAGAGAAGGTGAACAAATTACGCAAAGAAGATAAAGTCCTCCTACTCTGGATGCCCGCTCATCAAGGGATAGAAGGCAATGAAAAAGCAAACGATCTAGCTAGAAAGGGAGCGAACACTCCACTAACTGGACTAGAACCGTTCTGCTTTCCAAGCGGAAACCAACTTAAAGCGGAACTCTGGAACCTGGATTTAGGTAAGAACGATCTTCGGATTGTCACGGGGTTTCTAATAGGATACCAGGACACTGTCTCCTCAACGAACAACTCAGTATATTGAAGCTGATGTCGGAGATGGGGAGCTGGCCTCTGTGGAGCGGTCCCAGAAACTTGCTTTTGTAAAAGCCCTGAGACTGTATGACGAGTTAATACTAAAGAAAGGGGAACACACAATAGATCTGTAAGGTCGCAGTGATTATCCCCCCCCCCTCCTAAACATTCTACATTCTAGGATCTAAGAACTAAATCTAAATCTATATTTTAATCCGTTTTAAATAAAATTAGAACGCCACCAATATGCCGGAATTTAAATCAGCCGTAATAAAACTCCATGACATTGCGATAATTTTGTTAATATGCTCCTTCTGTGCTCTTTTTATTCAATTTTTGCCCTTTGTTTACTGTGTTGCAGCGATTTCAATTCTTTGTAGCTGATTTCATATATTTTTTGCATTTAAACGTATTATTAATCTTTATTTTACATTTCTAGCGCATCACGATCAAAAAGCGCTTCACGAAAAACTGGAAACTACCAAACGCGAGCTTGAGGATGAGAGAGAAAACCTGGAAAGGTTAAAACGAGACGCGAACAGTAGATTTGACCAAGACAGAGTGTGCATCAATCAGCTCAAAGATGAACTGAACAAATTCAAGGCGAGATATTTTTAAAACTATTTTTAAGGTATTTTTTAATAAAATTTCTACCCTCAGGCGAGATTGGAAGAAGCCAAGACCAGAAACGAAGAGGACAGGATTAGTTTGCAGCAGAGAATTGACGAAATTCGCTTGGAAAGAGACAATGCACAAAACGAAGTGGAAAATTTGAAAGTTCAATTGCACCTGTGTGAAGACAAAGGGGAAAGCATCAGTAATTTGTTACATGAGACAACAAGAAAGCTTAAAGAAGGTATAAAATTCATTTGTTATTTTTATATCCATTTATCGGACGTTTTCATATAATATAACCGTCGGATTTACACTTGAGGTGAAACTATCTTTCATTATAATTCCAAGAATAAAGCAAGAGGTGTTTTTGCTTTTCAACTAGATGGAAAATAGCTTTACCTTTTCAATTGCACATTTAAATTCCACTTGCAGTTAAGGCGTTTTTCCTTAACACTACAGTCTAGATCAGGGTTGCCACCTTTTGTATTTAAAAAATCGGGACAGCACTAGTGCAACCTTTTTTCTTAAATGTCAAATTTTTATGTGCCATCGGATTTTGAAACAATATTTTATGCCTTTTTGCGTTAACTTAAATATTCGAAATTTATAAATAATTATGTAAAAATAAAAAATTAAAAGTGAATTTAAATTAAGTTAATTTATTATTGCAACAGAATATTTAGTAAATTAAAAACACTTCAGACTATATTCATTTATCTTCAAAAATAAATACGCCTAGATAAATGAAGCATTAATTATTTTTACTGCATTTTCACAAAAGTTTAAATACAAGCAGTAATGTTGAAGTACAGCATACGTTAATTAAATTTGCCTTTTTTTGATAGTAGATACTAAAAATGTTTAATATTTGTTTGTTTATTTTTTTATTATTGTTTTATGTAGAGTGTTCCTTTTAAAAAATAGAACTTTTTTAGTAGGTCCCTACTTAAATGTTTTTTTTTATTTATTTGGGACACTCTACTTTATGAAGATACTTTTTAACTTTAACTCATTCAACTATAATATTGTGTTAAATGTGGAATGACGTGAATAAGTCTTAATTTCTTTTAATTAAAATTATTTCATTTATTATAAATATTTTTTTTAATCATTTAATTATATTACAAAGAAAATATTATACTTGATACAGCAGAGTTTTCTAAAAATTTAAATTTATTTTTTTCAGCTGAAAATAATGGTGAATGTATGAGAAAAGAATTGACAGATGTCAGACGATTGCTGGCGGACAGCAACTTCGAAAAAGAAAAGTACCACAACATCAACAAGGAATTGAGAGATCACATCAAACGAACTGAAAGTGAAAAGCGTGAACAAAGCAGACAGATTGAAGAGGCCTATCAGAAAATAGCAAGTAAGATATACCGGATGTTGCCAAAATAAGTACAAATATTTTAACTTTAATATATTTCGGTCCCACTTAGAAACACGCCTACGAGATAAAAATGACGTATTTTTCAATTTTAATGCTTGTTAGAAATTCGTTTAGCAACGTTACCACTTCGCATATGAAGTTATGGACTACCTTAATTGTTGCTCGTCAACCGTAAAAGTCACATAGTTGAATAAGGATGTTAACTATGGCGTGTAGAGTTAAGGAGAAATATATTCGTGCATTAAAAATGGTCATAAAAGGGGAAGACTTAAGATGGCGCTGCTGTAGCAAAAACCTAAAATTAAAAATATGCGCCGAACCTTTTTAAAACAGGAAATGATTAAAGAGAGATAAATATTTGACGTGAAGGCGCGGGTTTCAAAAAAATACAAATTTTATTTTCATGTCACATGAAATAAATTATCGATTATATTCAGCAGCAATAGACTGGACCTCTAATATACAGGGTGGTCCGAATTGTATTCCGGAAACTTCGACAGCATATTCTGCAGATAAAAATAAGTAAAAAAGTTCGTATAAATGTATATCCTAAAATGCTTAGTTTCGGAAATACAGGGGGTTTCGATTTTTTCCAAATAATTTATGAAGTAACGTCAATATTTGGATGAAAATTGGTGCCTGGGAGTTTTTTGATATGAGAAATTTGATTTTGATGTCAATATGACTTCTACTTGTAGAGGGCGCCACCTACATATTTGTTAACTGCTTCGAAGAGTAATAACTTTTCGTCCGTTCCTGTATAAAACTACTGAGTAAAAAAATATTCATTTACGAAGTTTTTTACGTAAAAAATGTCTCTTGGTAAAACTCGCTACGAGTAATGGTTCTCGAGATATTTGGAATCGAAATTATCAATACCTATCATCATTGACATAAATTAAACATGTTGACTAATAGACTAAAATCATAAATTTGAAATGTTTTTGTGCCAAAAGTTTAACAGAAACTGTTTTATCATCATTTTTTCGCAGAAAAGTTTATGATTAATTAAAAAAAATAAAAATTTCCCAAATTTATTATTTCAGTCAAGTAACTATCTACTCAAACGTGTTTATTTTTTGTCAATAATGACACGTACTGAATATTTTCATTCTAAATATCTTGAGAACGGTTGCTCGTAGCGATTTTTACCAAGAGACATTTTTAACGTAAAAAGTCACAAAAATGTATATATTTTCACTCCCTAGTTTTATACAGGTACGGACGAAAAGTTATTACTCTTCAAAACAGTTAAACCACACGTAGGTGGCGCCCTCTACAAGTAGGCTTGCGTTATTCTTGTTGTTATATTGACATCAAAATCAAATTTCTCATGACAAAAAACTCCCACGCACCAAATTTCATCCAAATATTGACGTTACTTCATAAATTATTTGGAAAAAGTCGAAATAAAAATTTAACTACTACACCCTGTATCTCCGAAACTAAGCATTTTAGGACGTACATTTATACGAACTTTTTTACTTATTTTTATCAGCAAAATATGCTGCCGAAGTTTCCGGAATGCAGTTGGGACCACCCTGTATAAAAATAATTGTTTTATATTCTAAAAAATAAAAACAAAGTTTTTTGGGGTAATGTTTGGTTATGTTACTTTTATTCTCTTATCTATGGTTACTTTTCATTTTTTAGATTTATCATATACATATAACTATATGAAAAAGAAAGAAATAGTGAGGGAAATGTATAAAAAAGAAGAAAAAAGATTAAACGGCTCAGCCCTCAACAACTCGTAACCGTATACACCAGTGCAGACAAACTCAGCCTAATCTCTAAAAAGTGAAGCCCAAACAGTGAAAGAGAAATATGGAATTCTGCATAAGTCTATTTCACCCGGATATTCATTTAACTGCGCATGCCTTACATGAAGAAGTTTTCATTGGTCCGTGTTTTTAAAAGGAAGTGGTTGACTGACATATCACTTAACCTTCAATATTATTTATATTTTTATTATTTATAACACATTATCATGGAGTTGGAAAAATATCAAAAAATAGTTGGAAACAATAAACTAAACAAAATCACTCTTCTACGCGTACAAATAAAAAGTAATCCAAACAGAACTAAAACAACAATCAATCGGAGTTTGGCGCAATCGCAGTTCAATCGATATCCGGGTGAAATAGACTTATGCAGCATTAATATGGAGCTGAGTTATGTTGTCTTTTTCTTACGACACGGAAACAGCACACGGGGTTAAATAGGGAACACTGAGTATATAAAGTATAAAGTTATATGTATATGAGATTTATGCATAATTAGCGCCACTGTGGTTATTTGGTGAACCCTTATTCTTCCCATTTTTTTACCACTTTTTCAAATAAAGTCCCGTAAGAGATATTTCTCCTCATCTCTACTCTCCATAATGTTAACAAAACTTCTATTGAAAAGTAAAACCAAAATATAATTTTTGTTGATAAATTATAAATAATGAACATATGATTAACCTAAAATAAAATCTGACGGATTATTTACAGCAATTTTAATATACAGTATGTCCCCGGATTGTCTTTACAAGAGGAAAAACTTCTTTTTGTTATTAAAATTTTGAGAAAAAAGTATTCTTCATTAAACGCTACTTGTTCTAAAATTGTTAATCCCGTTTATATTGTTCCAAATTTTAATTCCGTTTTAGAGAAAATGAAAAGTCCTAAAAATCAAAAAGCGTTTCTATGTTAATATAATTTTGGTTTCATTCTTTGATAGATATTTTTTATTAATGTAGATTAAAGTCATATTTTTGCTGTTGTTTAAGTATCACATTTTTCGATAACTACTATCGTCCCTTCCCTAGCATTAAATTAAATAAATTTTGTGCTTCCTTAACAGTTTAAAACAGCAAAAAATATGATGTTAATTAAATTTATATCAATAACAATAAATATATCAAAGAATGAAAATTAAATTACATTACCATAAAAAAGCGTTTTGATTTTTAGGACTTCATTCAACCATATCTCCAAGGTTTTTTTTTAATTTTCTCTAAAACGGTATGGAAATTTGGAAAAATATAAACGGGATTAACCATTTTAGAACAAATAAAAGTTTTTTTTATGAAGAATGCATTAGTCGCAAAAAGTCATTAACAAAAAAGTTTTTCCTCTTGTATGCGGGACATACTGTAGAAATGAAATAAGTTCTGATTAAAAAGTGCTCATTTAAACTACATTTTAGTACTCAAAATTAGTGGTTTTATCAGCGCCATGGCACTCTAGATTGAAATTTAAATACATTTTTCGAAAGTGTCAAAAGTTGACATATAATATGTCGTTCTATCACGGCATATAAATCAATCGGCAGGCTAACTCGCTTTGGCGGGAACGCTACGTGCATGTCCTCGCGCACGCCGCCATTTGCATTTCCATCAGCAGAAAGTAACCAGTGTCGTAGTTTTTTAAGAGTTTTTTCAGCGACAACACACAGTTACGGCAGATTCGAGTCAGTAGCGTGCGGCTTAATTTATTTTGATTTTTTCTTGAGTGATATATTTTGTTTTTGTTGTTTTATTTTTGTTTATTATGTGATATATTTGGTTTTTCTAGTTTTATTTTCGTTTCTTATGTAATATGATTTGTTTTAGTAGTTTTATTTTTGTTGTTCAATAAAAGTTTCTTTCTGTTTCCTAGAGATCCTATTAGGTATGTACATATGTGATTAATTATTTTAACATATTTTAGTTGTGAAAAAAACAGTAGTATACATATTAGGACATTCAGCTAAATAGGAAGACCTAATTAAAAATCTTAACAAACTTTAATATTAGTAAGATTTAATGTTAAATATTTAGTAAAATTTAATGTTGTATCTAGACATTAAAAATTAAATTTAAAAATCATTATATTATTAATTTAAATATAATTATAAAAGTAAATAAAATCAGTATATCGAAAATAAGTTAACAATACATTTTGAAGATATAAATAAGGCCCATAAAAGTTGTCTTCTGTTCATTTTGAATTTAAAATGTTTACCAATTCACTTTGTAACCGTATAAAATACAATGCGGTACCTACTTTGTTTCCTGCCATGAAAAAAAAATAGAAGTTTCCAAAAAAATTGTGGATTTGTTAATTTGTGAAATTTGAATATTAATAAAATTTGCTACGCCTGTTGATGGGCATAATTTGTACGTAGCCTCTTTATATTATTCAATAAATATTTTATTGGTATTTCTTTAATTCTTGTTTGTAACTCCTGGCATGTTTTTGTTAGTTGCATGTTTTTAATTTTAATTGTCTATTCTCTACAGTGAAATATTTAATTGGTTTTTTCATTTTTACTTTTCGAGAAGTATACGCGGTTAACGAATCATTTGTTTGGACAAAAGTATTGTGTAAATAAAATTCAGTTTCAGTCAATTACAGTATTTTTTTTTAATACGACCCTGTCGTATTTTCTGAGAAAATTTTTTTGATACGTTTTAATCCGGCCCTGAGTAGGAAACGATAATGGCGCTGTCAAGGTCAAATTTTATAGAAATTTAAAACAATGGAATCTGAGCAGAGTTAGCCTGCTGTGTGATTTATATGCCGTGGTTCTATTCCGGTGAAACAGAAAGCGACTGAAACTAACTGAATACGTCAATCAGTTCTGATTTATGTCATATGCATACCAAATCTTGTTTTTTATCTGAAAAAAAAATTGGCGCCGGGAGGCTCGTATAGCCGCCCATACTAAAATATGTTAATAAAAAGTTGGTAGGCAGTTCTTTTAGTTTCAAAGTAAAGGAATTTTTCCAATTTTGGTCCGTTTTGATCCGCCATCTGGGGTCGCGTCCGATGGGAGTTTGGAGTTTTCCACACGGATTATCTTTTTTTTGTTTTTTTTTTGGCTTTATCTCAAAAACTACGGCTCCGACACACTTTGATGTTATCTTAAGTTTTGTTTAAAATATATTTCCGTACATAACAGTGAAAACCGCGTTTTCCTAGCTGTTTTGTTTCTGAGTCATAATTTTTTAAACAATATTTCATTTTTTTTTATCTCAAAAACTGCGACTTTGACTGATTTTGATGGTATTACAAATTTTGTTGCAAATATTATTCCTAATCTTAAATTGAAAACCGCGTTTCGCTAGCTACTGTAATTTTGGAGTTACGATTTTTAAAATTTTTAACCCCCTCCCATACCCCCTTACCAACCCCCCACCCCCACCAAAAACTAATGGCCAGATTCTCGGGTGCCACAGTATTTTTGTGCCAAATTTGGTTAAAATCGGTTTAGCGGTTTTTGAGTTCGTGTTACAGGCAGATGGACAGACAGACAGACAGGTACCATGAAAATGTTTATTAAAATATTAAAATGGTAATTTATGACCCAAATAACTAATTTTGAGTGAAATTAAAAAAAACTTTTTTTCTGCCGATCTTAATAGCCTACCATACCTGTTGGTATGGTCGGCTAAAAAAAGTTATTGGAGTAAGTAATTAGATTATATCAGCATATTTCATTTTATTTTATATAAAAACAGGTACCAAAAATAAGCAACAAATAACATTTTAAAGCTAACAATCTATCACTAATTTTAATTTGGATTTTGGAAAAGCCTATCTTAGTGCGAAAATACGCTGCCAACGAGCAAGTACGCTTCAATCCGCAATACGCTATACGTTGTATGTGCGGCCGCATAGGTTTACCTTAATGCATTTGAATAACCTACTGATTCTTACATATAGCCTACATATAATTGATACCAAATAAACTTTTAGTTACCTCATCGAGGGCGCGATTATTAAATTCATTTTGCCAACCATGGACATATTCGGCGCCGGGCTGACTAACTGGAATTTCCAGCTGGTGATTCAGGTTGTAGCTCTTTGTGAAAATATCAAATTGCCACATTTATTTATTTCTTGACATTTTTATTCGTTTTGAGGCTTTAGTTTTGTATTACGAGTTTTTGGTTTAAGTGAATTGTGTTGTAATACTTTACTCTTAATTTTTTTATTAGTTGACCTTGCATCCGAAAATTGTTCTTTCTAGAACTGCTTGTAGCGCGAAGTGTACAAGATGCTAAAGCACCTTAACAGCCGCAAAAATACTTATTAGAATATTTTGAACAGGAAACGGTAATAATGGCCCTTTAAATTCCTTAAGTGCTGTTAAGGAGGTGAGTTTTTTTATATAAATAATAACTGTTTATATACCGGGTGCGTCTCAAAAGTGGATCACCCCTATAACTTTTTTATTTTTTCAGATAAAATAACGAGATTTGGCATGTTAGTATATGACATAAATTAAGATTGATTAGCGCATTCAATTGTTTTTGGTCACTTCCTGTTTCACCGGAAATGTCTACAACTTTTGATTCTTGAATGACATATCATATGTTAACTTTTAACATTTTCGCATATGGTTCTAGAGTGTGGTAAGTGTGTGTCGTAAAAAATGCTATGCTAATGAGCCACCCTTGTTCCAAGCCAAACCAACCTAACCTAACCCTTGTTCCATTTGAAAAAATTGAGATGTGATTAAAAATACGATTTGATACGAGCATTTTCTAACTGGCCAGGACAAGACACTAAAAACATTAGATGATCAAATCTATTTTTCCAAGGCTCCTTGATTAAGGATTAGTGTTTTTAACATAGCCATGGCACTCTAGATATGTCATTTTGTTAAGAATGTAATTTTCTATCGAATAAAGTAAAAAAATACGGAGGGTTCCATTTAAAAATCAAAAGTTGTAGACATTTCCGGTGAAACAGGAAGTGATAATACGTTAATCAGTCCTAATTTATGTCATATACTAACATACCAAATCTCGTTTTTTTTTATCTGAAAAAATAAAAAAGTTATAGGGACTATTTATTTTATCTGAAAAAATAAAAAAGTTATAGGGACCACTTTTGAGACGCACCCGGTATTTATAATTAATTCATTTTTGTTTCCTAAAATATTTTGATTAAAATAAAATATGTAAAAGTCGGCAACGCTTTTCCGGTCAAGCTTAATCACGTGACTAAAAGTTTATTTGGTATGATCTATACATATATCATTAAAATTGATTCATTTGATAAAACTATTTCTTGAATTAGTAAGTATTTTGGTTTGCTTAAAATTACTGTATGGTCTTTAAAAAATATAACTTTTAAGTATATTAATTAGAAAAACAACTAAATCACTACGGTTTTGTTAAAATTATGGACGGGTTTCATTGGTATTCCTTATCCCAATCCTCTTCAGCAAAATTGATTTCCTTGCCGTGATCGATGTGAGTTGGCACGTCTTTCCAGTCATTTCCTCGTCCTGACATGTCATAATCCTGTTTGAACTTGAACGCATTGTCTCGCGAGGCGCACGCCACCATATGCCTAACAATACATTGGAAAAAAAAATCATTTATACGTGTTTATGTTTTAAATTGATATCTACTATTTTATTTTGAAAAATATCCATAATATAATTTGTGTGTTTTGGTTTGGTTTGGATATAGACGAAAACTAATATTGGTGTCTAAAGCTCAATTTTTATCAAAAACATGATGGTGAAAACCCCACATCGATATCTGTTACCGTCTATAAGTTACTATAGTCTATAAAACAGTAGACAGTTATTTTTTACCAACATGGCAAATATATAATCCCTCTGTCAAAAAAGTTACTGATATTCTTTAAACTGAGTGCCTGAACGAATCAGATAGGTAACTCTTTTTACTTTCGTGAAATAGAAAAGGAAAATAATAAAACAAGTGACAGTTCTTCCTCTTCTTGCAAAAATCAACACGAAATGTCATAATTGTCAAAAGTAAAATGTCATCAGCTTTTGACATTTCTAAAAATCAGACCAATGCCGTCTCTAATAGAACAGCCTCAAAGAGAGATTTATGACGTCACGCTAGTTAGATACTACGGATTAATAAATATGTTGTAGAATACATGGAAAATATAATAATAATTATTCGTATTTTTGGTTTGTATTTTAAAAATGATATAGTTTACATGACTTTAAAAACATTTTTTTGCGATTAGTAGAGATTGAATGTTTTTTTGTTAAATTAGATCAATTTTCAAACCCCAAAATTTAAAATTTATTTTACATTTTACCCATTATCTTATGTACCTATTCATTATTTGTATATTGTAAAATATTTGCTGCATTTGTATCGTTCATAGTTTATTTGCCAAAGTATTTATTATTATAAATAGGTATATATATTGTATTTATTAACTGTATATTATATTATGTATATTTCATGTAAACTATATCATGTTTAAAATACAAACCAAAAATACGAGGAATAATTATGTTTTCCATATATGGCTACAACATATTTATTAATCCGTAGTATCTAACTAGCGTGACGTCATAAATTTCGCTCCGAGGCTGTTCTATTAGAGACGGCATTGCGTCAGCATGGCCGCAAGTTGCTAACCTAATAAAATTAGCACTAGAAAAACCCGCGGAAACTGTCAAATTCAAAGTTATTCGTTTCACAGACTATACTATGAGTTTGTCAAAAATGTGCATTTTTAACAAATCGCTGTAACTTTTTTGCTATGGAAAATTTTGTATTTTTGTAAAAACATTTTCAAAGCACCTTTTTACGTAGAATTTGATGGTTTAAGTATAATTTTTTTTAAATTAATAATTTGAGAGTTATAAACAGAAAAAATGATTTTTTACACCCTGTATATTTTTAATTATGTGAAAATAATTTAAAATTATCTATCAAAAAATATAGCACCCTTGGTATTTTGTTATAGTTTTCTTATACAGAATTTTTAAAAGTTAGCTACTTTTAACTAGTAGGCTTTGGACCCCTTATTGATGATCCCCCCCTAATAGAACTCCAAAACATATTTTCCAGCAAGGCGAGGTACCGCGTCAGAACGCTGAAGTTGTCAGCAAATTTTTGCAACCAATTTCGCGAATAATTGAATAGCTAACCAAGATCACAACCGTTGACCGTCGCGGCTACCGGACTTAGTGCCTGTTATCTTTAGTGGATTTTTATCTTTGCGAAAGAAGGTTTCAGAAGGAAAAATGCCCGTATACCAGACAAGAACTAGAAGTAGTTAGCGGTTATGCCAGGGGAATCTTTCACCCTCACTGAGTTAATGATTTCCGCGAGAAATGTTCAAAAACGGCCCAGTCTGTCCATAACAAAAGGCGGTCGACATGTCGAACACCTGTAGCAAAATATCATGTCTTGGTATGGCTATTAATTTTTATTGTTATTATATATAGTTTAAATGTGTTGATGTTGCTAAATATAGTTTAAATTGTTATGAAATTCTGCATCTCTCATTGCAAATATTATTTTTGGTTTTAATTGCTGCTCACAGTTAGAATTTTTAAAGCTTACTTATTCAAAGTGAGCGAATTTTTAAAACTCAACATCGAGTAAACGAGCAAAATATCAAGTATGCCATATTTTTGGAAGGTAATTTTAAATTATTTTCAATGAATTAAAAATATACAGATAAATATATAAAAAAATTATACTTAAACCATTAAAATCTACGTAAAAAAGTGCTTTAGAAATATTTTCATAAAAATACAAAATTTTCCATAGCAAAAAAGTTACAACGATTCATTAAAAATTCACATTTTTGAAAAACACCCCATAACTCCGAAACGGTAACAGATATAGATGTGCGGTTTTCACCATAATGATCTTGACAAAAATTGAGGTCCAAACACCGATATTAGTTTTCGTCTATCTACTATAGAAAAGGGTGTTTCCCTTTAAAAGCGTCCAATTTGACCCACCCTGTACATCCCTTTATTCAAAGGTACATACTTACTTGATCAAAACCTCCTTATTTGGAAAACGGTGCATGGCGTTGTACGGGCACAAAACCCAGTGCGGATAATTTTTGGCACATCTCACAATGTGCCTTTGCAGACTGTCTTCCAACATAACGTGGTTGCTATTAAATGGGCATTTTACGATGTTTGGTGTCATTTTTCACTTAATTATTAATTAAAGCTAAAAAAGATTATTTTTTTAAATAAATAAGAAAAAAACGTATTGCATTAAATTTATAGTTTAATTACGAAGATTTTTTTTTAATCTACCAATTCTGTTTAATGTAATTTTTTTCTGATGACGAATGACAACAAATCAAAAAATTATTAAACAATTCTACAAAATCCAAGGATACATTTTACAATTAATGTAAAATATAGACGGTGTCCCATATAAGTACGTACCGGGTGGCCAACTAAGAATGGACGCCGGCTGTATCTCAGAAACTACTTATCGTATAACTTTGGGAAAAAAATTCTATTAAGTAAATCGACCAAGAGAAATCGCTGGAAATTATTTTCAAGTTCGAAAAATGCCCGCTAGGGGGCGTGTCTCTAATAGCCAATCAGAAAACAGGGGTTTTCTCAAAAATATGCAGGTGAATAGGTATTTTAAATATTACTATTATAATCATCGAGAAAATTGTAATTTTTTTGATATAAAGTATTTTGCTCTATCTCATAAAGTAAAGTGGTGGGGGGAGGTTAAAGTTGCATTTATTAAAATATGGATAACTCTGATTTAGGTTATGCGATTTAAACAAACTAGGGTTGGTTTAAAAGAGCTTTTCTTCCTTAATGATCTCCAGTATAAATTTTGTTTCCATAATTTTTTTCGTGGTAGCTAGAGGGCGCTGTTTGACATCATAACAGATATTGCGCTTTTGCATAAAAAATTTAAATAGGAGGCTATACTTCTCTTTGCACAGTTAAATAGAGCACAAAATTTCCAAAACATCAGCGCAAACCGCACCTTTCTATCTTTTCTCTAACCGGAGATATTAAGGGAACAAATCATGTTAGGTTACCGCTTAGGATTATATTGTCTAAAAATTATAGTAGTAGGCTAGGAAACCAAAAAAGTTAAATTGGTTACGTCAAAATATCAAAACGTTTAAGTTCAGTTTTCATGCATCCGAATTTCGGGCGTTTTCTTAAAAAAAATGACGTCATAATTATTTAAACGTGTTTATGTAACATTATCATCCATCCATATAATGTTTACGAATTTCTTGATTAATTATACTTAAGTAGTTCTCAGATTAAAATGTCCGAAAGTCGGACAATCAATAATTTTGTTAAAATTTCTAGGAATTTTGTGCCGCCATATTGCTTTTAACAGAAAACGGCCGAATTTCGTATGGCCGAAAACTAGGGGTTTATTTCATGTTACGTCATTTAGTTATTAATCCAAGTTCATCCTTGATTTCACTTGTTTTCGTGTTTTACCTGTTGTTTGTGTTATTTATTATTATATTATAAAATTTATGTCGTTTGGGTCACTTTTCATATAGCACCGAACGAAGGTGCGATTCTTAACAATATGCACTACTGGTCCAAATCTACCCTTGATGCAAGTAGTTTAGCACCAAGACCGTGGGTCGGTAAATGTTTGCGCAGGTATTCTAGAATGGCGAATGATTGGACTTTTTTAATTATCTGAATGAAATGAACTATCCATAATTTCTAAGAAATGAATTGCCAATTTTATTAGAGGATCCATCATGATGAAATTGCATTTGTTGCAATTTCATCAGCATGGATGCATTTAGTGTAGTTGAGGCAGTGGAACCGCTTATTTTGCTATGAATGTGTGGGGGCTCTTTGATACCACCTACTTTAGTAGATAGAGACGCTAGAGCGGCATATTTCCATGGCCAGCTGGGTCATCGCTCATCGGATTCAATATGCCTGGGTTTTAATTTATGGGGTCGAATCAAGAACGATCATGGATAAATAGTAATTAAATGGTATTAAAATGTTTTATATTTATATATATAAACATATAAATATGTTTTGATATTTTGACGTAACCAATTTACCTCTTTTTGTTTCCTAGCCTACTACTATAATTTTTAGACCATATAATCCTCCATCCTCCATATCTCTGGTTAGAAAGAAGATAGAAAGTTGCGGTTTGCGCTGATATTATGGAAATTTTATGCTCTATTTAACTGTGCAAAGGGAAATATAGCCTCCTATTTAAAATTTTTACGCAAAAGCGCAATATCTGTTATGATGTCAAACAGCGCCCTCTAGCTACCACGAAAAAAAATGTGGAAACAAAATTTATACTGGAGATCATTAAGGAAGAAAAGCTCTTTTAAACGAGCCCTAGTTTGTTTAAATCGCGTAACCTAAACCAGAGTTATCCTTATTTTAATAAAAGCAAATTTAACCTTCCCCCACCACTTTATTTTATGAGATAGAGCAAAATACTCTATATCAAAAAAATTACAAATTTCTCGATGATTACAATAGTAATATTTAAAATACCTGTTCACCTGCATATTTTTGAGAAAACCCCTGTTTTCTGATTGGTTATTAGCGAAACGCCCCCTAGCGGGCATTTTTCGAACTTGAAAATAATTTCCAGCGATTTCTCTTGGTCGATTTACTTATTATAATTTTTTTCCCAAAGTTATACGGTAAGTAGTTTTTGAGATACAGCCGGCGTTCATTCTTAGTCGGCCACCCGGTACACTACAGGGATACCATATATTATTAGAGGTAAAAGATTATTAAATTAGGGAAAAGTTGTGCCTTGCTGGCAGGGTTCGGAAGTAGTTAATTAAGAATATATTTTAGTACTTTTGTGCTTAGGCGTAACAGTGCCAGTGCTTTACTTTTATGCCTAGACGTTAAAATGACAAAAATTAATACTTTTGAGACGTTTGAAAAAAAATCCTTTTGATCTGAAGCGAGCGACTTTTTTGCGAAATATACTTGTGACCGATCTGGAAAAATGACAAATGCACCGTAGATCAGGAGAGTTATAAAGATATAGTCATTTAGGATAGGACTTTAATTGAAAATAAGTCCTAGTCATTTGGAAATCCGTTTTAAATATTGTTTTGAATTAAAATCAAAAAAATCTGATTTAAATCAAATAAATCTTATTTTTTTATTTTTTAAAAAAATTATGATTTTTTCCAACCCTGATTTAAAGTGATCGATTTAACGACCATCGGCCTATAAAGGGTTAATTCTTTTTCTATTTCGGAATAAAGATTTAAGTAACAAATCATTTTGAAAATTACTTAAATTTATAGTCTTAAGTCACCTTTAGAAAAACGACTTCAAATGTTTTCTATGAGCTTGCAGAGTGAAAAATGCTTTTTCCTCAAAATGTTAACAACAAAAAAGTCCTTCCTTTTTTAAAGATCCGGGGACATACTGTATACATCTGCGCATTTGGATAGTTCTCATCACTATATAACGTATTAAAAAAGTAAACACAGAACATTTATGTTTGCTTTGTATATTTTAAAAACGAATAATTTCAACTGCGTCGAATAAAAAAAAATAAACAATTATCTGAAACCAGTCAGTTGAGTTAGTTTAGTTATCTTTTGAAAATTCTCATGTTTAAAAATGAAATCATTCGCTATTTTATACGAAATACACCTAAAAAATAATGTTTTAGCTATTTTTCCTGATACTAGGACAATAAAAACCCAGTTTGAATAACACCAAATCACAATAGAAAACATACAGTGGAAAAAGTGAAAAATACAGGACCTTTTCTTTAGATCTAGAAGAAATCAAGTCATCTCTCGACAACGAAAGGTCACGAATCCAGAACCAAATCCGGGATTTGGAAAAAGAACAATTACAGAGTGATCACAAAGCTCAAAGTTTGCAGGAAGAACTACAGCGGGCGCAAGCAGCTGGGTCTCAACAGCAACAAGAAGAAAAGGAACTACAAGCCAGGCTGCTCAATGAGGTTGAAGAGCGAGAGAGATCACATCAAGAAGTCCACCAATTGAGGAAACAGGTAATTTGTAGTGCATGGTTGAAAAAAAAGCGTCCGGTTGGTTTATAAATAAATAAAAATATAAATAAATAAATAAATAAATGCCTTTATTGTCAAAAAATTTTTCAATTTGTAGACAAAGGTAAACTAACAAACAAAGTAGAAAAAAAAACAAGGTACACAAACAAACAAACAAAAGATAATACAAAACATTATATAAATAATATTGTCAGTCTTATTGTTAAAATAAACATTTATAAATGTTTACAATGTCAAAGAACAAAAAACTTAAAATAATACTTAAAAATATTTAGCCAGTTTATAGGAAAATATCAATGACCTCTAAATAAATTAATTTCGATGTCATTAGTAAATATAGCAACAGCAAACATTAGATCAGTGTTTTCAAGATCAAATTCGATTTTCAATTCAAATATAATTCATTTACGGCGTAGAAAGCCTTGTCTAGTAAATAAGAGTTCAATGCTTTGCGAAATGAAAAAATGATGTTATGGATTTGATTTCAAATGGCAGGTGATTGTGCATGTTTTTCTAGTTGTATAATATTGAACTTTTAACTAACTCTGAGCGTGGGGTAGGTAGATAAAGATCTTGCTCCGCGTTCCTGAGTGGATAAGTGTGAGATGGCCTTTCTTGAGAAGCTGATACATGTTTACGTATTAGGCAAACGGATTCAAATATAAATAAGGAAGGAAGAGTCAATATTCTTAATTCCTTAAAAAAGTCCCGGCAATGAGTTCTGCTGTTTAGTCCTAGTGAATATCGACCATATTCATCATCATCATTTTCAACTTATTCAACCATTTCCAATTAGGGTGTAGCCTCCCTTGCATATTTAGATACTATCTTTGTCGTTGACCCCATTGTTGTCTATTGTTGGCTATGCGGACCCAAGTTATCCCTGCTAATTTCCTAATATCATGGTCCCATCTCAGGTTCGGTCTTCTTCTAGGTCTCTTAATTCTTCGTGGGTACAATGCTGTAATTTTTGTGGTCCATCTGTTGTCTGTTTTTCTTGCCTGGTGTCCTGTCCATTGCCAATTGAGGGATTCTGTGGATGACATCTATTACCTGGGTCTTTTATCGTATCCACTCTATTTTTTTACAGTCTCTCTTGGTTATTCCCAGCATATTTCGTTTCACTGAGCGTTGTGCGATCTGCAGTTTCCTTATGATGTTCGTTTTAAGTGTACAGGTTTCGCATGCATAGGTCATGACTGGTATAGTCTGTAAAACGAATAACTTTGAATTTGACAGTTCCCGCGGGCTTTTCTAGTGTTAATTTTATTAGGTTAGCAACTTGCGGCCATGCTGACGCAATGCCGTCTTTAATAGAACAGCCTAGGAACGAGATTTATGACGTCACACTAGTTAAATACTACAGATTAATAACTATGTTGTAGAATACATGGAAAACATAATTATTCCTCGATTTGTTGGTTTGTATTTTAAAAATTATATAGTTTACATGAAATATACATAATATACAGTTAATAAATACAATATATATACCTATTTATATTAATAAATACTTCGGCAGATAAACTATGAACCATACAAATGCAGCAAATGTTTTACAATATGACTGAAATCGTACTCCATAGTCAATGTAGATAGTTTTTGTGTTAAGAATAATAATTTAAAAAAATATGTGGTCATCTTTTGACAAATTTATATTAGTTTATTAATTGCAGTAAATATTATAATATATAAATAAATTTTGTGAATGCAAATAATAATACATCACTATTAGTAGATATTGAATGTTTTTTGTTAAATTAGATTGATTTTCGAACCCCAAAATTTAAAATATATTTTACATTTTACCCATTATCTTATGTACCACCTATTCATTATTTTTATATTGTAAAACATTTGCTGCATTTGTATGGTTCATGTTTATTAGCCAAAGTATTTATTACAATAAATCGGTATATATTATATTGTATTTATTAACTGTATATTATGTATATTTCATGTAAACTATATCATTTTTAAAATACAAACCAAAAATACGAGGAATAATTATGTTTCCCATGTATTCTCCAACATATTTATTAATCCGTATTATCTAACTAGCGTGACGTCATAAATCTCGCCTCGTGGCTGTTCTAATAGAGACGGCATTGGTCTAATATTTAGAAATGTCAAAAGCTGATGACATTTTACTTTTGTCAATTATGACATTTCGTGTTGATTTTTGCAAGAAGAGGAAGAATTGTCACTTGTTTTTTATTTTCCTTTTCTATTTCACGAAAGTAAAAAGAGTTACCTATCTGATTCGTTCAGGCTAGTTCAGGCACTCAATTTAAAGAATATCAGTAACTTTTTTGACAGAGGGATTTTATATTTGCCATGTTGGTAAAAAATAACGGTCAAAATTCAAAGTTATTCATTTTATAGACTATAGTACACATTGGTCCAATGTTCGGGTCTTACCGGGTTTACCCGATTTTGTCCGGACTTCAGTGTTTACTTGTCCGGAGTTTCTAAAAACTTAGAAACCCTATACTGAAAATGTTAGCTGATACACCCTATACCGGGTGTTGCATCGTCGGACGGGACATAGGAAATCCAATGTAAATTTTAATGGGGTCAATTATTGGCTTCCCTAATTATTTTAGAGAATAATTCTATTTAGGTTTATTGAAGAGCACTAAAACCCACATTCAAAAGAATAACTTTAGATATTTTATTATCGTCGATTTCTTTTTAAATATTTCTCCTTTCTTATGGCCCTGTATTTACTTATGAGCACCAGTAAAGGTAAAAGATAACTGTCAAATGAAGTTGTCATTTCAGAAATTTACCTATTTAGTGCTTTATTATTATTATTGAAAACTCATTCCTACATCGGAAATCTTAAAAATGTATTTATAAATACAAATTTATATGAATTAAAGTAAAATAAAGTAATCAATTACAAGGTTAATTATAGTAATATTACAATATTCAATAACTTATTAATTTAAGTACTATTAAATTGTTAGAACTTTAGGATTTAAGATGTTCAAATATTCGTCCATCGACTGCTAGACAATAACCCAGGCGATCATAAAATTCTCTTCTTACATTCGCTAGTTGGTAAACTGAAATTCTAATGCATTCGGCAGAAATATCATTTTTTAACTCGTCTAGATTTGGGTATTTTTTATCCTTGTATGTATATCCCGTTTTTTAAATGGCCCCAGAGAAAGAAATCATTTGGCGAAATATCAGGAGACCTTGCTGGCCAATTTACTGTATGATTTAGGCCAATAACGTTTCCGTTAAAACTATTGTCTAAATATTCCCGAACAGCCAGGGTACTATGTGCCGGGCAGCCATCCATTTGCTACCAAACTTCCTGATTTTCCCTAGCGGCATCATGTAAAGCAGGTAAAATATGATTTCCGCATTTAAATTTCGCGTAAGAAATAATGGCCCGATAATATTGTGTCCGAATATCCCTGCCCAAACATTTACTTTCTGTGGATATTGCGTCCTTGTTTCGACAAACCTGTGTTGGTTTTCTTTGTTCCAATATCGATAATTTTGAACATTGGGTTCATCATTTAAGGTAAACGTGCATTCGTCAGTGAAACATGTTTTTTAAAAATTCCCTATCCGTGTTTGCTCTTTCCATCATATCAAAACAAAACGCCTGCCGCCGTATTTCGTCCCCATCTCGTAGCTCTTGGTGCTTTTCATATTTGAAGGAATAGTATTTATGTCGTTTCAAAATTCGAAACGCTGTAGTGTGATCTATTCCTATTTCATCCTCATGTTTCCTTGTGCTGATCTTTCCATCCTTCTCTGCCACGCACAATAAAACTTCCAAGTCGGTATCATTTCTTGCATCTTCTCTTTGTTCCTGCCTTGCTTCACATCTGCAGGGTACCTTTGGTCTCAAATCTCTGGATATTCCTTGCGATTTTCCAGGTATCGGTCTATTCGGATACAGAACAGCAAACATGTCCGACACCCTTTGATAACTATTTCCTTGATAATACCATTTAATCATCAATACTTTTTCTTCGGTAGTTCTTGTAATTCATGGCTAATATTTTCGATGTAGGTATGAGTTTTAATAATAATAATAATAAAGCACTAAATAGATAAATTTCTGAAAAGACAACTTCATTTGACAGTTATCTTTTACCTTGACTGGTGCTCATAAGTAAATACAGGGCCATAAGAAAGGAGAAATATTTAAAAAGAAATCGGCGATAACTCGTAAACAGGCTAATCAAAAATATCTAAAGTTATTCTTTTGAATGTGGGTTTTAGTGCTCTTCAATCTAAATAGAATTATTCTCTAAAATAATTAGGGAAGCCAATAAATGACCCCATTAAAATTTACATGGGATTTCCTATGTCCCGCTCGACGATGCAACACCCGGTATTTAGGAAATTTCCACTAAACTTAAACTTTGCATTCATTTTCTTCAAGATGTCTGAACTGGAAAGGAACTTGGAACACACCAGACAGGAACTGAGTAGAACCAGATCACACACTGGCCAACTTGAAGAACAGTGGCATGCCAGAGAACAAGACCTACTCATCCACCTGGAAGACTACAGGGTGAAGGAAAAAAGACTGGAAGACCAGAAACATAACCTAGAAGTGTGTTTGGTGGATGCCACGCAACAAATCCAGGAACTCAAGGCGAAACTAGGAGGCGCAGAAGGTAGAATCAGAGCCCTTGAGACACAGTTGGCTCAGTTAGAGTCTTCCAAAAGAGACGTTGAGCAGAAGTTGTTCAGTGTGGTCTCGACGTTAAGAAGAATAGCTGGGATACAGCTTGATGGCTCTGTATCCATGCCTTACAGATTACTGAGTCCATCAAGGAGGTGGAGTCCTGCCAGGGGTATTAACAAAAATACATCATTAATAGTAAGATAATAACTATGTTACTTTATAGCTCATGACGAAAAAGATGGTAGTATCGATGTAGATCCGGAAGTAGTAAGAAAGGGTGTTAGAAATCTGATGCAACAAGTAGCACAGATTGAAAGAGAAAGAGTAAGGCTAACTAACTATTATCCTTGTATATGAATTTTTAAAGTAGCTCAACCTAAGACGTTTATGGATGTAAAGCACCAGATGGCGGGGCGTATTTCACAGTCTTTTACTATAGAAAAATATTTTTTGTTACTCTGAATTTTGAAGCGACCAATAAAAACAGAGAAAATAAAAATCGATAATTTTCGGACTGTGCCAATTGGTTACTAATCGACCAGATACTTTTTGTCTATTAGATATGCTATAAAAGCTGGTAATTATACAATTCGACCATTGTAAATACCCGATAAATTCCGTAAGGCCGACGAGGCCGATGCTTTTCACTGATAAGAAAAAAAAATGTTTGTTTAGGTAATTTTCGAGATATTTTTCTTTCTGAATGCACATTTTTAAAGTATTTTATATTCTTTGTCCGCTTGATCTATTATACTGGTCGCACGTATCGAAGTTCTGTTTCTTCTAGTTTTAAAAATGTTCTTATTTCTTTGTAGTTGTAGTGGTTGTAGTGTAAAATTAGATTAATTTTATTAAGTTTAATTATAATGTTTAGTGTAGAATACCAGAAATAGTTTAGTAGTGTTTTTATAGTTTATTATTTTGTAGTTAAGTAGTAGGTGAAGGGATAATTTGGTTATTTTTTCTTTTTGTTTGATTAATTAGTAAGTTTGATAATTTTTTCAGGGTAGAATACAAGAAGTAGTTGTGTAGTGTTTTTATAAGATATTATATTAGTTTATTTTGTAGATGAGGTATTTGGGTATTTTTTCTTTTTATTTTTCTTCTAATTGTAATAATTCTATTAAGTATTGTTATAGATACACTATATCTTCCTTCAACTTCGTTGAAAAGTGCATTATCATATAATTTTGGTTTTCTGGTAGTAGAATATACGAAAAAAAAATCTGATCAAATTTATTTTAAATTAAATTAATCGAGTCTTATTAATCAAATTAATCTAGTCAAATAATAATAACAGTTAGTTTCTAAATACTATACAGGGTGAGTTTCCTACGATCGATGTTCTCTATGGGTATCTCGGAAACTACTGGAGATAGAGAGTCGGTTAAATGGGGAAAGAATAATTGCAGTTTTGTTGGGTCATAAATTCCGTCTTAATGAGTTTGTGTTTTCTGTTTTTTTTCCTAAAGCCTGTCATTTTTGACATATGACACAAACATTATGTTTTTTTTTTTAAATGGAAACCAAACAGTTGGCCATGACTTCATAAAAAGCGCCATTTTTTAAGCTTTTCAGCGATATAGGTATAATATGTTTTTTTTCGAAAAATTACAAGTTATAGCCAATTCTTTTCTTTCTTGGCTAATTTCCATACCAATAATACCATGCCAGTTAGTTAGCACCAAAAATGTAAAAAGTTTTATGTTTTAAAAAAAATGAAATGATTTTTTTATAAACCTGCATTAAATCAAATTAAAATAGGTATGTAACTTTTTTTTAAATATTAATTAACAGCCAATTAGCATTATCATAAATTATAAATAATGTACCAACATATCGAAATAATAATTTCTTTGTTAATACGGTTTAGAATTCTTAAAATAACAGGCAAAAATAATCCACAATTTACAATAAAATAAAAGTTTCGTTTAAATTTCTTAATCAACTGACCACTATTAAAGTTCGCAGAAACCCGGTCTGTTTTATTACATTACTCTGAGGAAAATAACGAAAATAATCGATATTTTTGACTCCGCCCCGAAAGGTTCACGATTTGTCCTCCAGTTGGCAGCACATTTTGTCTAGTCGGTTGATCAACTTTAAGAATATATAAACAAGGCTATTATTTAATTCGATAGTCTAAATAAAACCTTTATTTTTTTATTTATATGCAGGATGATTACAAAACTCAAGTCAACACGGTCAAAAAACAACTCCAAGAAGCGCACGATAGTCAGAACAAAGGCGACCACAAACTGACCAAAGTGATGCAGAGTTTGAAGACTCTACAGGAGGAAAAGGGTAGTTTGGAAGCGAGGTTAGGGCAGAAAAATGTAGAGCTACAATCTCAGACCGAAGCGCTACATAAAAAGTCGGAAGAAGCTAAGCAAATGAGGGAAAAAGTGGTTTCTTTGGAGCTGAGTCTGAGTGGGGAGAGTGAACAGAAGTTGCAGTATGAGGTAATTTGTGTTTATGAGATAAAAACATAGTATTTTTCTAAATTTCTTGTTTATTTTATATTGCAGGACAAATTGGAGAAGCTCAAAGCGGCACTGAACAGATCAGAAGCAGAAAAACGACATCTTCAAGAAGAACTAGCACGAACAGAAAACAGATCTACCAAACTAGAATTACAGAGAATGTCTGCAGAAGGTGATCTACAACGATTACAAATGATGCTACAAGAAAAAGACGGCACCATACAAGTAAAAAATACAACCTTTAAAACCATGAATATGTATTTATACGTTTTTTTATTCAGAAGTTGCAAGAAAAATGCGACCTACAAAGCAGATCTGTGGCGAGTTTAGAAGAAAGATGCGTATCGCTTAAATCAACTATAGACCAATTAAATTGTTCCTTGGAAAAAGTGTCAAACAGTGAGAGTGAACTGAAAGCTGAGTTACAAAGATTACAAAGAAATTTGATGGAAACTGTGTCTAGTCAGCATACTGAATCAGAGAGGCTTAAACAAGTAGGCGGCAATATATTTTTTCATCAACCAGAATTTTTTTAAACGAAATTTTTATGAACCAGAAATTTTTTTATAAACCATATTTTTTCACAAACCATGATCTTTGTGATAAACCAGAAAATTTTTTATGGACCAGAATTTTTGGATGAAACCAGAATTTTTTTAATAAACCATATTTTTATGAACCAGAATTTTTTTCATAAACCAGAATTTTTCTTTAGCTGATGATGTATTAATACCCATTTTTTAATTAACCGCATTTTCTTATAAACCAGAATAGAGTAAGTTTAATCTAAATAATATAAAATTCCGTTGTTTTAGGTACAAAAAGCTTTAGCAAACTGCGAAAACGAACGCAGAGTACTGTCAGAAAGAATGGAAAGTACCCAGAACCAACTAGCTGAAATGAGAAGGAACAACCAAATTCTACAAGACCAAGTAACAAGACTGAACAATGAGTTGGCGAACAATGAAGTCCAAAAATCAGCTTTAGAATCTCAATTAAGGTGAAAGACAATAGATTTAACTTGAAGCCTTGTAAAGATAAGTCTAATTTTTAGGTTAGCTCAATGGCCAGCAGATAGTCAGATAGGATCTTCTCATCAAGAAGATGAACTAAGAATGCAGCTGCATTCAATCCAAAAAGAGAGAAATGATCTTAGAGGCAAAGTAGAGTCCATGAATAACAAGGTACAGACATTGTTGTAACGAATAAGTTTCGGTTTCCTAACCTAACGAATTTAGTTTCTATAGACTCTTAATCTTAATCCAGTAATAGTTTTACATAATTTTGCAGTAACATATTTCTTATCTAATTTTATATTTTTTTACCATTAAAGCTACGACAACTGGAAACAGAAAACAGAAATTTGGAACGTCTGGCTTCCAAACCAACGTCCAGAGCAAAGTCGTATGAAAAATCATATGATCGGCTGGAAAAATCCTACGATAGACCGGAAAAATACGAATCAGAACTAACGAGCAGCGAATTGGATAAATGCGAACAAGAAAATCGGGAATTAAGGTTGAGAATATCACGATTAGAAACAGGTATGGAAGACATAATTATTCAATACCTATAGTTTGTATATTATTACTAAAATCTAACCATCGAGTCAGGGAAGGTTTTAACATACAGCATAAAACAATTACAGAAAATACAATTTACCTGTTAATTAGAATGATAGAAATCTGTCACTGTCAGGTATCCTTTGGATGGACCTTTGAATAAGAAGACTAAGGAAGGAGCATATCAAAAATCTTAGGTCCACCGCGATGGGACTCAAATATGGCCGACTTAAATTCCGGTTTATCAGTGCCGTTCTAATTTTATTTAAAAAATGTAAAACTATGATGTTACATTACATACAGCCGTTACTCGCTGACGAGTATTCGACACACATAAAGAAACTGGTCACGCAAGGCGTTTTCTTTCATGAGCTTTTCTGTGACTGAAAAGCCCGATACGTGATGTTATCTGCCTACCGCACTCCGGACATTCAAAAATCTCATTGCTTTGTTGCCTCTCTACTTTTTGGTTGCCGCTGTTAACTGAGTTTACAACCCTTCTCCATTGAGTTCTATTGTGAGCTGCTTTTTCCCACTCATTCTGCATGTTAATTCCCTTTAAATTTTCGTGGAAAATGTCCTTGTATCTTTTCAGTTGTCCACCCGGCCTCCTCTTACCGTCCACAAGCTCACCGTAAAGCAGAGATTTTGGTATGCGGTTTTCTTGCATTCTGCATACGTGACCAGCCCATCTTAAGCGGGATTTTGTGACCATGACTTCAATACTCTCGCAGTTAGATTTTTCAAGGACCGATACGTTTGAGACATGATGGAACCACCGGACTCTTAAGAGTTGTCTAAGGTGTCTCTGTTGCAACTTGTTCAATGCGTTCATGTGTCGGCGGTAAGGCACCCAGGTTTCGCTCCCATATATCATGGTGGGGATTATAATTGCTCGGTATACTGCAAGTTTTGTTTTTGTACTCAAGTCATGATTGTAGAAAACCCTGTCTTTTAATTTCCAGAATGCTCTTGAGGCGCTACTAATCCTGTGCTGAATTTCAGAGTCAATATTGGCCTTTTCCGAAATCAAACTGCCAAGGTAATTGAATTCCGCCACATATTCGAATAGTTCTTCTCCGATTTTTATAGCATTGTTGTGATCTTCCGGGGGAGTGCACATGATTTTAGTTTTGCCGATGTTCAGCTTAAGGCCCAAAGCCTCGTATGCCCAGGTATATGTGTTCAACATTTCTTGTAATTGTTGTACCGTGTTTGCAACTAGAGCGCAGTCGTCAGCGTATTGAAGTTCTGTGATAAATTTTGTACGTGTTTTTGCCCTGAGTCTTTTTATGTTGAACAGACCCCGTCATATCAGTATCTAATGCCCAATCCTCTCTCCTGCAGTTTGCTGTCCACTATAATGGAGAGCGCTGCCATGAATATGTTGAATAGGAGAGGCGCTAAGACACATCCCTGCCTAACTCCTGTATTTGTTAGGAATGGGTCTCTCAGTGATCCATGATGTGACACTCTTGACTTGTTGTTTTGGAGGCTTTTACACACTGTAAGAAATTTGTTGGGTACTCCGAACTTTTCCATAATTGCCCAAAGCGCATCTCTGTTCACAGAGTCGAAGGCTTTTGTTAGATCGATGAATGCAACATAAAGTTTAGACTCCTGCTCTTTTACTTTTTCCTGTAGTTGACGGATGGAAAATATGGAATCGACGGTGCCGCGGTTGGTACGAAAACCCCTTTGCGATTCTGGAAGGATTTTTTCTATATATGGGTGCAGGCGGTTTGACATTATTTTTGCAAGAATTTTTCCGCCGATAGCCAATAGCGAAATTCCCCGGTAATTTCCGCAGTCTGATGCACTTCCTTTGTTCTTAATATATTCACTATATTCGCATTGCGAAAATCCTGAGGTACCTCTCCGCTTTCCCATACGACATCAAAGAGAGCCTTAAGATGACCAATAAGTTCTTTACTTGCACACTTATAGATTTCCGCCGGAATATCGTCACAGCCAGCTGATTTGTTGTTTTTAAGCTGTTTTATGAAGGTCTTTATTTCTTGTTCTGTTATTGGGATGTCTAATACATCGAGGCTGTTATACTGAGGTATTGTGTTTAATGCTTCCATATTGGCGTTGTTTTCTTGGTTAAGGATATGGCTGTAATGTTCTTTCCAGCGATTTCTAATTTGTTCTTCCTCTTTTAGAAGTTCGCCATTTTGAGCCATGATTGGGCAGCTTACCTTCTTAGTTGGGCCGTATACTTCTTTTACAGCCTCGAAGAATTTACGATAATCGTGATGCGTGGCGTACTCTTGAATCTGATTCGCTTTTTGTGACCACCAGTTATCCTTTACTTGGCGCAGTTCTCTTCGAAGCGTGTTGTTGGCTGCTTTAAAGTTGTCTACCAGTCTTGGATTATGTGGATTTGCAGTGACGGCTTGATATGCTCTATGCTTTTGTTCCAACAAAGCCTGTATATGCGGTTGATTTTCGTCAAACCAGTCTGGTTGTTTCTTTTTGTTCGACTTTCCCAGTACTGCTTCGCTGGTTTTATGAATCGCATCCCTTAATTGTGTCCAGCCTTGTTCAGCTTCCAATACTGAGATTGAAGTTATCGGTGGAAGTGATTCTTTGATGGCTTCCCGGAGGGCGTCGGCGGTATTGTTGTTTCTAGACCCCGTACGTTCAATCTGGTCATGTTGTTTTGCTTTTTACAGCGTGGATGTTTGGGTTTTAACTGGATTTTCATTTTGAAATTAAAAGTCGGTGGTCAGTGCCGCATTCGGCATCTACTCTAGCTTTTGTGAGCCTAACATCTTTTAGATGCGTCCTTCGAACGATTATGTGGTCCAATTGATGCCAGTGGCCTGATCTAGGATGTTTCCAGGTACCTTTAAACTTGTCCTTCAACATGAACCACGTATTGGTGATGCAAAGATTATACTCTGCGCATGTTGTTAATAAGCGTTCACCATTGCTATTTGCGTTTCCCATTCCATGTTTTCCCAATACGTCAGGCCATATTTCCTGTTGTTTGCCTACACGGGCATTAAAGTCACCTAGCAAGATGATTCGTTCGTGCTTTGGAATTCGTTGAAGGGCATTTTGTAAAGCTTGGTAAAATTTATCCTTATCTTCAATGTTAGCGTCAAGGGTGGGAGCGTAGGCACTAATGATGTTGACGTAAGTTTTGTCTGATATGGGGTACCTTAGGGTCATAAGACGTTCGGAGACACCAATAGGTACTTCTGTTAACTTGGTGGCGATTTCGTTTTTGATCGCAATGCCTACACCATGAATTCTCCTGTGTGTTGCGGGATGACCTTTCCAAAAGAAGGTGTAATGCTCCTCAGTGAGACTACCTTCATCTGCAAAGCGTGTTTCGCTTAGAGCGGCAACATCTATATTTAATCGGTGGAGTTCCTGTGAGACCAGTGCTGTTCTTCTCTCTGGTCGATTTGAATTTATCTTGTCCAGTAGAGTGCGGACGTTCCACGCCGCGAACGTGAAACATTGATGTTTTTTGTTTCTCCGATGATACGCTCGAGTAGGCACCCCTCCCGGAGATCCGATTGAGGGGTATTTTACCTCCGGACGATAATTTTGTCCCACTCGAATGTTCCATCATTGCTGTGTGTAAGCTGCGTGAAAAGGTTTAACTGTGGCGGTTACGCTGCCGCACAGTTTTGGCTGCAACTGTAGCACGGGATGGCTATGGCACAGTGAGGACTGCGACGATAGTTCCCTTGTGCTACGTTCTCGGCCGGCTAGGTGTATTTTATTACTCCTTTTCCCCAGAAGATGGTAGGTCTGAGGGTTGTATAAGGTTATACCGCCTATACTCGGACGTCAGAGCCTCGTTTGTGTAAACAGGGTGCACCACGTGAAGGTGAGGTTGACTTTTGGGTAAGCTAGGCTATATGTATCGCTTCGATACCCCTTGCACCCCATATACTATGATGTAGGGTAGACGTGGGGTAGACTCAATATTTTTTTTTTATTTTATGTTGTGAATAAATGTTGGTAGTTATTAAAATTGTTATAAAAACATATTATTATAATAAAAATAGATAAGTTTTAATAATTACTTATTAACACAAACATCCGATACCCTATAATAAATTGACGTATCTAAATTCTTTGACATCTAATCTTTGACAAGTAGTAAATAAAAGCAGAAATATAAGAAAAAATATATAATTAGTTAATTTAAGTGAATTTCATAAATGATCGGTTTACTACATGCATGTATATTATATAGTCACTTACTAGCGAAAAGTTGTTCCATTATTTCACTCGATTTTTGCCGAGATCTACCGCACGCTACATAACCATCTATTTTAGAGTCTTTTTCGATAAATCGCAACAGTGTCACTGTTAATTTAAGTTCTGCCACAATTTCGATCTAGATTTACTACCTTTATACAACTATCAGTAGTAGAATAAATAATAAATAACGTAAAATAAGCTCCGTAAAGACTGACAAATCCACAAAATTCCAAATCAAATTCAAATGTGTCAAATGAATCGTCAAACAGAACTGTCAAGGATCCCCACCCTAGAGTCCTTTTTCCGCCCACCATGCATGAATACATGGATAGCATTATGCTCCTTCCTTAGTCTTCTTATTCAAAGGGATGGACAAACTTTATTCTTATTAATACTTTCCGAATCTCATTTTAACTGTGGAATATGTTTCTAAATTCTAATACAAGGTGACTATAAAAAATATAATATTTGTATGAGGATATGCAGAGATACGTCATAAAAAGTATCTGAGAAATACAAGTTACAAGATACTTCTAAGCAAAGTATTTGAGATATCAGTTACAAAATACCTTTGGAAAAGGTACTGGAAATACTAGGTATAAAATACGTATTTTCTAAATACTTAAAAGAAACTCAAGGGGTCTCAAACAACAGTTGACCGCCCTGTATATTTATGTAGAATTATTTTAAATAAAACATGCCGAGTAATATTCATATAACTTTTCAGATCTAGCGGACAAAGAAGCAGAATTAGCTAGATTAAGGAACCAAAGACCCAGTTTGGACACCAAATTTGACAGAGCCGAAATAGAAAGATACAGGGCGGCCCAACTTCAGGCCGAACGTCTTCTTGAAGCTAGAGAACAAAGTCACAGACAGCAGATCTCGCGTTTAGAGAGCCAAGTAAGTTTTAAACAAATATGTTTACTTATTATTTTTAATTATATAAATTAAATTCTAGAAAGCTTCATTCAAAATCTCGAAATTAGTGGAATAAATTAGTGGTTTCAATTACACTTTATAGTTTTAGTTTACAATCATTCAAAATGTCTAAAAAATACAATTAAAATTAATTGAATATCCTAGCAACAGCTTGTGATAGAGGCTTTGAATAAGAAGACTAAGGAAGGAGCATATCAAAAATCTTAGGTACACCGCGATGGGCCTCAAATATGGCCGACTTAAATTCCGGTTTATCAGTGCCGTTCTAATTTTATTTAAAAAGTGTAAAACTATGATGTAGGGTAGACGTGGGGTAGACTCAATAATTTGTTGTTTTATTTTACGTTGTGAATAAATGTTGGTAGTAATTAAAATTGTTATAAAAATATATAATTCTAATAAAAATAGATAAGTTATAATAAGTATTTATTAACACAAACATCCGATACGCTACTGAAGCAGGTAAGTCAAATTAACGTATCAAAATTCTTTGACATCTAATCTTTGACAAGTAGTAAATAAAAGCAAAAATGCAAGAAAAAATATATAATTAGTTAATTTAAGTGAATTTCATAAATGATCGCTTTACTACACGTATGTATATTATATAGTTATTTACTAGCGAAAAGTTGTTCCGTTATTTCACTCAATTTTTGCCGAGATCTACCGCACGCTACACAACCAATTATTTTAGAGTCTTTTTCGATAAATCGCGATAGTGTCACTGTTAATTTAAGTTCTGCCACAATTTCCATCTAGATTTACTACCTTAATACAACTATCAGTAGTAGAATAAATAATGAATAACATAAAATAAGCTCTGTAAAGACTGACAAATCTACAAAATTTCAAATCAAATTCAAATGTGTCAAATGAATCATCAAACAGAACTGTCAAGGATCTCCACCCTAGAGTGCTTTTTCCGCCCACCATGCATTAATACATGGATAGCATTATGCTCCTTCCTTAGTCTTCTTATTCAAAGGATAGAGGTTATCCATAGAGAAAGACTAATAATTAGCTTATCAAAATAGACGGCGCTCTGATTGGTCATAGCCTTTTTGCGCCACTTTTCATCCGCAAATTTTTTATCCCAGTCCTCCAACAGGGAAAGATCGTAAGATAACGGACGTTTTAACAAAACTATAATAGTACAAGAGCTAGCACAGTCGGGAAAACGAGAATTTTAAGAAAGCTGGTTCTTTAATATATCTTTTACTATGCTCTCCTGACCAAAATGCAGGCCGTCTGGCTGCCGGTAGACTACTGCGGTTCACTACTGCGCATCACATCTGTACAGGGTATCCCATTTTCGTGTGTTTTATGGTTTATTTCTCGTTTATGAATAGAGATACAATGATGCGATTTTCACATTGCTTTGCTACTTTTTTATGAAACTAAATATACTACACATAGGTATGTCCTAGACTCCTTAGTTCTTGAAATATAGGACGGATATGTGATGCGCAATAGTGAACAAATGTTGAATACAGATATGATGTATGTATAACAGATAATAAATCGAAAAATAATTCTAAATATTATAAAACCATATAAAAATAGCTATTCATCAATTTAAACGTTGGACCGATTGTTGAAGTAATTTCGTGTGAATCCATTAGACCGCTAAACGCAGGGATTTATTTTAAAATTTATGTATAAGTGACAAAAAGTCGAATACATGTCATTCGAAGTGTAGTGCAGAACTAGGTTCTTCTGATATAGACATTATATCTTCATTCCCGAGAAATTATAATCGTTGTCAAAAAATATGTTGTTTTATATATACAGGGTCCGGCAATAGTGCGTCGGGCATCTGTAGCTCCTAGAATAAAAAACTTTGTTTTAGTGCAAACCTAAAGTAGGTATGTACCAGGATGTATTTCAGGAAAATATTTTAACTTCTATAAGGTGGCTCAAAAAAGTGTGAGCGGACCTGGATGATTTTTTTTAAATGGAACACCCTGTATATTATTGCATTTTTGGCTTCCTTTCAGATCACTTTACATAACCCTAAGATATGAATAAATATATTTCCATAGTTTCAGAGATATTAAAAAATAAATCAAAAATATATATTTTTCAGCCCTTCTTAAAAAAAATTATTAAAAATACAAGAACTGTTCTGAAATCAAAACGATATTAGTATATATACTAAAGTAAATACGTAATATAGTTTTGTTTTCAGAACAGTTCTTGTATTTTTAATAATTTTTTTAAGTAGGGCTGAAAAAACTATATTTTTGATTTATTTTTTAATATCTCTGAAACTATCAAAATTTATTTATTCATATCTTAGGGTTATGTAAAGTGATCGGAAAGGAAGCCAAAAATGTAATAATATACAGGGTGTTCCATTTAAAAAAAATCATCCAGGTCCACTCACACGTTTTTGAGCCACTCTATAGAAGTTAAAATATTTTCCTGAAATACATCCTGGTACATACCTACTTTAGGTTTGCACTAAAACAAAATTCTCAACTTTTTTATTCTAGGAGCTACAGATGCCCGACGCACTATTGCCGGACCCTGTATATATATAAAACAACATATTTTTTGACAACGATTATAATTTCTCGGGAATGAAGATATAATGTCTATATGGTCTATATCAGAAGAACCTAGTTCTGCACTAGACTTCGAATGACATGTATTCGACTTTTTGTCACTTATACATAAATTTTAAAATAAATCCCTGCGGTTAGCGGTCTAATGGATTCACACGAAATTACTTCAACAATCGGTCCAACGTTTAAATTGATGAATAGCTATTTTTATATAGTTTTATAATATTTAGAATTATTTTTCGATTTATTATCTGTTATATCTGTTATAGAAATATTTTTTATAGTTTTCTAAGACACATTTTTTTAACTTTTACAGTTATTTTTTGATTTATTATAAAGTTTCAATAAAACCATTTTTTTGATTTAAATCACATGATTAAAATTAAAAAAATCACTTGATTTAAATCATGCCAACCCTGTGAAAAATATATATGTTTTTAAGGTTAAACTATTAAGAGAGCAACTGAATGAAGAGATAAAGAGACGTCAGCAATACGTGCTGAGAAGTACAAAAGCTGGTCGCGAGATGCAACAATTAAGACAAGCGTTGGGCGATTCACTGAGAACAGTATCCCAAGATCCTTCAGTAGATGCTTTGTTGTTGGAACATGAAGCCAGAAAACTAGGTATTAATTAACAAAATAATAATAAACATTACTTGACATTTGTTTATCCAAAAATTCTTTTCAGATACAACATTATCAAGCACTGCCAGTTTGCCACCAAGTTTAAATCTACCTTCTTCTTCATACAGGAGGTCTATGACTCCTCAACCAAAATAGAATAGTATTTAAATAGTTCTTTATTAAATAATTCCTAAACTTACTTAGGACAAAAAAAAACCTTAGAAATAACCGAATTCGTATTAATTTTGTTTTCCAAAAATCTAGAGGTTAAATCTAAATAAAACATTTGTAATGCCTAGATATAACATAATTAGCACCGAAAAGTTACCAAAGATTCTTTTTAATTTTTAAGTAAATACTTAATTGAATTTTTCATTTCAAAACTCACATAAATAATTTAGTCACAGTAACTAAAAGACTGTCAACAAACAGTGTAGTTCATGCACTAAATCTCATCTTTTTATTTAAAATAACTAAAAAAATACACAATAGGTTATATTATAAAGTAATAATTTGCATAGAAAAAAATATATATTCACGCTCATAATGATGTCCATTTCATAAAAAAATCTTGCCAAAAAATCATATTTATTTTACTTTATTTTGTTGTATGATTTAGATTTTAATTTAATGTTTTCGACTAAAAGTACTTAAAATACAGTGTATTTATTATCCGTCCAATTTTGTATGTTTGAATGATATAAATGCTTTAATAAAATGAATGACACTGCTATTAGTCTTTTATTTTTATCCAAATTAGTTCAAAGAAGAACTAGCAAATATGGTTTTAACAAATCATATGCTGATAATCTAATAACAATGATTATCACAAGCATTTTTCAAAGATTTCCATAAGTAGTGTCTTTATTTATAACTCAATTTTACTTAAAATCAAATTAAAATAAAAGGCTACTACTTACAGTAGAAGTAGAACGTAAATATTTCTTAATGCCTCTTTCTTTTCTTTGGCAAAAATTGGTTCAAGTATTTATAGATAAAGGTACAAATGATTTTAGACACAGAAGGAACCTAAATATTAAAAAAATATATACAGCTTACCAAAGTATATTTTTATAGAGAACAAAGTCATATATCGTTAAGCAAATCAATTATTGTTTTATGGCAAACTGCACCTCACCTCAGGTTTATCAAACAGAATCGGTTTATAATGCAACAAATTTTCTTAATTTAATATTTATGAAATTAATGCATAAAAAATATAAACTACTTACTGAAAATTAATTAAACACTTAAAATCCCTCCTAAGAATAGTATTGTTTGCCACTAAGCCACTAACAGAGCCACTAATAACTTTCTAGTTAATTCTGGTTAATTATTTTATGCTAATAACTACTAATAACAAGCTAATAACCGAGAGATTGTTTACAAGTTGGAAAACGAGTTAAAAGTGAGGTTAAAATACAACAAATTAAACGTCAGAATTTATTTTAATCTATGGTAACATCTAGGGTACCTGTATTTCTGGTTGCCTGTAACCGTAATTTATCTAAGAACTAAGTATGTTAAAATTAAAAACCTCTTCTTTCAGGCTTTAGCGTACAATATTACTATTACCAGTAAGTTATAAATAGTAATTGAAGAAAAACTCGTTATAGTTTAGACAATTTACTTGGCTTTATAACAAAACATAAATGCAAAACAATCATTAATAACAAACTAGAACTTAACTACGAGGAATTACTTAATCTTAAATCAACAAGACAACAGTTTCTACGATAAATGCTCCAAAATATGGACCTAATATGCAAAAATTAAGTCCTTAGAGTGTCCCAATTTCTCCAAATTTGGGATGCAAGCGTAATTAATCATGGGAGGTGGACCGCAGAGCAATGTTATAGTATCGTCAGATGCAGGGAATAGGTGATCGCGAATCATATCCTCGTTGATGAACCCTGTACTATATTTCCAGCCTAAAAAATGAACCCAAGTGAACAAAAGAACCTTATTATCTACCTATATCATCTACTGTCACAAAGTATAAGTTGCTAAGTACGGAAAAGAATATTATTACGAATATTAGAATATTTTTTATGCCTTGCCAAAGAAAATTACAACTAGTCTTGCCTTACTTTTTTTCAATCTTGATTCATTATTGTTACCATACGTCTCAGACTACTCAATAACGAATTCCTTGTGACCACAAATACACAGGGTGTGCCATAAAGTTTCCAAAAAATATAAAATATATACAGTGTCACTGATAAAGTCAGAATCATAATTATGGAACTTTTTTGTGCCTAAAAATGAGATTCTTGGACGAATTTTGAAAAACTTTATTTGAAAAATCTGTTTGTTAATTTTACATAAGTACCAATTTTCAGAAATCTAGATAAAAAATAAAATCTCGTCATTGTTAACCAAATGACTGAAAAAGAATCCAAACTAGGCGTCGCGTCGCGTCGTGTTGGTTGTGACAATTTCAAATGTTAACAAAAATTGCCGAAAAAATGTTAACGCGTAAAAGAGAGCCTAATTAGGGCATTGTTGGTACAATAACATTCAATAACTCAACTTTCCTGGATATTCAACTCCCCCGAAACAACATTTTATAGCTTCATAGTTTCTCACACCGATTTGATCAAAAGCAAAAATGGATTAAAGCAGTTCGACAAAACAAGTGAGTAAACAAAGTGCTCGTTACATAATCAAAAAATTAAACAGACATATACCACAGATTAGGTATCCTATAAGTATACAGATAAAAATCTTGTCCCTAATTCGTGGTACGAAAATTGTTTTTTATGACGATGTGCAAACGAGTCAAATTTCCTGTGCGCAAAAATAAACTCGCGTAAAATAACAATAAACAGCGTAATAGGTAGATATATCTAAACCGAATAGCGTGCATGGACGTTAATAAGGCCAGGTGTTATTTCCTTTACGTGAGGTGGTATTAATTCTCTTCATTTATAGTTATCGGATCGGAAAGAATTCTGATCGCGTCGCGTCCGCTATTTAAACTTAACCTAACTTTGAATTTAAAACTTTGAAATTGTTTTGTTTACTAGGTATTTTAAAACTAAAGGGCTAAAGTGCTTATTTCCAGTGCTTTATTGTTCAACGTCTGCCAATGGGTTTAGGACAACAAGCAACAAATTCTCTTAGAAGGGCTAAGTCGTCATCTGCTGTAAACCTAAGACTCTTTATAGGTTCTTTAGTATTGGAAGAGGTGAAATCCATATTTTGGGCCATATTTATTTAATTAAAACTAATCCCAGCTACTTAAATATCAAATTACCTAATAAAACTAAAGCAATAATTCAAAACAATTCAAACATAACCTAAAATAAAAGATCTCGCCGGCCGGCTCCGGTTGTCAAATACCCGCACATGCCCATTTAAGCAATTTTTAAACGTTATCAGAGGTTATTTAGAAAGAGCGCTTGGTGTAATTGATCCGCAAATCGTCAGGCGGTAACGTTATTAGCGGGTGTTGCGTTGACTCGCGCATATCGTAACCATGATAAGGTACGCGTAAATACTGGATGACGCTATTCGGTTTTCCGATATCTCTCTAAGAACTGTGCCGGTCAGGCGCTGTGCACAATTTTAGAGGCCATAACTGGGCGTGCTATGTGCGCAAACTAGTCACCTAACTAGTGCCCGATTCCGAAAATTGGAACCACGAAAAACAAGAAGAAAAAACAAAGATTATAATCTGTATAATCTGTGCATATACTGTGAGAGCATAATATATAATTTGCAATATTAATAGTATACTTTTTTTTAATCAACTAGTGATTAAATGTTTTATGAACATCTTCATCTCCTAAAATTATTATTTATGTACCTTTAAAAAATTTCGTTATAGCCGAAATAGAACCACTTGCAAAACCGGTATGTATAATTATGCTCGCTAGCCTAGTTGAACTCATCTAAAAAGTGTTTTTAGCTGAAATAATAAACTATAAAACAAGTTAGACCTCCTGAAGATATTAAAATATTTACTTTTTTATCTTTATTTTTAGAATTTTGACAAATTATACTTCCTTTTAGAGTAATTATATAATAATTTTTTTGTATACTCGCTATTTAAACCCGTGTAATTGTATGTTACAGTGGAAGTCGGAAATTCAGTGATCGTTAACATTCACTAGGAAATGCTAGCAATTACGCATTGGACCAGTGAATGTGGTATTTTAAAGAGATTTGTCGACTTTTCCTAGTAATTTCTAACATTCACTATATTCACTAGTGAAAGTAACATTTACTAAAGGTCGACGGTAAAAGTTATTCTATTGTACAGGACGAGTGTGGAGAGGAAGAATGTTGGTGGAAGTTAGAACAAATAAAACTTTTAAGAATATTGGATCACCTCAATATTCAAGCTGATCTACATATCTTAAAATTACAATTTACTTCTTTAGTATAATTTAATAAAAATTATAGAAAATAACGACATACCTTCTGAATATTAAAAGCGATAGTAAACGTTTTAAAGCGTACAAAAGAATTAAAAAAAAAACATTCATAAACATAAGATTACTATAAAAAGAAAGTACTCTTCTTTTTTGATTTAATAATACAACTAATTTTAACTCCTACGTAATACCGAATAAAGAAGAAAACGAACAGGGAATTAACCAAAGACATCTTTTAATGTTTTTGGTTTTGTTCTTTTTAATGTTTTGTAATTTTGATTCTTGGGCCTGACCTATTCCTCCATCAGCTCTTCTAGGTCTGTGTCTGTATCCGAAAATTCGGACGCCTCAGATTCTTCGGAAGATTCAAAATCGCTCATTTCTTTTCTTTATTTTTTGAAGAAAAAAACACTAAACAAAAACAACACACGTTTTGTAGGTTCAGTTTACCAAGTAATGACGTTGGGTCGCAATACGCATGCGCCGGACACTTTACTTGCAAAAGATCCGCAAACAGGTCTAAACTGTCAGCTAACAATCAGAATTTTCTGTGTGAACAGCGTACTGTGGGTTGGAAACCAATCAAAAATTTCTGTGCGAACGCGTTTTACCCTATTGCGCATGATTATCTGTTGGAAATATGTTTCTTACAGCTGTGAGAACAAACCTTTTGCCTTGAAATTGGTCGCTTTCAAGGTCTTCCTTGAAGGTAGAACGCAACACATGAACTAGGCTTAAGAATTTACGCCAGATGTCTTTCAACGTTGTCAACGTTTAGCCGAATTTAATGTTATCCTTATATTGCCTATTATTCAACTTACCCTTATTTATCCATATATTTTACAACATGTGGCAACCGCGCTAACTGAATCTTTCAAACTCACTGCCATCGTCCAGGGAATGTTAACATTCACTAGTAAAAGTTGGTTTCAAAAATAGCTGTTGAACTTTTACTGGCGTAGTCTTAGCAAATCAGTGAATGTGAGCTTTTACTAGTAATTGTTAACAATCATTGATTTCCAACTTTTACTGTAACATATATATATCAGTTGTTTACGATATTCTCCGGCGGCACTGGCGGAGAATGCGCCAAGCCTATAGAAAAACTACTATAAAACGTCGTATTTCGTACCAAACGAGAATATTTAATCGGACAAAGATGTAATCGGCAGGACAAGTTCGCAGACCAAAATACGAAAGTTTTGGTATGTGACAGGCCAAGTCCGCAGGCCGGATCTTTTGGTGTATGGGCACAGATTATAATCTTTGTTTTTCTTTATTGTTTTTCGTGGTTCCAATTTTCGGAATCGGGCACTAGTTAGGTGACTAGTTTGCGCACATAGCACGCCCACTTATGGCCTCTAAAATTGTGCACAGCGCCTGACCGGCACAGTTATTAGAAAGATATCGGAAAACCGAATAGCGCCATCCAGTATTTACGCGTACCTTATCATGGTTATGATATGCGCGAGTCAATTTTTAACGCAACACCCGCTAATAACGTTACCGCCTGACGTAATTTGCGGATCAATTACAGTACGTCTGACCGTTCCGTAGCTACAGGGTATCCGTGAGAGGGAAAACGATTTTCTCTCGATGTTTTTCGTAAAAAAATAGACGACCCGTCCCATCAATAAAAATTCGACAAATTTGCAAGTAGCCAAAAAAATGAGTGGGCGGAGCGATTTGCGGTGACGTACTCGTCAAGTCAACGTATAAAATATATTGTTGTTTATTTAAATGTTTTTTGTCCGCATTCCTTTCATAGACACAGATCCAGCAGACGTACTGTACACCAAGCGCTCTTTCTAAATAACCTCTGATAAGTTTAAAAATTGCTTAGATGGGCATGTGCGAGTATTTGACAACCGGAGCCGGCCGGCGAGATCTTTTGTTTTAGGTTATGTTTGAATTGTTTTGAATTATTGCTTTAGTTTTATTAGGTAATTTGATATTTAAGTAGCTGGGATTAGTTTTAATTAAATAAATATGGCCCAAAATATGGATTCCACCTCTTCCAATACCAAAGAACCTATAAAGAGTCTTAGGTTTACAGCAGATGACGACTTAGCCCTTCTAAGAGAATTTGTTGCTTGTTGCCCTAAACCCACTGGCAGACGTTGAACAATAAAGCACTGGAAATAAGCACTTTAGCCCTTTAGTTTTAAAATACCTAGTAAACAAAACAATTTCAAAGTTTTAAATTCAAAGTTAAGTTTAAATAGCGGACGCGACGCGATCAGAATTCTTTCCGATCCGATAACTATAAATGAAGAGAGTTAATACCACCTCACGTAAAGGAAATAAAGCGGCCCTCACACGATCAATAATATTGTCAATGTTTTTTATTGTCAATGTTTTATCAATATTTGAAAGGTGGCCTGACACGGTCAATACATATATCAATATTAAGTTTTGTGCAGATATTAAGTGTTAATTACACCCTAAGATTATACCCTATGCCAAAAAATGAAAGTTAAAAAAAGCGTGTCATTTTGGCAGTGAGTGTCAGTCTGTCAGTCAGTGTGAAAAAATCGAAGAAAAAATTTAAGAAAAGGCGTTATACAAAAAAATGGATATCCAAAAAGAAAAAGGTTAGTACGTTAAGAAACGGGAGCCTGATGATTACGATCTAAAACCAGTGAAAACAACGACGGCGATGTTCTGTCTTCCGCCATGGTTACCAATAAACTAGTCAAATTTTGTTAATCATGCGACCTAACAATCAATATATTGTCAATACGACTAGCTCCGCCTTTAATATTGTCGAGTATTTTCAGGATCCCGAAAATCCATCAATATATTGAAACTAATATTGTCAATAATCCAAAATATTGACAATATTACTGATCGTGCGAGGGCCGCTTAACACCTGGCCTTATTAACGTCGATGTACGCTATTCGGTTTAGCGATATCTCTCTATTATGCTGTTTATTACAGTTGAGGGTTGGAACCTTTGGTATTACACAGCAAAATAAAAACACTAAATCACCACAATACACCAAAACACTTTTACTTTTACACTGGACGCGCGTTTCGCTAACCATGTTAGCATCATCAGCAGATGATTATAAACTAAATTTTTATTTTTATTTGTTTATAATCATCCAGTGTAAAAGTAAAAGTGTTTTGGTGTATTGTGGTGATTTAGTGTTTTTATTTTGCTGATGCTGTTTATTGTTATTTCACGCGAGTTTATTTTTGCGCACAGGAAATTTGACTCGTTTGCACATCGTCATAAAAAACAGTTTTCGTACCACGAATTAGGGACAAGATTTTTATCTGTATACTTATAGGATACCTAATCTGTGGTATGGGGAACTAATAAATAAAAAAAAAGTTCCATATGATGCAGATTTCATCTGCGACGCTATAAACAAAAATTACCATCATCAGCCTTATCCAAAGTGTACCACAACTTAAACCGATCCGGATACTTCTTACTGACTTCCTCCAACTCGTTCCTCAACAAAATGTCCTTCTCGGTCTGGTTAGCAAACAAAATGGCCGCCTGAGTGTCGTCGGTAGGATCTTTAGCTATCTGTCTGACCAGCTGCAAAATCGGAGTTATACCCACACCGCCGGCTATCAAATTGACCTTTTTAACTTTGACAACGACGGCGGGGTCTTTGCGCAGTTTTTTGATGGAAAAAGTGCCAGGGCTGACGTACTGTAGCCTGCCCGAAGGCCCTCTAACGTCGATGGCATCGCCTATTTTTAGGGCTTCTAAGTATTGGGTAAGTTGACCGCCGTCAGGGAATTTCGGGTGGACGTTTTTGAAGTAAACCTAAAGAATGGGTTTGTTTCAGCCTATCCATAAATGAAGGAAAGGGTTTAAAGGTCAGAGAAATTTGTAAACATAGAGGTGCATTAATATACAGGGTTTCCTAATATTCCGTGGACACAGAGAACTATTATGTATTTTTGAAATCAAAATAAGTTCATTGGACACAATTTACCTCTATATAAAAGTGCTTCGTTTGTCCGTTAGAGGGCATAAATATTTAAAAAATAATCACCTTTTTTTAGATATTTTAAGAACCGTAATTCCGATTTGCATGAGATTTTGGGTGTCTATATTTTGCTAAGTGCTTTAACATTTGACTTTTACAAAAATCGGGAAAAAGTACGGGAAGAGTGAAAACTACTCCCACCTGTACAAGGTGTCCCACTAAGAATAGCTCTCGGCTGTATCTCGGAAAGTATTAGTCGTAGAGCTTGCCGAAAAAAATATTTATAACTAAAGAGAGCATGAGAAAATGCTGGAAATTATTTTCAAGTTTGTATAGCGGCCGCTAGAGGACGCAACTGCTATTAAAAATAAGAAAAATGAGTTTGTACACAATTTTGCCTAGATAACGGATACTATAGATAATAGATTCATAATCTTCAGCAAATTTTGTATATATTTTGTTAGAACCATTTTCCCCTATCTGCCAAAATAAAGTGGTGGGGAAAGGTTAGATCTGTTTTTATTTAAACATTAATAACTCCGGACTGTATGAACGGAATCTAACAAACGGGGGCTTGTTTAAAAGAGCGTTTCTTACTCTATATTATAGCGTATAAACAATAATAATAAGCTTTTGAATGTAGACGCTAGGAGGCGCTGTCTTACAATTTAACAAACATTGCGCGTTTTTTCAAAAAAAAAATAAATGCGATAGTATATGTAATTTTAGCTGATAGTAAAGAGTAATAAAAGCTTAAAAAGTCAGCGAAAACCGCATCTTGATATCCTCTTTCAAACCGAAGATATTAGCAAAATTATAATTTTAGGCCCTTAATTGCCTTATTTTTTTTAACACGGTTACAGTAGCTCTCTTGACTATGATCATTCTAATAAAAAATAAGATAGAAACGATTAGTTTATTCTAAAATCGATAATATATCAGAATACTATAATACCAGATGTATTAATATCTAATAATTAAGTGAATAAGAAACGATGCGATGAGAAAAAAGATGCTTTTGACTAATAGTATTAACGTCAAAGAGTTATTAAATCAACATTTTGATAGTCCTAGCAGCGTTTTTTCTCTTTTGAAGAAAGGCATTTTTAGAAAAGCAATCAAAAGATAAAAAACGCTGCTGAGACTATGAAATTGTTGATATAATAAAATTTTGAGTTTAAACTATCTCTTTAAAAGCAACTTTTTTCCAAAGCCTACCATGAATTCACTATTCTAGGTTTCTTAGTCACTTTCATTGATATCTTAATTATTAGATATTATTACACATAGTATTATGGTATTCTGGTACATTGTCGATTTTTTGAATGAAATAATATTTTCTATCTTATTTTTTAGTATAATGGTCATAATCAAGAGGGCTATTTTTAATGTAATTAAGGGCTTATTTTTCTTAATTATTATAATTTTGCTAATATCTTCAGTTTGAAAGAGGATATCAAGATGCGGTTTTCGCTGACTTTTTAAGCTTTTACTACTCTTTACTATCAGCTAAAATTATATATACTATCGCATTTAATTTTTTTGAAAAAACGCGCAATGTTTGTTAAATTGTAAGACAGCGCCCCCTAGCGTTTACGTTCAAAAGTTTATTTTTATTGTTTATATGGTATAATATAGAGTAAGAAACTCTCTTTTAAACGAGCCCTCGCCTGTTGGATTACGATCAACCAGTCCGGAGTTATTAACATTTAAACAAAAACAGATCTAACCTTCCCCCACCACTTTATTTTGGCAGATAGGAGAAAATGATTCTAACAAAAAATATGCCAAATTTACTGAAGATTATGAATCTATTATTTATCGTATCCGTTATCTAGGCAAATTTGTGTAAAAACTCCTTTTTCTAATTTTTAATAGCAGTTGCGCCCTCTAGCTGCCGCTCTACAAACTTGAAAATAATTTCCAGCAATTTCTCATGCTCTCTTTAGTTATATTTTTTTTTCCGCAAGCTCTACGACTAATACTTTTCGAAATACAGCCGAGAGCTATTCTTAGTGGGACACCCGGTACATAAATTTTAGTATAAATATTTTACAACTCAACCGACGACCGATTTTTTACCGTAAAAGTTAGTTTCGGAGATACAGGGTGTAGAAGTTTCATTTTTATTTCGATTTTTTCCAAATAATTTCTGAAATAACGTCAATATTTGGATGAAAATTGGTGTCTGGAAGTTTTCTGACATGAGAAATTTGATATTGATGTCAATATGACTCCTACTAGTAGGGGGCGCCACCTACATATTTATTAACTGGTTTGAAGAGTTATAACTTTTCGTCCATACCTGTATAAAACTACTAAGTAAAAAAAAATACATTCGCGACGTTTTTTACGTGAAAAAGGTCTCTTGGTAAAAATCGCTACGAGTAATGATTTTCGAGATATTTGGAATCGAAATTATCCTGTCATCATTGACATAAATTAAACATGTTGACTAAATTGACGCTCATTATTTGGGACACTTGCGCTTGTTTTATGTTTGTTTTAGTGCAGGAAATTTATGCACACTGGGTTTTTGAGTTTTTTTTTTGTTTCGATTGTTGTAGTTTCAGTTTGCGTATTTATTGTTTTTTTTTCTTTCTGTTGCAGCTATGATTCATTTCTTTCATATAGTTATTAGTTATTTGTTAGAGTGTCTAGCACACACCGCAATTGAATTTGCTAGGTGCTATGAAATTATAAATATGAAACTATAAATGTAAATGTAATGTAACAGTGTATTTTATCACAAAAATAAAGGATACATGTCTCAATTATTAATTATTATTATTATTATTATTATTAAAAATAGTTATTAGACTGAAATCATAAATTTGAAATGTTTTTGTGCCAAAAGTTCAACAGAAACTGTTTTATCTTATGATTAATTTAAAAAAATTAAAATATCCCAAATTTATTATTTCAGTGAAATAACTATATACTCAACGTGTTTATTTTTCGTGAGTAATGACATGTATTGTCTATTTCCATTCTAAATATCTTAAGAACGGTTGCTCGTAGCGATTTTTACAAAGAGATATTTTTTATGTAAAAAGTCACAGATATGTATATTTTTTTGCTCGGTAGTGTTATACAGGTACGGAACAAAAAGTTATTACGCTTCAAAACAGTTAAAACACATGTAGGTGGCGCCCTCTACTAGTAGGACTTATATTGACATCAAAATCAAATTTCTCATGTCAAAAAACTCCCAGGCACCAATTTTCATCCAAATATTGACGTTACTTCAAAAATTATTTAGAAAAAATCGAAATAAAAATGAAACTTTAACACCCTGTATCTCCGAAACTATGCTTTTTAGGACATACATTTATACGAACTTTTTTACTTATTTTTTTCTGTAGAATATGCTGCCGAAGTTTCCGGAATACAGTTCGGACCACCTTGTATAGATTTTTTAAGTTTTTTTTTGTGTTTTTATGTGGGTAAAGTCCAAGAACAGTTAACCTAATAGGACTGCTCATTAAGCCAAAAGTGTCCGCCAGGTACATGCGAAAACTACTCTCTTTGTGACGTCATTGTAGTCCTTGTCATGGTTATTCAGTGTATGGAGTCTAAAAGGAGGAGGCGAATCGAACGCAAAAATTATGGGCCCAGTTTTTGAGATCTAAATGAAGTTCGAAAATCGCCGTTAGGGGCGCTTGTGATGATTGGGATACTAGAAATACACAGCTTCTTATGGCAAGAATAACTATTTTGTTATAAATTATAGAGCCAAGTTAATATTTGGGCATATTTTTACCAGAGTTAGCTTTTAGAAACGTGGTTTTTCTAATTGAGCAATGTGCGTGGCTAAAATTGTGAATACAAAACCTTAAATTTGAGTTTGAAAAGTTAGTTAGGTTATATTAGATGCCGGTTTAATATATCCTTTTCCTAAGTTGATATTATAAAAATGTTTTATTATGTGGTTCTTTTTAGTGCATACACGACCGAAGAAACATATAAGCTGCTAAAATAAATCTTCCCTAGAACTGTTGTACAAAAAAGATAGAAGTTCCAGCAACAAATTTATCACCAGTTCAACCTTTGATTTGATGTAAACAGTAATTGTTTCTTGATGAGAAATGCGAATGAAATAGTTTATGGTGTGATTGTGTTAGTGTTTTATTAATAGTTTTGTTGATGCAGTTTAAAGGTTCATAGTTTTTCATTAAAACATTTGAAATTGACATGTTTACATGCAGTTTAGTGTGATACCATTTTAATAAACATTAAAATCTTTCGAACTAGTAGTGGTTTTATGGCGATTGACAGATTGAATAACGAAAATTAAGAGTATTTTATCAGGAATAACTTAATCATAAATGGAAACTGAAGACGAACGTTACCATTGCACCCTTTGATCGGTGTTATCTATTCCATAACTTTTTATAGCTGAAACTAGAGAGTAGGTATATTGAGCTGAAACGTTTCCTGTGTTCAATAGCGTTTTTTCTAGCGTTGAATTGTAAGTTTTAATGTCATTAGCAAAGTTTTGCAAATTGTCACTGTTTCGTAGACAATTAAATTCAAGATATATTATATTCAATGTCACCTAATAATTGTAAAGGTTTTTCTATTGATATTCACTTTATTAATATAAGGTAGGTTTGTAAATAAAATATTAATGAATAAATAATGTACTCAGTTTATTTCAAAAGCACAAAAATACAGAGTTGTGAATATGTATATACGCTGACTTATTTCATCATATAAATATTTATTTAGCAATATTAATACATTACAACTTTTGTTTCTATTAACTAATTCCACTAAATTTTTGAATTAGAAACTTTTTCAGTTGCTTCACTCCTTACACATGGTGGTTTCCTCTTTCTTTTATTACTAGAGAAATATGAAGGCAGGTTAGGAAAAATTCTTGGAATTGAACCCTCCTTTAATAATGGTCTACCCCGCTCAATTCTACTGATAGTTCCGTCAGTTAATTTGATCTCATAATGAGTCAAAATATCTTCATCTAGAAAATGTAGTTCACAAACAGCATCTTTGCTGCTAAGTGTCTTGTCTGATCTGGGTATCGCCTTTTGCCACTGCTGTAGCAAGCTAGGATCCTAATAAAAGATATATAATTGTTAAATAAAATAAAAAAAAAACATTTTTCACTATTAAAGCTGTTATTTTGAGAATACGATCTTGAAGTATAAATATTTAATATTCACTTTCAATAGCACTGTTCAAACTGTGGTTAATATAGGTACATGTCAACAGGTAATTTTAGCACCTAGTAAGTATTAAATTATTTTAATTTTATAACAAGGCCTCCTAGGTTATGTTATACACATGTTGATTTTAGGCTATATTTCCTATTAATTTGGTTTATAATTTAATCTGTACACTGACAGTATATAATTTTAATGTTTTTCTTAACATCTATCCATAATTTTTATAAATAAATAGTCATACTACTTACATTAGGAGCTTTGAAAAGGCTTGGGTTTCTTTCACCCCGTTCTTTATTTGCCTTGTTTTTATTGGGATTCCCACTTGTACAGCCAGGTACAAAGCAATTTCTACCACGACTCATGTTGTACTGCTAAAAATTCAGTAAATTAACTATAAATTTTATTAAAAACACAATTAAATCGTATACTAACAATGAAAATGTAGTATCCCAGTCGATCGCAGTGCCTCTGCTGTCAAACCGAGGAAGCTGCTTAAAAGTGGGGACAGAAATTTCAAATTTGCCCATTGCCGATAAATCTCCTTTTTTAAGCCCTCCATAATTCAGTGACCATACACACGTGCATTATTGGTTGCCGACTGCAAAACGTTCATTATTTAGTTGATTTATTTAAACACCTTATATGTATGCAGTATAGAAAATTAACTGTATAAATCGTATTAAATACTTGGATAATGCATTTTTAAAAACAGCAGTTCCCAGCATCACCTTTTGCAAGCATTCTTTTTAGAATACTTCCATATTTTGCTTTAAAATAATTAATAAACAATATCGTGGGCACTTAGTAAGCACTTTGTCATAATCAACAACACAAAATGAACGTATTTAGACACTCTATAGCTCTAAAAACTTTAAAGACACCTTTTTCACATTTAAAATTGACAAAATAATTAACTCAAAATTTATCACCTGTTACTCATAAGTTTACCATAGGCAACTAATATTACACACTATCATGACAAAGCAAGGACAAGGCTTTGACAAGGACTACAATGACGTCACAACTGTCAGCTGAAGCGCGGGAAGAAGCGAACGTACATCTTATGAGGATGAGCAATCCTATTAGTTTACCGTTCTTGGGTAAAGTCTCCTCTAAGTTTTCTTATTTCTCTGAGATTTTTGTATGGATGCTTACCTTTATCACCAGATCTACATAGCCATGATCATCATCTGATGATACGGGCGTGTAAGATCTCACCACCAAATCATCACCTATTTTAGCTGAGATATGAATATGCTGACCAACGGGTAACCCTACGAATTTAAAGAAAATTCAAATAAAAACTATGGTTTCTAAGATTTTTAAAATTGTCATACCTAGAACATGTTCCTTTGAAGGTAATCCAAACCTGAAATTCCTGGTATCATGACTGATGATTGTTTTCTCGATCAGAGGGATTTTGTATTTGGTTTGAGGATCCTCAAGCAAAACTTTACGTTTTTTCCCTAACAGAAGAAAAAAATATAATTACCCTACATCATCCAGTGTATATGCACAATACAGGATAATTCCATATATATAAATAAATATACCTACAACATTCACACATTTTACATAATATAATATTCTTTTACTTTAAATTATGATAACTAAAGTATAGAGAACTTGACACTGACTTTAATGATGAATAATTAAAAACAATGAAAAAATTTAAATTTTAAATTCATAAAGCCCATAATTATACAGAATTAACCTATAATACTAGTTGAAATAGTACCTTTAGATTGTGTTGATGAAGACTGGTTTGATATGTAAAATTTGTATAGTACTATCGAAGTAACGACAATTCCTACCCCAAGCACTATTGGAAGAACCTAAAAACATACAATTCTACATATTTTGAAGAAAAACAGGTACAAATTCGCAAAAAAATCACATCAAAAAGCACAAAATTAGATTGTAAAACGGATATCCATATTATTGACAAGAAAAAGTATTAGTACAATCTAAGAGCATAAAATTAAATATAAAAACTAAAAAGATCTACTAGCTACTAAAGGCTACTAGGTACATTATTTACCACCAAGTATGGTGAAATAGATGAAGATCCCATTGAAAATCTTGATTTTTACAGAAGAATTTTTAACTTTTTTTCACAAATATACCTGAAAATACAAAAATATATTGACTAAATGAAAAATGTACCTATATGCCTATCTAAAAATAATTAAATTCTATTTTTAACTATTCCAGTGACTAATATTCAGGTTAGTCCCCTGTCTACACCTGTGAATTCATTATTTCTTGATTATTTATTAGTAAGATACTATATATCATTAAATTTGTATCAATGAAAGTCAAAATAGCATAGTAGTTTTACTTTAATTTAATTAACTTGTTAATGATGATGCTATGGTGTTTTTAACAAATCAATTACATGTTTACCTGTGAATTTTCATCTTGAGACATCGTAAGCTACTCAGAGACACTATTACGTGATTTAAAAGTTAAAAAACTACGTTTTTGGTGATAAAATTTAACCTACACGAGTCAACGAGATAAATGTTATTGAAAATTGATCTAACACTGAGAGATTATACACAAACGTTTGACTTACCCCACCAAGTGACGAATTAAACATAATTATCAGCACAGCAAAGCTAAAATTGCCAGTAGATTATAAGTATTGTTTATTTAATGCAAGGCGAGTTACTTGACTTCCATAAGATCTGTGTCTAACCTCAAAATAGCTCAAAATCATGTGTTTTTGACAGAAAAACAGAAAACTAAAAAGTGCTGAAATTAGTTTTGCGAAAGGGTGAAAGTAGGTGAAAGATATCGTGCAATATTTTAACTCATTTCTAATAAATATCAAAAGTAACCTAGGACGTAGGTATAAAAAATAATGAAGAATGTTGAAGAATTTTTTGTAACACCTAAACTATTCACAGTAGTTTTTTTATGAGTATTGAAATTAAAACAAGAAAAAATGGACAAGAAAAAAGGACAAAAGCAATTACAAAATTGCCCTCTGGTGGATTATTTTTGAGACAGTCCTTCTTGGGATCAGAAATCCACGTCATTGCTGTGCGTCATTGCACAGAATATACTAACGAAACGTCATTGTTTCCTGTGAATCCCTGAAGTGCGGTTGGTGTTGGGTTTTGAGTGCATTTTCTGAATGTTTTATCTCAATTTTATTGGTTCCAGAGGTTCCAAAGCGACCTATAAAAGACGTGTTCGTGCGGTACCACTTGCAGACGGTGTATGGTCTTCGGAGTAACTTAAATATTCTCTTCTGTGACTTAAATTTGATAATTTATAACTAAATATCCGCCTAAAATGAATACCAAAACTCCGGTTTCAGTTTTGGAAGAATATTTGGTGTCTAAGGGGCATCCCAGGGCCTCGTATGAATTCAATGGGACTGGGGCATCCCATTGTCCCTCTTTTACATGTTCTGTGAATGCTGGGGGGCATAGTGCCGAGGGAAAAGGAACTACCAAGAAGGATGCTAAACACGATGCTGCCAAAAATGTGTTGCAACTATTCCAAATTCAGATGAACAATAATAATACAGAGGTAAATATTTTATTTATTACCTTTTGATTTCAGCTTCCTTAAAATTTATATATTATCATACTACTTTACTAAAATAATGATTTTAATCGCATTATACAAGGTGTCCCAATATTCCGTGGACATAAAACAGAGGTAAATATTTTATTTATTACCTTTTGATTTCAGCTACCTTTAAATTTACATAATATCATACTACTTTACTAAAATAATTTTAATCGCATTATACAGGGTGTCCCAATATTCCGTAGACATAGAACTACCACACTACTACGCATTTTTGAGAACAAAATAAGTTAATAAGTTCATTGGACACAATTTACCTCTATACAAAAGTACTTAGTTTATCCGTTAGAGTGCATCAAACTTTAAAAAAATTGACACATTTTTTAGATATTTTAAGAACCGTTATTCCAATTTGAAAGATATTTTGGGTGTCTATGTTTTGCTAAATGCTTTAACAGATAACATTTGACTTTCGTAAAAATCAAGAAATAGTACGGGAAGTGTGAGAACTACCCCCATCCCTACATAAATTTTAGTACCTATAAATATTTTCCAAAGATATTTTCCAACTCGACCAACAACCGATTTTTTTTCGTAAAACGGTCCTTCTAATATTTACTACATTTTTTGTCTCTTGTAAAAAACGCCACCGCGCATACTTTTTGAGTAAAAAAAATATTTTTTTCTACAAACGTCAGTAAAAATGTAATTTTGGTAAAGGTGTGGCTCCAGTGGCTGACCTTGAAGCCCATATTTGATGCATTTGATCATCGATACTACGCAAGCGCACATCGTCGATGTTGCCAAATTGCAGTTTATTTTCGAATTCTTTGCAATTCAAAAAATTTTTTTTTTGAATGTTAATCAGTAATAATACTAATTCTATAATTAACTTTATAATTTGAGACTCATCTTGATATCCAAAATTAAGGTAAGAAGGAAAATGAAGATTGTGAAATGAAAGTATTATGAGTATATAAAATTGTAATAATAATAACGTATGTATTTATATATTTACATTAGAATTAAAAATTATCATTTACGGATTATTTCTTAATGGTTTTAAACTTATTAGAATTATTTTGTATCATCAATATGACACATTATTTATTACATCCAAGTTGTTTAATTTCTAGTTATTTACAGGCAACAATAGTTTTGGTTATATGTATGTATTAAAGTACTACCATGAGGAGTCTTATAGAACAATACACGTCAATGGGAGATAGAGGTAACATTTTACCTACTTTGATTATAATGTTTTTATCATAATTTCTTAAAAATATCAAGTTAGTGGATTAATAGCAATTTTAGACAAATATTTTATCGAAGAGTGTGTTGATAAGACTGAAATAAGCTGAATAAGCTTTATGTTTGATCTTTTTCTCTTTAGAAGGGAGATGGTTTGTGTCGTAGAATACATTACAGTATTTAATATCGTGTACTTTGATATTCTTTTCTTAATTTACTGTAATTTCTTGTTTCCTAAAATGCCAAATCTTGACATTATTGTGAAGGTTGAGTTTTGATCTTATTAGTTTTATACCTATGTTTATACAAGACTACAAGACCAAATTAAGACTTAGTTAGTTTGTGATTTATATTAAGATCTTTCTTATAATATTTGTTATGTCTTAATCTTAATACTATATTATGCTTTGTCTGGAAAATAAATGTTAAAATATCTTAATTTTGCATATCCTATTTCATCCTTCCATTAGGAAAAATATGGTTTATAAATCATATATGCTAAAAAAATCACAACCATTAGGTGTAAGAATAGATTGCTACCGAAGGTAGCAGAAAATTAATGCAATATATGTATAGCAGAATTAAACAAGGTAACTGTTAATGTTGCTGAAGCTGATTCTCCAATTTTAATTACGGAGGCTAAAAGGCCTTTTAAAGCCTCTGTAGTTTTGATGGAATGTTAAAAAAACCTATTATGAACATGACATGGAGCTACAGCATTCAAAAATTAAAAAAAAAGAAAAAACTTGGATACATCCGAATTTTTAATGGAGCACTTTTTAAACGTAGCATAATAATCTAGAGCAATTATTATTATTATTAATTATGGGAATCTAGAGTTTTATTTCTATTTAATTTTATTGACTATGAAAATACATAATAAGCGTTCACGTGTTGTGCGAAATATTAAAATAATAATATAAATAATATACCGGGCGTACTATGATTGAAAAGAAAATAGCGTCAGCGATGACTATGAAATCAAGATCGCTGTCATTTTATATGGGAAATGTCCTCAATCGTCATTTCCCAGCCAACTGGACGCCATTTTTTCGATCATATGGTATGTATTGACAAAAAAACACTGAAAAGCAAATATTTGCTTTCTACTGAAAATAATTCCAAAATAACTTGCAATCTGGCAACATCGAAGATGTGCGCCTGCGTACTGTCTGTGACTATGCAGCAAAAACTCGTTTTAAGGTCAACCACCGGATCCACACCATTACCGTAATTTTTAACGCATGCTGTCAGGGTGCATCCACACTATCCTAAAAACGGCGTATCGGCGTAACGCCGTAACGACCTTGAATCGATTTCCCGTAAGTCTATTGGCTGAAAAATTCATCTGTCAGAAATTTTATCTGTCAAAAATTTCAGCCAATAGAATTACTGGAAATCTATTCAAGGTCGTTACACCGTTTCTAGGATAGTGTGGATGCACTATCAGTGCCTAAAATGTGACATTATGTCACTGATGGTAAAAGTCATTTGCTGCCGAAGTTTCCGGAATACAGTTCGGACCACCCTGTATATCTAAAAAAAATAGATAGAATTTTTATTATTTCATAACATACCACGCATTCCAAAAGAAGACCTGTATATCTAAAAAAAAATATGAACAAGAAAGAAATAGTGAGGGAAATGTATAAAAAAGAAGAAAAAGATTAAACGGCTCAGCTTAAAAAAAAATAGATAGAATTTTTATTATTTTATAACATACCAGACATTCCAAAGGAAGAAATATTAAGTACCTACCTATATTATTTACGAGGTTATTTGCCTGAAAAACTGCATACTATTTAATTTTTATTTTGCGTGTGTATTTAAAGCTTGATTTTCATGTTAGAAACATTTAACCAATTGAAGCCTTTAAATCCAACCAATAAAATTAATATCGTATCATCGTATCGTCGGATTACGGATACATGAAAATCATGCTTAATCCGAGGTTTAATCTTATTAATACATTCACTTCAACATGGGTTAATAAAATATAATAGGAAAATAATAGTGGGTTAATTCTAGAACGTTCTTTTACTTGTACGTAAAATTTTATACAGGGTGTTAAAAAAATGCGAAAAACTTCAGGGGGTGATTCCTTGTTCAAAATAAAGGGTAGTTTGCTTTAATGTTGGGTCAAAAGTCAACCATTAGGGAGATATCGCGGTACAAAGATGGCGGAAAAATAATGTTTTTATTTTTATCTTGATAACGAAAAGCAATAGACTAATGAAATTTTATGGAAGCATTACTGTTATGAAAACACATTTTCTGGTAATTTTCTCACTTTTTTTAAAACGAGTGGAAGGGGTTGAAATAAACTACCTCTATCATTCTTTTAACGAAATTTAAAGAAAAATATAATGAAACACATGCAAAAAAATTACTTTGGATAGCTTAGTTTGTTTAGAAACTTTTTTATCTCTTGTATTTTTTTGATTAAACTCACCAATTTGAAATTAAAAAATAAAATGTATCGCATTACCATGTCAGGACAAAAAACATTTTTAGATAAAGAATCTAGTGGGCTGTTGTAATTTTATTGTAAATACTTACTTATTAAACTACTGTAGGTAAATTAAATAAAAGTAAACTGTTATAATAATAAAAATATTTAAAAAATAGGATTGCGATTTAAATCTCCCTGTAATAATTATAATTATTTTCAAATATCGCTCCATATCTTTTCATATTAAATTTTCCAGTTGCCCAATATCTGTATGATGCCGGTAAAACAGAAATCGGAGGCTATCGATCCTTTCATAAACTACGTGGGAATGTTGAACGAAAAAGCTGCAGCTGCCAGACTTGCTCTACCTCAATATGAAGACTGTATCTCTACCCAGAATGGCCAATTCGTCTTTAAATGTCACTTCAACCAAATGGAATCTTCCGGCTGTGGCAGTAACAAAAAATACGCCAAGCAACAAGCGGCAAAAGAAATGTTTGCCAAGTAAGTAGGAATGGGCTTTTTTTCGATTTTTTGATAAGTGACTTCAAAATTATCCATATTGTTACGTTTTTCGTCGGTTCCGTGTGGATAGAAAGTCACAATTTATTTAAACACTATTTATTTAACACTAATTAACAAAAAACAATAACGATAAAAGACTTATAGAACTATTTACAAACGATTTATAACTAAGAATTTATTTTGAATTTTAGCGCGTCAACTGCACTGGTATATTTATAACTGCCCTCTCTAGGCCACTGCCGCCGGCTTTATACCGACAGGTAAAAAGAAATCTAGAATAGTCCAAAGATCGTTAGGCGCATAGAGAAGGTTTTCGAAGGTTCTCGTATGTACGAGTCCATTCTAGTGGGTCTCGATTCTTCTCGAACGAATGAATCATTGCGGTGTCTATGCGATGTTAAGGTCATCCGAGGGCGGGCCATATTGTGAGGTTATGTCGAGTCCACACCGGCTCGCAACACTGCCCCCTTCTTAGGCACATGCTCGTCCCGAGATGTATACGGTGAATGAAGGTATTTGCAAAGCTGGCCCCTGGTACATTGCGAAGTCTGGTAGAAATAGCAGTCTACAGTTTTCTCTCCCGATCTCAGCTTTGGGTTGTAGCAGCAAACGAGGATCTCGATTCCCGTAAATCTGAACAAGACTTCAATCATGTTCCGGATTGTACGCCAACTCAAACCATCGAGTCCACACGCCAGCTTCGGAATGGCTAATCGTGCAATGTTGTTGTTTAGCAGGGCTTCTCTCAGTTCAATCAGGGTCTTCCATAGATTGAGATAAGTCGGCTTACTCGGGGACCATTCCTTGGTGACCAGGTAGAAGATGTGCCTTGCTTGACCATGTGCATTGTCGGTTAGCCTCAAGACGCTTCCAACCTCTGGATCCTGTCGGCGTAGTTCTCCGACACGCCCAAACTTCTCATTGAACGTCGCAGCGATTCCTCTGGACATCCGCAAATCTCGAGCCACACAATGAGCGAGCGAATAATCAGGAGGCACGGAAAAGAGGTCTCGTTGATCTTCTTTGGTTACACCATAGCGAGCCTTCTCACTGCTGTTGTATCGGGCCATGAAATCGTCAAAGGACATCTCCGAATCAGGGGGATCAAAGCTGCAGGTTCTCACGGTCCCAGCACGATCTTCTATTTCGCCTTGGTAGGGGCTCAAACGGTTGAAATGGACTACCCTCGGTTTTCCTTTTGGCAATTTTCTGATACGGTATACGACGTCATTAATTCTATCCATGACTTCGTATGGCCCTTCCCACGAGGATTGTAGCTTCGGAGATAACCCACGACGTCTCTGCGGGTTATATAGCCACACCAACTTCCCTGGTTGGTATCCTCCATGCTCAGCTTGAATGTCGTAGTGTTCCTTCATTCGGTCACTAGCACTTTGAATATTTAGGCGGACTCTCTGATGAATGTCGTCCATCCTTTGACGTAGTGTGTGGACATAATCTTCTCCGGCGACTTCTTCTCCCGGTCGGCAACCAAATTTCAGATCACAGGGTAGGCGCACTTCCCGTCCCATAACGATGCTGGCTGGAGTTTGCCCTGTAGATTCTTGGACGGATGAACGGTAGGCCAACAGGAACAGGTGAAGAAATTTGTCCCAGTCTCTTTGGTGGTCAGAGACTACTTTGGCCAGATAACGGTTGATAGTTCTGTTCATGCGTTCAACCATCCCATCGGATTGTGGATGTAGAGCAGTCGTCCTGGTCTTGCGGATGTTCAGGACTTCACAGACGCCTTGGAACAGATTGGACTCAAAGTTTCTTCCCTGATCTGAATGAAGCTCCATGGGAACACCAAACCTGCAGATCCATTCTTTAACAAGGGCATCAGCAATCGTGGACGCTTCTTGATTTGGCAACGCGTAGGCCTCGACCCATTTGCTGAAGTAATCCATTACTACCACAATGTATTTGTTGCCATCGTTCGTCTCCGGGAAAGGACCAGCCACGTCGATCGCTATTCGTTCGAAGGGACTACCAACATTGTACTGGCGCATAGGGGCTTTACCACGCTTTTGTGGCCCATTAATGGCTGCGCAAATGTCACATTTCTTACACCAGGCCCTCACATCTTCTTTGCAGTTCACCCAGTAGAACCGTTCACGCAGCTTGCCAAGTGTCTTGGTAACACCAAGATGTCCACCGCTGGTTCCATTGTGAACTTCCGCCAAGACTTCCGGGACCCTCTTCTTTGGAATGACGATCTGCCTTCTCTCTTCTTGTCCCTCTGGTCTCACAATCACACGGCGAAGTAATCCGTTATCTATACCAATGAATTCCACTGGGACCAGTACGACTTCACGTTCGGCGAATATCTGCAAACTTCCTCCCACGTTGGTCTCTGGTCCGCGTTTTTCCAGTTAATCACCAAGCCCAACTCTGGATCACTGATTTGGTCATTTGCAAGATCTTCGGTTTGCCAACTATCACCAACCACAGTCGTCCTTAAGACTTTCACTTCTTTCTCTTCTTTGTAACGATTTCCCATCTGTCCGCAATTCCAACAGCGAATCGGTCCCCCCTTCTTGCTCATATACTGATCCAGTACTTTCCGCACAATCCTTTCCACTTTGGAATCGTCGGAACTCTCCTCAACAGCCCGTACAAATCCTAGAGACCTAGAGCATTCTTTCGCGGCCTCAAATTCCAGGGCACGTGCTAGGGCATCTCCCAAATGCGTTGGATGAGCTAAAAGAAGTGTTTGCCTTGTCTCGTTGTCACGTAAACCATCAATAAAAGCCTGTACTGTTAAGCGCTCCATAACATTTTCGGGCATAGCAGGGTACGCAAGGCGAACGAGGCGGGCTACGTCGGCTTCAAACTCCTGCAGAGACTCATTTGACTTTTGAATGCGATTTTTTAGCTGGGAATGATAGACATGTTCCAAATGAGCTTGGCCGTACCTCATTTCTAAATGTCGTACCAATTGCTGATAATCTCCCTGTTCGATGGTGACAATGTCTGCAGGATATCAGTCGCATCTCCTCGCAGTGCGACAGTCAAAGCGGTAGCCTTTTCAGCGATTGTCCATCCGTTCGCTCTCGCAGCGGCCTCAAACTGGCAAAAATAATTGGCCCAAGCGGTTTTCCGTCAAACTGTGGAGGCTTAATAACTGACTTTGAGATATACTTATTTTCGACTAGTTTCGGTGCCTCCGATGTTTCTTGACATTTTGGTGAATTGGCCTTTTCTATTTCTTGTTTTAAAATTTCGATTTTTCTATTTACATCTTCCTCAATCTGTATTATTTTGTCTTGTAGCTCCGTAGAATTCTCTATAATCTTTTCTTCTAATTCCCTGGAATTTTCTGTTATCTTTTCTTCTAAATTAAGTATTTTATTATTAAAGCTGGCCTGTATGTCTTTAGAATTTTCTGCGATCTTATCTTCCAAAATATTAATTTTATCACTGATTTTCTCTTCTAAATTAACTTCCAAGTTAATCATTTTACTATTCAAATTGTTCAAGTTGTCGTTTAAATTGTCTTGTAAATTTTTCAATGACGAGTCAAGGTCACCTTCCAGCTCAAAGCAAAATGTTTCAGGATCCTCACCTTCCTCCACCAAAACGTCTCTCAGTCTGGCTTGCAAAATGCTTTTCTTTCCATCTGTCTCGCACTCTCTCTCTTCCAATATGCATTTCAGTTCGGACACTTTCAAGTCTTTCAACAATTTTTTCAGAGCCATGGTCAGTCTTTTTATTCTTCTAGTCTATCACACACGCCACACTTGACACCAATTGTTACGTTTTTCGTCGGTTCCGTGTGGATAGAAAGTCACAATTTATTTAAACACTATTTATTTAACACTAATTAACAAAAACAATAACGATAAAAGACTTATAGAACTATTTACAAACGATTTATAACTAAGAATTTATTTTGAATTTTAGCGCGTCAACTGCACTGGTATATTTATAACTGCCCTCTCTAGGCCACTGCCGCCGGCTTTCATACCGACAGGTAAAAGAAATCTAGAATAGTCCAAAGATCGTTAGGCGCATAGAGAAGGTTTTCGAATGTTCTCGTATGTACGAGTCCATTCTAGTGGGTCTCGATTCTTCTCGAACGAATGAATCATTGCGGTGTCTATGCGATGTTAAGGTCATCCGAGGGCGGGCCATATTGTGAGGTTAGGTCGAGTCCACACCGGCTCGCAACAATATTTTCAATTATCGTTACTTTTTGATGTTATTCTTCATAATGACGAGGTGACTTTGATCTTTGATTTGATGACTATTGTTGTATACGACTGAATATGGTTCTTAGTGTCGAAGATTGTGCAAAAATCATTGATCTCGTTGAAAATAGCCGAAATTATGAATATTCCTTTGGTCCTTGAAGAAGAATGGGAAACAACACAATATACAGGGTGGCGCAGCTTATTCGCCTCGGTTGATTATACGAAAACGGAAAGATGTAGAAACAAAATATTTTATGGGTATATGTGGGGAGGCAACGTGGCACAATTTAAAATTATTTTGAAATATACAGGGTGTCTCAGAACTAAGGTCCATACCAAAGTTATATTTTTTCTTATGGAACACCCGGTATTTTATTTCATTTCTGGATTCCTGAGCCCAAAAAAACGTTTATTATAAGGGTTAAATATGTTTAAAATCATTGGTTTTTGAGATATTTAAAGATATTTAAATATGCATGCTACAAGAGAATTGATTATCAACACCCTGTAGATTACTTTTCAGAATTAATTCTTGTGCTGAGTTTAAAGGTAAAGAAATAAACTTTACTGGAAAATGTTATTGTTTCCTTAAATTTATACAGGGGTACCAAAAATTAGTGATCTATTTTAAGGATTTATTTTACATAAAAACTTTGTTATTTCAAATGCAACACCCTGTATTTTTTTAAATAAATCGAAGCAGATTCAAATGCTCTTTCAAACTATATTAGGGTTTCCTATACCTATCTATCTCAGATTTTGAGTGAAAAGCGATTTTTAAATAAAATGGCAAAATCAAGATGGCTGGTATCGCCATGGCAATTTTCTAGTGATAATTAGTAACTATTTTCAAAATCGACATTAGTGTATGGACATTATTATTTAAACAGTTTACTAAAATTTACCCACAATAGTTTAATAAGTAAGTATTCTTTATTTTACGAAGAAAAATAAAGCCATATCTGCTGGTAGAACGAATGGACATTCTAGGAATTTTATTTTGTGAGGAAAATTATTTCTTGGCCTCAAGAGCTAATGTTCAAAGATATCCAAATAGGAATCTTCCTGATAAGCGTTCCTTTGAAAAACTACTTGTCCTATTTCCTATTTCGCAGAATTGGTAGTGTAGTTTATAAAAAACCTATTAGGTAGAAACCTGTCGTTGGAAGTGAAGAAATTGAATTTGCCGTAATTGGCTCTTTTATAAAAAATTCATATATCTACAAGTTATCGTAAAATAAAACAAAGAACTACCTACTTCTTCGTTTTTCTTGATAGAATAATAAATACATATTAATAAATATTATTTATTAAACTATTGTAGGCCAATTAAATAAAAGTAAACTGGTATAGATTTAAATAAAGTCTATAAACTAATGTCGATTTTGAAAATAGTTACTAATTGTCACTAGAAAATTGCCATGGCGATACCAGCCATCTTGATTGCCATTTTATTTAAAAATCGCTTTTTACTCAAAATCTGAAATAGATAGGTATAGGAAACCCTAATATAGTTTGAAAGAGCATTTGAATCTGCTTCGATTTATTTAAAAAAATACAGGGTGTTGCATTTGAAATAACAAAGTTTTTATGTAAAATAAATCCTTAAAATAGATCACTGATTTTTGGTTGCTTAGTTCTGTTAGTGTTACTAAAATTTATAAAAACCAAGCCTGTATCGTTACTTTTTAACGTTTTTTAAATTATAATATAGAATTCTAATGCTGTGTCGATATGACATTACGACAATAATCACCAAAGCCACCTCGTGATATTTAAAAATAACATCATAAAGTATTGATAGTTGAAAAAATTGCAAATTGTTGGTGTAAAGTACCCCAACCCATACATCAACCTTTTATTATTTAGCATTTTTCTCGTAATTCTCAAAACAAATAACACTGAACTTTTTCGTTTGCTCACCCTGTACAATAAGATACAATCATTCACTGATAATGTCTTGCTAAAAACATGTTACAACAAATATGATATGAGTCATAACATAACAGTCAAGCACATGCAAAATAAAGAGAGGTTTATATTTTTAATCTGAAAAAATGTAACTATTATATTTAAACAATAATGAAGCAACATGTTTTATAATATTAAAAATAACGGCATAGTATAAACAAAGTTTACAGAATTAAATTGTGTAAAGTTTGGTATATTAGTTTAAATTAGAATAAATTTGTTCAGACGTGTTTCCTATCATGATCCGTTTATTTTTGAAATTTTAATTTTATCTACCGATAAAACAGTAGTTATAATTTGACTTGCTAGATATCAATAAACCAATATTTTAAAATTATTTACTGATAGTACTAATAATTAAAATATTTGAAAAAAAAATCATTTAATTTAGTATTTGGATGATAATATAACATTATAACTTACATTTTTACTAATATTATTACTTCTCATATTATCTTAGAGATATACAGGGTGTCTCAATATACTGTGGACATAGAACTACTACATATTTTTGAAATCTAAATAAGTTCATTGGACACAATTTACCTCTATATAAAAGTCCTTCTTTGGTCCGATAGAGGGCATACGAATTAAAAAAAATAAACACATTTTTTAAGATATTTTAAGACCGACATTCCGATTTGGGAATGAGAATTGGGGTATTTATGATTTGCAAAGCGCTTTAACATTTGACCTCACAAAAAAAACAAGAAAAAATACGGGAAAGGTGAAAACTACTCCTACTCCTACATAAATTTTAGTAGAAATATTTTCTAACTCTACCAACGACTGATTTATTTTAGTAAAATGGTACTTCTAGTATTTACTACATTTTTTATCTCAGACGAAAAAAAAAGTGATATTTTGATTCCGAAAATACGTAGTAGTTGCATAAATATATACAGGGTGTCCCATATAAAAAATCAAATTTTTTGTTGATAATTCTTAAATTATTAATTTTAAAAAAATTATACTTAAATCATTAAATTCTACGTAAAAGGATGATTTGCATATGTTTTCATAAGAATACAAAATTTTCCATAACAAAAAAGTTACAGCGATTTGTTAAAAATGCACATTTTTGAAAAACACCCCGTAACTCCGAAACAGATATCCATGTACAGTTTTCACCATCATGTTTTTGACAAAAATTGAGCTCCCGACACCGATATTAGTTTTTGTCTATCTTCTATAGAAAAGGGTGTTTCCCTTTAAAACCGTCCATTTAGCCCACCCTGTACAGGGTGGACCATTTTGGTTGTTTCTATAGGGTATCTAGGAAACCATGAAAAATATTCAAATTTTGATATTGCAGTCTCGGGTAATTTGAAAAAATTACAATGGCGCAAACGGATCGTGGCTATCTTGATCGGTTTCGAAGCTACAGGGGGATTCTCATATTTTGTACTTTTTGAAGATGTTCGATAGTTTGTTTATTTCAGCAACCACGGAAAAATGAATTATACAATCTAAAGGCACTTTTCTGTGTAGAATGCAGTGGCGTAGTCAGTCTTTTTTCGAAAAAAATATTTTTCGAAAAATACGCTTCGTTTGGTTAACCGTTTCTAACCAATCAAAGTCTTTAAAGTCAACCAATAAAATTAATATCGTATCATCGTATCGTCGGATAACGGGTGCATGAAAATCAAGCTTTACTCGTAGCGATTTTTACCAAGAGACCTTTTTACGTAAAAAACGTCGTAAATGTATATTTTCTAACTCAGTAATTTTATGCAGGTACGACCGAAAAGTTATTACTTTTCAAACCCGTTAAAAATATGTAGGTGGCGCCCCCTACAAGTAGGAGTCATAATGACATCAAAATCAAATTTCTGCTGCCATAAAAAACTCCCACATACCAATGTTTATCCAAATATTGACGTTCCTTCAGAAATTATTTGGATCAAATCGAAGTAAAAACAAAATTTCTACACCCTGTATATCCGAAACTAAGCATTTTAGGACATACATTTATACGAACTTTTTTACTTCTTTTTATCTGCAGAATATGTTGCCGAAGTTTCCGGAATACAGTTCGAACCACCCTGTATACTGGGTGGTCATTTATAACAATACATGATTGGGAGTAAAATTTATACCGAATGAAATAATTGTCTATTCTGATGGTTTTTAACTATTTTTTTACTTCAATTTTTAGGATACAGAATGTTCCATTTAGTGTGCCCAATAGTGAAATGCCATCAAAAGAAATTTTCGTACCCAACGAAAAAAATACACACGAAGCTATTTCAAAATACTTACTTTTAATGGAAAACTTGCAGATTCTCCCAAACGACGATTGTATAGAAGAATTGAACGTAAGTTTATAATAATAATATGGTTTGTATTGGTCAAAAAAATTAATAAGTTTACCGCCGAGGTCAGCGAACTTTCAGGCCGCAATTACGTCTCCCGTTCGCTGTTTTAGTCGGTGGGTGATGCGGTTTCTGAAACACATCGTGGTATAAAACAAAAAAATACCGTCGCGCGTCGCGATGGCCGATTCTGGGTGCGGCTGTAAAATAGAAATAATTTTGCGATCATCCTTCAGTTCTATGGTGTATTCAGAAAAGTTAAAAACTATTGAAGAAGGACCTCCAAAGCATATTTTGAATATTAATACTAAATTAAAATCGTATATTCGTCATTTTAGTGAAAATGTTATAATAGTGAACACTGGTTATGGGGTTGTAAGTTGTAAGGCACTCAATAAACTTTTTTGTAGGCGTTATGTCTACTATTTACCAAGGAGAAAAATGTATGGAGTACTACCGGCTATGATGATTTTTGATGAACATTGAAAGTTCATTACTAGAGAGTCTGTAGAATGTAGAATGTTTAGGAGGGGAGTTAATCACCGCGACCTTATAGATCTATTGTGTGTTCCCCTTTCTTGAGTTATAACGAGTTATAACTCATCATACAGTCTCAGGGCTTTAACAAAAGCCAGTATCTGAGACGGTTCCACAGAGGCCAGCTATCCATCCTCGACATCAGACGTACCAAAGTTCATGGCACGAATAGTCGTCGTCTCGGCGCACTCAGTGATAAGGTGTTCTGGTGTTTCCCCATTTTCCCCACAGAATCTGCATTCGCCGTTGTTTCTCAGCTTCAGCCTACTGAGGTGTTCGTTGAGGAGACAGTGTCCTGTTAGAAACCCCGTGACAATCCGAAGATTGTTTTTACTTAAATCAAGGAAAACCTTTGATTTTTCTCGGTCGTAAGTTCTGAGGAACTTTTTCGAGTGTCTTAGACCGTTGGAGGACACCATAGATTTAAAATAAAATATAGACTGAGCATCTCATTCATAAATAGCTGGAACACGCGGTCAGACAATGTCTTGTTATTGTTTTAGGTTATTACGAGTGCGACACGAGCGATAGATAGGTTGTCTCTGTCGTAACGGTCGTTTCCTGACGACTCTGACGAGAAACGCAACACTGTCTTTCGTTTCTCAAGTACACCTGAACTCTCCGTATCATAGCCGGGTATTTTTTTTATTTTAATGAAGCTATAATTAAATTAAAAATATATCGTATTTAAACTTTTTTATATTTTATTAAGATTTAGGAGAGGGTTTTTTAAATAAAAGTTTAGAAAAAACGTCTTAGAGTCCAAAAAGAATAAAAATAATAAAATACATCTTATAGAAGAAATTTTATAATCGAAATTACGTAATTTTTGAAATTATTAAAAAAAAATATTAATTTTAGTCAAACATTTACAACCCCTAATATTAATCAAAACAGGATCTATTCTACAGATATAATAGAATCGGCGACAGGGAGAGAAAAAAAATTATGATTGTTCTATGAAAACATTTCCAAAGCACCTTTTTACGTAGAATTTAATGGTTTAAGTATAATTTTTTTAAAATTAATAATTTAAGAGTTATCAACAGAAAAATTGATTTTTTATTTGGGACACCCTCTCTATTTTTAATTAACTGAAAAGAATTTAAAATTACCTTTCCAAAAATATAGCACACTTGATATTTTGTTATAATCCCCTTTGAAATACAGAATTTTTAAAAGTTCGCCACTTTTAGCTAGTAGGCTTTGGATCCCTTAATGGAACTCGAAAATATATTTTTCCAGCAAGACGACGCGACGCACCGCCTCGGAACGCTGAAGTTATCAGCAAATTTTTGCAGCCAATTTCAAGAATAATTGAATAGCTAACCAAGATCCCAGCCGTTGGCCGTCGAGGCCGCCTGACTTAGTGCCCATGGATCTAATCCTATGGATATATTTGCGGAAGAATTTCCTTATTCCTCCGTATAATCTAAACATAAATTAGAAATACTTAGCTGTTATGAGGGATGAGGGGGTATCTTTCACCCATTCTGAATTAATGAATTCCGCGAGAAATGTTCAACAACGGCCCCGTCTGTCCATAACAGAAGACGGTCGATATGTCGAACACCTGTAGTAAAATCTCATGGTTTGCTATTTATTTTTATTGTTATTAGATATAGTTTAAGTGTGTTGATGTTGGTTAAACATGATATAAAATCCTGCATCTCTCATTGCAAATATTATTTTCGTGCTCACAGAAATTTTTTTTGCATTACAGCCGGTGCCGTTCAAAGCCTACTAATTTAAAGCGGGCGAATTTTTATATACTCTATATCTCGAAGAGGAATCGAGCAAAATATCAAGTGTGTTATATTTTTGGAAAGCTAATTTTAAATTATTTTCAATAAATTAAAAATATACAGGGTGTCCCATATAAAAAATAAAATTTTCTGTTTATAATTCGTAAATTATTAATTTTAAAAAAATTATACTTAAACCATTAAATTCTACGTAAAAAGGTGCTTTGAAAATGTTTTCATAAAAATACAAAATTTTCCATAGCAAAAAAGTTACAGCGATTTGTTAAAAATGCATATTTTTGAAAAACACCCCGTAACTCCGAAACGGTAACAGATATCGATATGCGGTTTTCACCATCATGTTTTTGACAAATTAATAAATGAATTATTGCTTAGGTTACCAGCCAATATAAAGTATTTTCAAAGTTTACAGTATTATAGTCCTAAAATTTGTCTTAGCCAATGTTTAAAACAGAAGTTTATTGATTTACCATTTATAGATATTTTTGACGATCAGCGAATATTGTATATGTTGGAAACAAATTATAATGGTTTGCTTGATGTAAACTGAACCTCTTTATATGGACAGGATATTTTATCTAACAGTTACAAGTTTTGGCCTGTCGTTTTTAATCATGATCACGCTGCTGGAATTCCTGTTTTTAGAGATATTGCAAATTTTGTTTTAACTACCCAAGCAGCATTTGGACGTCGGGACAACGTTGTGTCACGCGACCAAACGTCGGGGCGCAACGTCGGCACAACCTCGTACCAACCCTAGTCTGCACTAGTTTGGAGAATAATTTTTGGGTCGAAACGACGTTGGATACCTACGATGACTAGCAGCCTAATTTAGTACAAACTGCAACGTTGTTTAAAATCCTAATTCACACAAATACAAAACTATAATAATATGGCGTCTAAGTCGCGATTTATGCTAAATTCGGATAATTATAGTAAAAATATTATTTTTATGATTTAGTTAGAGACATATGCCAGATGGCAGTAAAAGAAAACAAAACAAAAGTATTTAAGTGTGGAGGATGTTTGAAGATCATAATTATTGAAACACTTTAACCAACTCTGTAACTCGGTACCCAAGGCAAAAAAGTTAAACGCAAACAACTTTATTGATAAATGTATTGTTTCTACTTTGAAAAATACTAATGGGCCTTAAAATTAAAGAAGTTTTAATTTTTTTGAGCTCCAGACACCGATATTAGTTTTTGTCTATCTCCTATAGAAAAGGATGTTTCCATTTAAAAGCGTCCAATTTGACCCATCCTGTACGGGATGACCCATTTTCGCGTGTTTTATAGGGTTTCTCGTTTATGCGTAGAAGTACATTCACATTACTATGCTACTTTTTTATGAAAAATTGGTACACATATTTGTCCTAACCCTCTTAGTTCTTGAAATACAGGGCGAAATTGAAATTGTTGCCATTTTTCGACTACCTTCATATCTCGGCCATTATAACTTATCGAAAAGTAAAATTCAGTGGTTCAATTCCTATGTAATTTAAATGGGAAATGAATCGGGCAAGGTTTATTGTGAATATTAAGGGTTTACAATGGTCTGTTATTTTTTTTAGACAATAAACTAAAAATTTAGAGGGCGTCGTGAGAGAAACGATCAACTTTGTAAATAAGGGACATCCTAATCATCAGACAAATACAATAAAAGTCAAACCACACACACGTTCACATTTTACATATTAAAACAACACTGATATTACTTATTTCTCAATGTAAATAGCCGCTACTGTAAAAAAACAAGAACAGTTTTTTTTCAATTGCTTTTTCTTTTAGGATGACATTAAGACTTGGGACGACCTAATTTCTGCACTAGATCAAAGGAAAATTTCTCACGAACTGGGAATATTTCAGCGAAATCCCACAATTTGGTCGTTCAAAATCAGGGAACACGTTTTATTAGCCACTGGAAATGACGAGAACCATGCCAAATTGAAAATAATGTCCAAAGTGAGAAGCATGCTGAAAAGCGGTTTAAGCTTTACGTCAATGGAGTACTAGTTATTTTTAATACCGGGTGCGTCTCAAAAGTGGCTCACCCGTATAACTTTTTTATCTTTTTTTCAGAGAAAAATCGAGATTCGGTATATTAATATATGACATAAATTAGGATTGATTGACGTATTCAATTATTTTCTGTCACTTCCCGTTTCACCGGAAATGACTACAACTTTTGATTTTTAAATGGCACCCTCGGTGTTTTGATGCTTTATTCGATAGAAACACTCTGAATAGAATGACATGTCATATGCCAACTTTTGACATTTTCAAATATGGTTTATTTGAATTTGCAACATGCGATTCATAACGACAATTTGACTCGAAACACCAAGTGTGTGGTACCAAATTATTCATAAAAAATGCTTTTTCGAAATATGCTAATGAGCCACCCTCGTTCCATTTGAAAAAATTGAGATATGATTAAAATTACGATTTGGCATATTTTAACCGGCCAGGATAAGACACAAATAACGTTAGACAATCAAATCTATTTTTCCAAGGCTATTTGGAAATTTTTATTTTTTTTCCATTTTCTATCGAATAAAGTAAAAAAATACCGAGGGTGCCATTTAAAAATCAAAAGTTGTAGTCATTTCCGGTGAAACAGGAAGTCCCCGAAAAGAATTGAATACGTCAATCAATCCTAATTTATATCATGTACTAACATACCAAATCTCGCTTTTTTATCTGATAAAATAAAAAAGTTATAGAGATGAGCCACTTTTGAGACGGTATATGTATACGGGGTGGCTTAGTGTTAAAGAGTGTTACATCTCAGAGGATTTGTCAAAATTTTATAACTACAGGATGGTCTGAATTATAATCCGCAACATATTCTGCACATAAAAATGGATATTTTTTTATATAAAAACATACCATAAAATGCTTCATTTTGGATGTATAGGGTGTACAAGTTATATTTTTATTTCGATTTTTTCCACGATTTTTTTGGTTTTATTCCCATCTCTCTTACACTGAAAACATTTGCCAGATTTACCTGTATATTGGTATTAGCCTGTATTAGTATTCGATTAAATACCACAACCAATTATTAAGTTAACCACCCAGACGCCAATTTTTATCCAAATACTGACATTAGTTAAGAGATTATTTGGAAAAAATCGAAATAAAAATGAAACTTCTACACTTTGTATTTCCAAAACGAAGAATTTTAGGACATAAATTTATACAAACTTTTTTACCTATTTTTATTGGTTTGGTTCTCTTACGTCTAAGAGAACTAATATAAAGCTTTTTTTATTTATTTAATCGTGAATTTAATATAATTTACATAAGAACAAAACTATCAATGACAATAATTTACTATCAATATTATTTTAGTATGTTTCGAATTGTTATAATGTTTAGTTAGTTGAATTTTATTAATATTCTTATTATATATTACCGAGAATTTATTCATCTACTCTATATTATTTTTCTTAAAAATACATAATTTGAATTGTTAAAATATTAGCAAAATATTTTACCTTTATTAGAAAATGAAATATTTAAAAAAATGTATTTTTATATAGAAATAAATAAACCAATGTTACATTTTTCCATAATTGTTTTATTTTTTATATGCCACTATACAAACATTTTCTAACGTAACATTGTTATCAACGTAGTAATGCAATGAGCAAGTGAAACCTGCTGTTTCTAAATGTAGCAATCTACCCCAATTGATTAAATTTTTACATCGTCTGCCTATTTCCTCCCTGTCGTTTCTCTTGAGTCCATACTCCAAACACCTTAAAAAATAACTAGAATTTATAGAGGAAAGTATTCAACAGGGATCAGCGTGTAAAAACTATCAGTTTTTTTAACATCATAGAAGGCTTTTCTAAAAACTGCTAACCAGGGTACCTATTCTTGACCACTCGCATCTCCGAAAAATTACGTACCTATACTCAAAGTTGCAAACGATGTCAAGAATAGATACCCAGGCAAGACACAAAAAGTACATTTTTACTCCGAATAGAACGTGCTATTTTTGTTTTCAAACGTCGCAAATAGTTTTTCATACAAGTTTCCGGAATACAATTCGGACCACCCTGTATATAGATTGTTTACGATATTGTCCGATGGTGGCAGCACCGGCGAAGAATGCACCGAGCCTATAGATACAAAATTTTGTCCAAAAAGTAAAAAAAAATGGGGTGGACCACCCTTATCACTTATAGGTATAAAAAATAGATAACCTATTCTTAGACCTACTCAACATTTATATAAAATTTCAGCAAAATCGGTCATGCCGTTTCTGAGGAGTATGGTATAGTTTGTCTAAAGTTAGTTGGAATAGATCGGGACATTTTTTAATTTCGGCACTGTATTTGTCGGCAACGTCAAGACAAAAGGATTAGTCTTGGTACTTCCAACTGACTTTAGAAATACTATAACAAAAAATAAAAAAAAACCTATTAACTAAAGTAACATTATTACCCCTATTAACTACTATGGTTCGGTAACTAAAACTGTGACACGGAAATTTTATATATTAGATAAAGCTTTTATATACAGGGTGAGTCTAAAATAAGTGCAAACATTTTAGGGGTTAGTATATTTCGACCCCAGAAACACGATGAGAAATTTGGAATTTTTTGAAAAAAAAATCTATACTAATATATAAAATCCTTAAGTGACTGACATACCGATTAATCACAATCCTGCTCAAACCACTCAACGTAAGAAGCTCAATTTTGGCATACAGGTTGATTCGAGGGTGTAGAGGTTCGATAAGAAGGGACTTTTCGAAATTCCAGTTCCAAGAGGGTGAAACCACCCCTCAAATATTACAAATTTTTTATTTAAAAAACGGTCAAGTTTCCGAAAAAACCCTTAAACACGTATATTTCATTTTGTTTTTTTACATATTTTAAGATTTTTTAAAAATGTATACAGGGTGTTTCGAAAAATATGGTCATTGATTAATCACGATCCTGCTTAAAGCGCTTGATGTAAAAAGCTGATTTTTGGAAAACAGAAAGATTGACTTTAGGGTGTAGAGGTTCGATAAGAAGGGATTTTTCGAAACTCGAATTCTAAGGGGGTGAAACTAACCCTCAAATATTAAAATATATTTTATTTAAAAACCGGTAAGTTTTTCGGAAATTAACGTAATAATTATATATATTAACGTAAATAAACACGTATATAATATTAACGTAAATAAACACGTATATTTTATTTTGTTGTTTTACATATTTTAAGATTTTTTATAAATTTATACAGGTTGTTTCATAAAATATACACCTATCACTGAGTGCGCCGAGACGACAACCATTCGTGCCATGAATTTTGATACGACTGATATTGGAGATGGAGAACTACCCTCTATAAAACCGTCCCAGATACTGGCTTTTGTCAAAGCCCTGGGACTGTATGATGAGTTATGATTCAAGAAAGGGGGACACAATGGATCTGTAAGGTCGAAGTGATTAACCCCCCTCCCACTCATTCTAAATTCTAAAATTCATAAAATATGACCAATGAGTAATCACGATTCTGCTTAAACTGTTTGATGTTTAAAGCTGATTTTTGGCAAACGGATTGACTGTGGTATTTTAACCAAATTTGGCACAAAAATACTGTGGCACCCGAGAATCTGGCCATTAGTTTTTGGTGGGGGTGGGGGGTTGGTAAGGGGGTATAGGAGGGGGTTAAAAATTTTAAAAAATCGTAACTCCAAAATTACAGTAGCTAGCGAAATGCGGTTTTCAAATTAATATTAGGAATAATATTTGCAACAAAATCCATACATATATAAAAGCTCAAAGGGCTTTTGAGCTTTTATATATGTTTTTTCTGTTACATCCATCCCGCCGAAACTGCTTTACCAATCTTTATGATTCTTTTTTTAAATGAAAGGTATATATGTCTAGATTTGTTATGAAGTATTTATAAATTGTTGAATGGCTATTTCTTTGTGTAAATTGACTAAAATAATAAAACATACCTGAAAAACACCTATACACAATACCTCCAGAAATAAATTATTTGTCATTGTCAGTGGTTTGTCAGTTAGATTATATATCAAGTTTTTAGATATTTTAGGGATCAGTTCATACAGTCAGCTTTAGATACATAAATATTAGAACAAAGGTTCGTTTAAACGACATTAGTGAATTAGCTACACAAAGCGATTTTAGGAAATTCATACTCTTAGAGAGTAAAATTATGTCGGAACAATTTGTATGAAAATTCCTTACTATGTGGTCTAGAAGAATGAAATCCTACAAAAAGAATTAGAAGATATTTTTGAAATTCATTTTTTATTTAATAGGTATATTTGACCCCAGAAACACGATTATGAGTTTTTTCGCGAAATTTTTTTTGAAAATTTGGAATTTTTTGAAAAACCTTTTGGAATTTTTTTAGTTTTTAGATAAAAACCATAATTTCTTGATAATATGGCAACATAGATAGGTAGTAGATTAAATTTACAAGACAGAAAAACCCGAAAAGCTGCAGTGGTTCTCAAAATTTAAGCAAAAAATATTTTTTTTTGGAAATTTTTAAAGTAATTCGAAAGAATTATTTGAAAAACGGTAAAGAGAAAATATGTTTTTTTATCGAGATCTACCAGCCCTGAAAATATTTGCACTTATTCAAAACTTGCCCTGTATAATACCCAGAAAATCGACAATTGATAACTTTCATATGAAATACGAGTAGCTCTAAAACTCTTAAAAACATAGTTTAAATAGGGCATTTGTAAGGCTCACTAGCTCTATATACAAAGTAAATCATTTAAATCAATGCATGAACTATTCGAGGTGTAACGCGAACGTAGTCGCGGGAAAAACCTAGTTTATAATAACATCAAAACCAGTCAAAGTCGCAGTTTTCGAGATATTAACATATTTTAGTATGGGCGGCTATACCTGCTGAAAATAAAATAAAAAAAATGTTTACCCTGAGATGGTTTCGAACTCTGAATTTCTCGGTTTATGCGGAACGTTTTCGCATCGCGCTATGGAGAATTCCTCGATTTATATTCAATACTAGAATTTAAAGGACTAAATAAAAATATAGGAACTTCTTTCAATGCGCAGTAATGAACGCAAGGTCTATCAGCAGCCAGACGACTCGCACGCTGTTCCAGAGAGCATAGCAAAAGATATATTAAAGGGCCAGCCTCCTTCAAATACTGGTTTTCCAGACGTTGCTAGCTCTTGTTCTATTATGGACGCTTTCCAATCTAAACTTGTTTTATCTATGATTGCCATCACGTCGCAAAAATTAATACATTTGTGACGTTTGAAACCAAAGGTGTTCCATATCTTACTTTTCAGTTTCTTCAGGATCTTTATCAATTTTTTCCCTAACTTCTCTACTTAATCCAGAGCCGCAAGTAGCCCAACTGGACAGACAACACATGATATTAAAATCTTCCTTGGTGAACTCATTTTCCTAAAATACTTCACTTACATAAAACATTAAATTTAAGCTAAACCAAACAAATTTTTTGCTTACAGTAAAAAAATCTTTGCCAGTATATGGCGTCCAACGACATCTATGGTGACAACAAAAAGTTAAAACCACCCCTTTTAGTTTATTTCTATTTTCACTCATGTTGGTCAAACATTTTATGGTCAAATCTTGAAAAATTACATTTTTAATAAGTCATTTTAACTACTGCAACTTTTTATAGGTACCTGTAGCTTCTCCACATAAATGTTTAGTAACTCCTACAATATTATCTATATCTTTTATTATATCTACTTTGTCTAAAACTAAGTCCTTTATGTCTGCCCTTATTCTATGAACTCGGTCTGTTGTTTTGGCTAATTTGTTGTCTTTTTTGTGTTTAGGTGAAGCTCTTTCAATCAACAATAATTTAACTTTGTCAAACGATTCTGTTATTTCGGCTATGTAATAACTAAGCTGACCTAAATAAGATTTTTTATTGATCTTTAAGAAAAATATGTATATCTAACAAAAACAACCTCTACCAGCACCAAATTCAATATAACATGAATTATCTTGAATTAGTTCAAAATTATTCAGTAACCCAAGAATAGAAGACACTTGCCTCAAGTGTTTTTTAGTTTTATCACCGTACTCAGGTTTACTTAGCTCCTCCCTCAGACTATCATGACACAGTTTTTTTTCTGAGAGTTTTACATATTCTTAAAACAACATCTTTAATTATTACGAAATTAATTAATTAAGTTGTTATATTAATTATTCAATTTTTATACTAAAAATCATACTTTCGAAGAGTTTATTTGCTTTCTGTATAACGGCCAAGATGTGATCTTTGGAAAATGTTGACAACAGTTGATATGAATCATTTAAATCAGTAGAATTTTTTCCTGAATCTCCTAAATTAATATCTTTCTCAATATAAGGTTCAGTGTGATCTTGTCGGGCATTACAAATTTTCAGATGCTTTGATAGATTATGCAGGTACACAGTACTAAAAAAATGCAGTTTGTCAAGTAGATGTATGATATAAATATTGTTGACTTACTGTTTCCTGTCTAAGGGGCACAAAATTCGCGTTTTTGTATCATTTTCCATGTTTTTATCGAGGTCTTCAACAGGTTTTTGATGTTCTCCGCAATATTCTTGCCCTGATTTTACCAACATTTTACAGTATCGTTTTTTACGCTGTACAAAAAACTTACAACGTATATCAGACATTTTAAAAGAATCTCTGTTATTTTTGTATTAAAAATGAACAATGAACAACACATCAACACAAAAATAGGTTAGAAGACTTTCCGAACTTTAGGTTAGGGAATTGAGAAATGTCAAAAATAAGGGTAATAATAAGAGTAATAACCTTTAGTTATTCTGTGGTTTGGTAATAATCGTCATGAGAAGTATGGATCATAAGGGCTTTTCGGAAACTGTGATCTGATTGATCGGATTGATAGGATTACTAATCCAGACGTTCGAAAAGTGATCTCAAAACGAGTCAATGCGTTCTGAAAGTGATCCGAATAACTCGATTTTTGCCATATGTTGTGATCCTACTAACCCTCCTAATGAGGTGGGTAGAATTAATCAGCTGATCATTTCTAGGATAATTTTAAACGTAACGGTCCGCATAGAAGTATAAAGTTTTTTAATAACCGTTTTGTCCGAAATCACTTTATCTAATGTTGATCAAATACATGATATTTTGTTAGTGACCGTAAAAATGAGCCAATCAGCATAGCATCAAGTAACTCTAGATTTTAAATAAATAAAAAACCAACAAGTAATTCTAAAGATACTGACTGCGAAAAAGCACTATCGGAGACACCCAATAGGAAAAAAATGAAAACTCAACTACAGAAAAGTGGTTTAAAACATTTAGATTAAAATAGCCAGGCATAATGAAAGAATGGAACTTGATAGACAATTCTGAAAATTTTCATCACAATTGGTAGATAAAAATTGATATATTTTTTTATTATTAATATGATGGAATGTTTATTATGTTGGCAGTAAATAAATGATTAAAATAAAGTTTATAGTGTTTTTGTTTTAAATGGCATAATTTTAAAAAAGCCTAAAATAAAACACATTTTGTTTTTATAAAAAATAGTCTTACAGAAACTAAAAAGTATACTTAAAGCAAAACAAATAGGATAAAAATAGATCTTATACAATCGTTAAAGATTAGAAATATAATAATATAATAAGAATATTAGGATTATTTGTTTAATTTATCTCTTTTTACGAAATATATTTAAATGTGATTGTTAACCCAATAAATCTAATGATCCAACCGTTCGTAATTAAACTACCAGCTGATTACTCTCAGCACTGATCTTGGAACAGCTGATTAGTAAACTACCTAATCTAGGATTTTATTTCCGAAAACCCCTATAGACAAACTAACAAAAGCAAGACTTTTCAAAGGATTGAGGAAATCGAATTATTGTTTTTGCGCTGGCCAGTTGATGGTGGGTTCATACAGCCAAATAAAATAAAATAAGAATAAAATAAAATAAGAAATAAGGAATTCTTATTTGTGTGCGTTCATACAGTCAAATAAAATAAAATAAGAAATATATATTTGCTCATGCGCAGTACGATGAGGCTGGATAAAAGTTAACTTTTACGATTGTTTATAGTAATTTTACCATTTATAGTATATTTATTTGTTCGTTGCCTACTATATTATATATTTTACTTATGTGAAATTATAAAATAAATTAAATCCAAACTGAAAATATTTGTAGGTTAGAATTAAGCGTCCGCAAAGCCGTTTAAAATAAAATAACACATAAAATAAAATAAGAAGTTAAAAGATAAAGACTTCTTATTTTATTTGTTATTTTATTTGGCTGTATGAACGCATGTACGGTATCCCATATAACCAACTTTCTTATTTTATTTTATTTTATTCTTATTTTATTTTATTTGGCTGTATGAACCCACCATGAGTCAGAAATCATCGCGCAGTCGCACTCGTCAAACCTAACCTAAATAAAACGAAAAACGTTTTTGCCTTGAATCATCCTTGAACGAACTGTTGAATTCCTGATTTTGCGTTTTGTTTGGTTATTACTATTATTTTATTAGCGTACAAAACGAAAACAAATAATTTAATACATTTTACATTTATGAAGAAAATAATAATTACTGTGATTATACATATTATTGTGATTACATCGCTAACGTAGACAAAACGAAGGTCCTACAAATTGACTGTAAGTTATAAGAATCTTTATCTTTTTAATCTTTTTATGATTTGAATTTTCGTGCTTTATATTTTATAATAGACTCGAAATGTTAATATTTTGCAAATTCTTGTGAAAATGTGAAGTTTATGTTTTTGTTTTATATTTGAAAAAGTTGTATATTTTAAGATGTTTCTTGTTGTTTCTATTATTAATATTATAATATACATAATTATTTTTTTGTACCTTTTGAAGAATAATGCTTTTATTTCGTTTACCATAACTGTTGTTTTTTTATCATTTTTTTTGTTATTTTAATAAGAGGAATACGTTTTCGTTTATTTAACTTTTGTTTTTATATCTGTTATGTCCAGAAATTATTGTTTATTTTACCGATGGAAATAAATTTATTTGATTTTAATAAACGCTTTTTAATTAAACATCCTTGTCTAAAAGGCTACTACAAAATACACAATCCATAAGTAAACCGTCCTCGTCCAATGCCTTCTATTAAAAGATCAGCCTACGGGCGGACTTTTGTTTACTTCATCAGCTGTACATACTTAGATATTGGGTTAGATTCCGTTTCATATTTTGTCGGTTGATTTTTGGTTTTAACTCTTTGATTTTTGGTATTATTTATTATTGTAGTGCAAAAAACTAATTATTTTTGGTGTTGAAGTGACATAAACTACTACCAGATATATGGTCACTCTCGGTTTCGCACAAAAAATAGAAATTTTAAAAATTACACGTTGTGCAAGTGATTTAACCTAAAAGTGCCCATACATTTTTACTTATCGTGATTTTTGTGTGTGTTTTTAAGACTCTAACAATTCATCAATAAAGCTTAAGTGGAGTGTGTTATTGGTGCTATGCCTCATCTTTGTTGTGTTCCTGGTGGAAAGGATGGTTACTAAGGATAGTTATTATACTAGGCAGCCTAAAGTGTCCGGAAGAGCAAGAAAAGTGGGTACGAGTTATAAATCAAGAGAATTTTATTGAAAATATCTTTAATAAATTTAAAAATAATATTCTCCCATGATGGTATTAATGAAAACTGGACAATTATGTTTATTTTATTCATATTGTGGAATCTCCACTCCAAGTGTTGCTGGTTCAGCTTCGATAGATTCAAACACGTAAGTAGGTATTATGATCTAGGGAAAAATAAAGAATATGTGTATTAGAGATCATGAAAAAGATTATTATTTTGAGTTCAAATTTTAAAAAAAGATTTTTGTAAAGACAAGACTGATACAGTTTAAAAGAGAAGAATGTGTTTTTGTTTGATAATATATAATGTATGTTAAGCATAACATATATTTGTTCAGTAACTTTTAATGAATAGTATTGATTATTTATAATACCAAATTAATATCAAATATTTAAGTGATGGCTGAATACAATATGAATAAAATAACAATAAAATTGGTATATTTGCATAATACAAAATTAAGTTTTAAGAATAAAGGTGTTACTAAAAATACTAAGAAATTCATATTTCTTTGTTTTAATTGGTCTAATGTTATTTACATTTTACGTAAGAATTATACCGTATCATCGAAAAAAAATCGGCGTCTAGTTGGCTTGGAAATGAACATCGATGACATTCCCTAAATAACTGTACACATAAAATAATTAACTAGAATTTTACAATCTTGGAAAATTTGATATTCTTGAACCTTGATTCTAAATATTCTAAATTTTTTTGATTTTCTTGGAATTTAGGTTCAGGAAAAACGCTGATTGATTTTTCATTTGGTTTTTTCATTATTTTTATTTGGTTTAAAAAAAAAAAACGGTTCGGCTAACATTATAGCCTCCATCATTGTTGTGTCATATGAAAAAATAGTGTCGAATATAATCCAAAATTGCATATAAAATATGCACACCACGCACATAATGTTTACTGCGTACTCCATAGTCAATGTAGATAATTTTAGTGTTAAGAATAATAATTTTAAAAAATATGTGGTCATCTTTTGATAAGTTTATATTAGTTTATTAATTGCAGTAAACATTATGAGGTGTGAATTATATTGTATATGTAATTTTTTGGATTATATTCGACACTATTTTTCATATGACACAACACTGTGAAGGCTATAGTTAGAAACGTTTTTTTAAACCAAATAAAAAAAATGAAACCCAAATGAAAATTAATCAGCGTTTTCCCGAACCTAAAAAATCCCAAGAAAATCAAAAATTTAGAATAATTTAACATATAAAATGCCAGCGATCTTCATTTCATAGCCATCGCTGACGCTTTTTTTTAGATAATATTGTATTATTTGTAAATATAATTTTTCGAACATTGATACTTGCAAAATATACATATAAATTTTGTGAATGCAAATAATAATACATCACTATTAGTAGATATTCAATGTTTTTGTTAAATTAGATCGATTTTCAAACCCCAAAATTTAAAAAATATATTTACATTTTACCCATTATCTTATGTACCTATACATTATTTGTACATTGTAAAACATTTGCTGCATATGTATGGTTCATAGTTTATTTGCCAAAGTATTTATTACTATAAATAGGTATATATGTTGTAGTTATTAACTGTATATTATGTATATTTCATTTAAACTATATCATTTTTAAAATACAAACCAAAAATCTGAGGAATAATTATGTTTTCCATGTATTCTACAACATATTTATTAATCCGTTATATCTAACTAGCGTGACGTCATAAATCTCGCCCGCAGGCTGATCTTTTAATAGAAGGCATTGCCTCGTCTAAAAGGCCAGTTGACGCAAGCGCGGTAATAAACTCTTATCAAACTTGTTACCGTTTTGCAGTACAGCGTTGACGCATGGTACAAAGAATACAAGGTATGATATTGCGCAGGTTGGTCGCTACGTCACAGGTGATAACAGGCGCTATTGGTCAACACGCTCCGCGCGCCAGTTCAAATCGTCAAGATATTGTTATAAACATGTTTTTTTGTTTATATACCGTCATTGAATTATCGCTAAGCAAGTTACTGTGGAGCAGTGCGTAAGGAGTCGGGCTAGGAAGCGAGAGACCGGAGTTCGAATCTCGGCCGGGACATAACTTTTTATTTATTTTTTTGAATACTGTTGTATTCTATAGTTTATTTTTGTAGTATGAAAAAAAGAACTATTTATTCTGTTATTTTTTAATCTCCGTTATTAATATAAATTGATTGTTAGTACAATACCTCATTTAATATAAAATAATATTCTACTTTTTGAAATGTATCGGGCTCTAATTGTACCTAAAAGTAATATATTTTTAGTGATATACCATATTGTAAACTATTTATTTTTTATATTTCAGTCACTGAAAAAGTTAATTTGCATTGAATAATTGCCTACCATTAAAGGAAATTTGAGCTATATAATCCTTGATGGGCATATTCTGGGTATGCAAACACTTCCTTTAAATTTTGGGTGTCGTTCAACCGATTTATTCTCAAAACCAGAAACTTCTACATATAAAAAGAAGCAGAGGTCACTAATTATAATAAACTTCACCCTTGGTATTACTTCCACTAATTATAATAAACTTCACCCTTAGAATTACTTCTATCACAATTACAATACGTTCATCTGCATTGGCATTTTCTACTTTTCGATGGGAAACAATAAACTTCCCAATATTTTTTAAATGATGTAACAATTCCTCTTGTGGTTACTTTTCCATAGATATCCTCAACTCTGTCCTCATGTGAATTCAGAGGCAATGAAAATGAAAATTATTTACCATAAACATCGCAAACTAAAAACCTAATAAACAATTTTATACCGAATATAGAAATAAATTCAGTATTCTTACCTATCGTCCAAATCCATGTTAATAGATAATTATTATTTTTAAATATATTTTTGGAACTGCTGGTTTTAGTAATTATTAAATTAAACGAACTAAAAAGTCTTAAAAATAAACAATTCTTAACCATAACCCCAAAAAATGCAGATCTCCTGTCAACTTTCTTTATTTTTTATTTATTCATTATTTTCCTGGTGACGTCACAGGTGGTATGCGCGAACTGAACGAAATTGGAGCCGCTATCGATCATACCTTGTATTCTTTGTACCATGGCGTTGACGCGTCTTGCTTTTGTTAGTTTGTCTATGGTATGGATCATGTATGGAGGGATGATGGAGGAAATGAAGTATGGACAATGGACATGCAATGGACCTTTAGTGGACACAAGTAAACTTAAGAAAAATTTATGATAAATAGATCTTCGACCATATTCATCAAACATTATCAGAAGAAAAAATCCAGTAAGATACAAATATTATACCATTATTATACTTAACTAATAAAGTGAGAGCTAAAGTACCCAAGATTAAACTATTTACTATTTACAATAACCCAACTGTACCCTGTATAAGATCAGTACAGGAACACAAAATAAAATTTAGTGTACAAATTAATTTAAACTTTAAAATTTTAACTAAAAACAACCTGAATAAAAACATAATATTAAGAACACCGGAATAAAAACATCATGCAATATCTAAAATCCACTTACCATTAGTGTTGACTATGCTGGTTTTTATAACTTGAAAAATCCTGAAAAGAAATAGGTACATTTTATTATAATATGTAGAGTAGAATTTAATTCATATAAAATAAACCCTCTAGCATCTTAATTCATCAATGTAGTCCCTACAAAGATGACACTGCTGATTGTTCTCCTATTAGTTAATTTCCGTGGATTTACTTAGTTTTTACACTCCCGATATAACGCGCGTACATCAGGGCGAACCGATCGCGACTCTTCAAGATAAAATTCGGAAGAATAATCTGGAATAATTCCCTGAAGGCATCGCAACTCAGGTTTTACTTTCCTATGCTTTGCAAAACAAATAAATCATTCGACAAAACTGAAAAGGCTTGTCCTATGCTCTACTCTGGCAGATAGCACTCGCAAAAACAAAAAATTATGAAAATGTCGACTTTTCAGCGATCCGAAATTAAAAAACTAGGTCAAAAGATCTACACAATCTATCCTTTCTTACTCAAACTTATCTTTTATTTATCGAAAAACTAGAAATAAAACGAAAAATTTATGAACGAAATTCGAAACAGCGTCGTTTTAAGAAAAAAAATGGCCGATGTTTTAAACAAATGAAGAGCGTCGAACCCTCGACATTACTGATCAAAGATCTTGCTGATTAATATGCGATTTAAATTATTTAAAAATTATGACATACCTAATATTTATTATATTAAATTATACTTTTATTGTCGGCAATCTCAAATTAAATTAATTTCCGTTGTTAAAAGAGAAATATTGCCAGTTTTAAATTCGAAAACGTTTTATGCAACCAAACATACCCAACGGTAGTTAAAGTTTTTCTCATTGAGGGCGCTATTTTTTAAAGTTTTTTATTTTTGCGCGTTTTTTAAAATCATTTAAGTAGGTACAATAAAAACAAAAACAAGGATAATAAGACTTAGGACTATATAAACCGAATATAAATTAGTAGAATATTGAGTGCATATTTTTTTTTTATACTCAATAAAGTTTGAACTAATAGATATTGGAATTTTTATAGCTTTTTTTCCTACTTTATATTTTTTGTGACTTGAAACGGATTAATGATATAGTCAGTCAATTTAACAGTTTACAGTAAGATAGTACCTACTGAGTAAAGTACAAAACAGCTACAAGAGCTGTTTAAACAAACTGCTAGATTTGCATCTATATTATTTTTGGGAAATAGCTTAAAAATTATAATAAAAACATTTTTAAAGAATGAATTTGAATCCACTATGTGTTTTAAACAGACATCTGACATCAGAGAGCCACCCTCCGGCAATTTACGACTTTAAGGAAATTCAAGGTGATACTCGGTTTTACTTGTGTTTTGTAGAAGCTGGGGGCCAAACTGCCCATGGAATAGGGCAGTCCAAGGAAGAGGCTAAAGAAGACGCCGTAAAGAATATTTTGCCTCTATTCGAAATCGATCTGGATACTAGCGAAGAGGTAAAATTGTTTTTTTATTAAACTTTTTCTTAGTAGAGAACTTGTTCGTTTTTATAGCTTCCTGACATTGGTACATTATCCCTTGAAAAAGCAGACTCTTCGATGTCTTTTATGAACTATATAGGAAGACTAACTAGGCAAGCTTGTCGAAATAAATATGATTATCCTAGATATAGCTATAGAGACGAAAGAGACCACAACAGTCAGTTTGAAGTAAAATGTTTCTTTAATGGCCTGGTATCGGTTGGATATGGATATTCGAAGAGAAGTGCCAAGAAACAGGCAGCCAGAAAAATGTTATCCAAGTAAATTCTTTATATTAATAATTTTCGAATAAAAAATATCTTTTCTAAAATATTCATAAAAATTATCAACCCATTTGTGAAGTAGTTTGTGGTTTGTGGTATAAGATAAGCCTTAAAACTAATTAAAATATTTTTTTAGGGTACAAGAGAATGGATTTAAAGCGCTTCATTCAAGCTACCCTTTACTTGTGTCTTTACATAATGGGTGCGAGGGTCATAATAATTCTATTTCAAATGCTGTTTCTGAAAATAACAATTTAATTAATACAATATCCAATAATAAAAACTAATAATCTATTACAAGGAATATTGTGTTTTAATAGCTTAACTATGTATGCAACTACACATACACCAATTCAAAACTGATTTTAATACTCAAATAATCGATTTTAAAACTTTTCAATCGAGTTTTTAAATTGATAGGAAATTTAGTGCAAAATATATACTAATATATTTTAGTTAAGACATTAGTTAATTTTAAAAATTATTAACCACTGAACAGAAAAAAATTACAAGTGGTTATAAAATGTCAAATGTCACGTTCTGTCATTGTGAAAATATGTAAAAGTTTTGTAATTTGTTATGCGAGTTTCACTCTAACTTATTAAGATAAATTATTATTAATTCCTTCCGAAGGTGTTTGAAAATGGCAGTTACATTAAGATACTTTCATAAGATTTCAGGATATTTAAGTATTACAAAACCGTTTCCTCACATTCAGCAAAAGTTTCTGACTAACCAATGCGAACAGGTGACTACAGTTTTGTTTAAATATTATGTGTTTAAGCCTATCTTCAAAGGAATATTTATAAGATATTAGCTTGTTTACTTTTAATTATATCAAAGCCAACATTATGTATTAACCAATTATAAAATATCCTAACCTTTAAGTCATATGGTGTAATTATTTTTTGACCTAGTATTCAAGAACAACAATTCAACCTCAATATAAGCCTCTACAAGTCACACATACAGATTCAGGAGAACATAAAGAATGGATAGACAATAGGGAGTTGGTGACAGATATTGTAACAAAATCTTTTGTGTATCGGCCATTATATTTTGAGAAATCGTCCTTTGATTCAACTTGCTTAAAGTAATCATATTTTACTATATTTTCTACTGGATTTTTATGGGTAATATATGTTTTTAGATGTACAGAGCAAAGCACAAATACTATTAAAGCCAGTGCACCTACAGACTCTACTCCTCAGGGTAGGCCTGCTCCAGAAAAATTAGAAAAAGTTTACCAAGTATTAGCAAAAAATTTACCTAACCTCTTTGTCGAAACTTTGGACTACAATATCTATGATAAAAACATAATTTTTGAAGATCACATAAGAAACATTAGGACGGAGTATGTCTAAATTAATTATTGTTGTAGTTTATCAGATATATTTTTTTGTTATAGAGGTTTAATGAATTATGTTAGACAAGTAGCTTTGCTTAGACTGATAGGACACATTAGGTTTGCTTATGTTAAATTTGAGATATTAAAAATCACTCAGCATCCTGAAGATGGGACTGTTAAAGTTAGATGGAGAATAAAAGGATTATCTGCGTTTCAAGTAATGTTCCAGTTTTGGAAATATAAGGTGTGGGAATACAAGAATATTTTAAATCGAACTGAGAAGTGGGTATATAAAAATACAAGTTTTTTCAAATTAACATGGTATTTTATGTATTATTTTAGCTGGTATGATGGATTTTCAACTTTTTATGTAAATGCTGATGGTTTGGTTGTAAAACATGTGGCCGATAAAGTAAAATAAAAATATATCTTCAATACTTTTTTTAAAGACAGCAATTTTTCAGATGATGCCTGACTCAGATTCAATCACATCTACCACTCCACCTTCAGGATTAGGTGCGGCAAAATTAGCTTGTGTTTTAGGTATTATTCCACAATATCCAGGAATGAGTTTCTTTATGTGAGATTTCCATACTATTACAAGGCATTTCGATATTTTTTATTGAGTCAGTTTCTTCAAAAATCAAGCGGCAAAAGTATCATATGAACAGGGTATAGAAAATACTGATTTTATAGTCAGTAATAAATATATTCGTTTTTTGCTGATCATTTTTGAAGAATCTACAGTTGTATGTGAGTAGGTAATTATTGTAAAGCTGTTTTTCAAAGAAAAATGTGATTATATAATTTATTTTATGTGTAAAACAGATTTAAGACCCTTGTAAATGTTTAATAAAACAATGCTCGTTATTTTTGTGTATTTTTTATTCATTTTCCTCAATAACTCATATAATAGTAGATTGAACTGCTGTTTTTTTTTGGTCTGGTATCTGGTATCTATAATGTAAGTAGTTAAAGTAAGTCTATCTGTAAAGAAAAAATAAAAATAAATACTTTTTTTTCTAAGTAATATTTTTTCCAAGCTGTGTATAGGTGATTCAAAGTAAATACATAGCAAAAATGCAAAGAAAAACGTTATTAGTACATGTCAGCAAGCATGAGAAAGTTTTTTAAAAAATACTGTTTCTTCCTTTCTTCTTATTTTTAATATGCAGGCAACCAGTAAAACAATAAATGCTTGGCTCCAGTTTTTAAATGTTCAAACGTGGGGCAATTTTGAAGAACACATGAGATATGTCTAAATTAATTATTGTTGTAAGTAGTATATGAGAAATATTTTTGTTATAGAGGTTTAATGAGTTTTGTTAGACAAGTAGCTTGGCTTAGAATGATAGGAGATATTAATATTAGATAAAATTATATTTGGATCTGCTTATGTTAAATTTGAAATATTAAAAATCACTCAGCATCGTGAAGATGGAGCTATTAAAGTTAGATGGAGAATAAAATAATTATCTGCGTTTAAAGTCATGTTCCAGTTTTGTAAATATATAAGTTGTGGGAATACAGGAATATTTTAAATCGAACTGAGAAGTGAGTATTATAAAAATACAAGATTTTTAAATTTAATATGGTATTTTATGTATTATTTTAGCTGGTATAATGGATTTTCAACATTTTATGTAAATGCTGATGGTTTGGTTGTAAAACATGTGGCCGATAAAATAAAATAAAAATACATCTTCCATACTTTTTTTTAAAGACAGCAATTTTTCATATGACGCCTGGCTCAGATTCAATACCATCTACAGAGCTTGCGTTTTAGGTATTATTCCACAATATCCAGGAATGAGTTTCTTTATGTGATATTTCTATACTATTACAAGGCTTTTCTATATATTGAGTCAGTTTCTTCAAAAATCAAGCGGCAAAAGTAACATATGAACAGGGTACAGAAAATACTGATTTTATAGTCAGTAATAAATATATTCGTTTTTTGCTGATCATTTTTGAAGATTCTACAATTGTATGTGAGTAGGTAATTATTGTAAAGCTGTTTTTCAAAGAAAAATGTGATTATATAATTTATTTTATGTGTAAAACAGATTTAAGGCCCTTATTGTAGATGTTTAATAAAACAATACTCGTCATTTTTGTGTATTTTTTATTCATTTTCCTCAATAACTCGTATAATAGTAGATTGTACTGCTGGTTTTTCTGGTCTGGTATCTATCAAATAAATTGTTAAAATAAGTCAATTTTGTAAAGACAAAATAGAAATAAATACCTTTTTTTCTAAGTAATATTTTTTCCAAGCCGTGTATAGGTGATTCAAAGCAAATGCATAGTAAAAATGCAAAGAAAAACGTTATTACTACGTGTCCTAACAGTCTGCAAGCCTGAAAAAAATATTTAAAAATACTTATTTTTAATATGCTGGCAACCAGTAAAACAATAAATGCTTCCCTCCAGTTTTTAACTTTTCAAACGTACGCAACTTACCAAGTCGAATTTAGTCAAAAGCAGAGGTTGCCGCAATATCCCTTTGTGATATATTTCAATCAAGCCGTTTATTAGGTAGGCACAATACGTCAAACGGCTCAAGGGAATAAATGCTTTGTAACTAAGAAACTTATTTACGGAATCTAAAAGTTGAATATTTTATTTCTATTAGTGTGCTTAATTTTGTGGTTCTTACTGGCGTTTTCTGTGACGCACATGGTGATGACCCATCCGACAAATAGAGACCACATTATTCTATGAAGACTTGCGTAAATACTTGCTTCAATATTGTCATACTGATAGTTTGGACTATAAAACACTACAATTGAGAAAATACTAGTGATGCCAAATAATGTAGTCGTGATCCAGCCTATCCATTGAACTGGTTTGGAAATTTTAATCCTAAAAGATTATTTAAAATATTGCAAATATATAGGGTGGCGCACCTCATTCGCCTCGGTGGATTATACGAAAACGAAAAGATGTAGAAACAAAATATTTTATGGGGATATGTGGGAACGTAATGTGCATAATTTAAAATTATTTTGAAATGTACAGGGTGTGTCAGAACTAAGATCTATACCAAAGTTATATTTTTTTCTTATGGAACACCCGGTATTCTATTTCATTTTTGGATTCTTGGAGATAAAATAAGGCATTTATTATAAGGGTTTAATATGTTTAAAAGCTTTGGTTTTTGAGATATTTAAAGATATTTAAATATGCATGACATAATAAAAAAGTTTGTTAACGCCTTGTACATTACTTTTCAGAATTAATTCTTGTGCCGAGTTTAAAGGTAGAGAAATAAACTTTACCGAAAAATGTTATTGCTTCCTTAAATTTATACAGGGGCACCAAAATTGCTGATCTATTTTAAGGATTTATTTTATATAAAAACTTCGTTATTTCAAACGCCCTGTATTTTTTTAAATAAATCGAAGCAGATTCAAATGCTCTTTCGAACTCTATTAGGGTTTCCTATACCTATTTAGCTCAGTTTTTGAATAAAAAGCGATTGTTAAATAAAATGGCAATCAAGATGGCTGTTGTCGCCATGACAATTTTCTAGTGACAGTTAGTAACTATTTTCAAAATCAACATTAGTATATGGACATTACTATTTATACTCGTAATTTATAACAGTTTTCTTAAATCTATCTACAATAGTTTAATAAGTGAGCATTCATTATTCGATGAAAAAAATAAAGCAGTATCTATCTAATGAATGGATATGTTACTAGTGATTTTATTTTGTGAGGAAAATTATTGCTTCATGGCCTCAAGGGTTTATGCTCAAAGATATCCAAATAAGAATCATCCTGATAAACGTTCCTTCGGAAAACTACTCAGTGGCGGATACAGAGGGGGGGGGGGCACATGGGGCCCGCCCCCCCTAAAATCTGTAAATTGTGTAAAATATTAGGCTTTTGGGATAAAAATAGCGCCCTAAAAAGCGTATTCTACATTGCTTTTTATTTTGGCCCCCGTCCTAAAATAAATTCCTTTATCCGCCCCTGAAACTACTTGTCCTATTTCGCAGAGCTGGTAGTGTGGTTTATAAAAAACCTATTAGGCAGAAACCTCTCATTGGAAGTAAAGAAAATGAATTTGCCGCAATTGGCTCTTTTATAGAAAATCCATATATGTATCAAGTCATCGTAAAATAAAGCAAAGAACCAGGGGGGTGACAGTGAAATAGGAAAATTGGAAACAGTCATTAGTGTCAATCCTGTCATCTCCTGACGACAAGTATGGCCGCCTAGACAAGGACAGCAATGTTTCTGTCTAACTATTGTCTAACTTCACAGTGTAGAATTGACAGATTTCAGAGACAACTTCAGATTTGTTCTAGAACAAATTTCGACGCCATTTTAATTCTCTCCGGTTAGTTTTGTTTTGTAAATTCAATTTGATATTTCGGCAGAAATTTACAAATATAAAGGTAGTAAAGCATATAAAATATATTATTACATGAACAATCCTGGAGAAAAAGACGTTTCTGCAGTACTAGGTATGTCCCATGTATATTAAAAATAGGTAGTAAATAAACACTATTTCTGTATTTTTTAGATGCAAGAAAATTTTGTTATGTTTATGATCGGCGATTTTTTTGAAATGGAAACAATTTACAGCAAGGTAAGATCATTTTTAACTATAGCCAACATTAGTTATCTCCAGTATGTGCGATTTATTGTCAATAATGCAGTAAATCTGACTGATACAATCTGATTGTTATCCGACTAAAAGTCTCTTTTTGCTTCTTTTTGATTTACAAACCAGGTCTCTTTGGGAATAATGGACGCTTTTTTTAAACAGTATATTTATATTTTATACCTTGATATTTTTACATTGTTAATTTTAGTATAAAAAAATTTATTTTTCTGTTTTCAGATTTTTGTATAAGGCTCCCGTTTTCATGTCTGCCCCCGTTTTCTATCCTTGATGGCTGTGAATAGGCGTATTTATTTACAAATTACTGTAAGCTGTAAGCCATGCTTATACCTTACTAATTTACGTTAAAATTGCATATAATTAAGTAATTGCTGTAGAAATCATTCAATTCTTTATTTTTTATATTTATTTAGTCCCGTTGTCTCATATTTCAAATAAATATGTTTGAATAAAATTTTGTTTTGTTTTATTTATAAGAAAGAGTACAAAATACATTTAAACTGAAAGAGGGCCCGCCATTGAATAACCAGAAACGGAAATAAAAATGAAGCCATCATGTCAACCTGTCAATTGGAAAATTAGTTCTCCAGACGACAACGAAGGCTTTCGGTGGCGTATCGTGTTTCCACGATTTAAGACAGAGTTGACACTTCTTTCTAGTTAATTATTTTATGCAAAGAACTACTTCGTTTTTTTTTGATAGATTAATAAATACATATTTATAAATATTATTTATTAAACTATTGTAGGTAAATGAAATAAAAGTAAACTGCTATAAATTTAAATAATTCTATAAACTAATTTCAATTTTGAAAACAGCTACTAATAACTGTCACTAGAAACTTGCCATATACGACATATTAGCCCTCTTGGTTGCCATTTTATTGAAAAATTGGTCTTTATACAAAATTTGAATTAGATAGATATAGGAAACCCTAATAGAGTTTGAAAGATCATTTGAATCTGTTTTCGGATGTGAATGGAACGGAAGCACACACGTATGCTTACGTATAGCGACAATACAATAAAAAATACGGAACGGATATGGAATGGAAACGGAAGGTATAGTGAGAATCAACCTTTATGAGGTTAAATTAAGGATAGGTTATAAAAGATACCTACGCTCTTATTTGAATCCTGTGTACAATATATCCAAAAAGCATCCCAATAAAATAGGATGAAGCTCTCATGTGAGTCTTTATATATGATGTAACAAAGTAGAAGTTCGTAGATAGATCTTGTATTTCCCTGAAATATAATTTTTTTAAGTTTTAAGCCTTTTTTTTTATTTTGGTCGAAACTTACGGTGGAAATGCCATTAACGTAGGATCCAAATTATCTTTCAAAGTAATATAAAACGATAACAGAGCAGCACAAAATATCAGTGACACCAGAGAAGATAATCCTACGTTTTTCCATTTCCATAACGCGAAAATTATAAAGGGTGCTATGATAAACAAGTGGTAGTCAGTAGCTAAGTACCAAGCTTGAAACATACACTAAAAATGTTTTATTATATTAAAAAATATTTAGTTTTTTAATGAGAGTTTTTACCAAAGAGTCAGTCTGGACGTAATTGTTAATATAAAGCAGGTTTGTCCACCAAGATTTTAAGCATCTCTCCTTTTCTTTAACAACAAATTTGTCCCAAAATGGCCCTGATCCAATACTGGGCAACCAAGTCATATAAAATCCAATAACAACCAAATATGCTGGGGTTAATCTGTTGAAAAATATATATTATTTTCTATTAGATTTTTTAATTTTTATAATTTTTCTTTTCATAAGTTAGGTACCATTTTAGATGAGATATACTTATTTGTCTTAAGGTGGATATTGACTTGAACTGAGCGTTGTAATGTAAACGTGTTACACATTTTTAACCGGTCATGACAAGACACTAAAAACATTAGACGATCAAATCTATTTGTCCAAGGCTCCTTGATTAAGAAATAGCGTTTTTAAAATAGCCAGGGCACTCAAGATTGAAATTTAAAATAAGATTTTTTATTAAGCAGGAATGTCAAAAATTGACATTTGATATGTCATTCTACTGAGAATGTCATTTTCTGTCGAATAAAGTAAAAAAATACCGAGGGTGCCATTTAAAAATCAAAAGTTGTAGTAATTTCCGGTGAAACAGAAAGTGACCAAAAACAATTGAATACGTCAATCAATCCTAATTTATGTCACACACTAACATACCAAATCTCGTTTTTTATCTGAAAAAATAAAAAAGTTATAGGGGTGAGCCACTGTTGAGACGCACCCGGTATAAGAACAACATTTTTTTAAATAATCCTTATTTTTATTTTTTAATGCTTAAATTTATACTTGGTTTGTCTTCATTAAAAATAGACTGTTAATGTAAATACCTATTTTAGCTGATTGCTTTAATAAAAGGGGTGGAAAATATCTAATAGATAAACTAAAAAATAGCTCTATCTCCGTTAATATTTACTTTAGAGAAAAAATGATGTAAAATAATATGTTAGTGTGTGAAATTCAATTTTCTACAAAAACCGCATCTCTACTTTTTCGAAAAAACTTATACAAACAGATATATTTAAAAAAAAAACGAAAATATCCAAGATGGCGGCATTTTTTTTCACACTTCCTCCACTGGGACCGAATGGGACTTTTGAGGGGTTAAATAGCAGATCATTATCTACATATTAGCGCTGAGATTGGTTGGTTTCTCATTTTTTTGCACCTCAACCTCAAAAGCTCGTCGCGAACAGCGAACAAGCGTTACATTACGGCGCTCGGCCCAAATTAATCTCCGCCTTTAAATGTTTTTACCTACCGAATATATCTAGCGATGTACAGAATAAAAACGTTTATTTTTCCATTGCGTTTTTCCAGTTCTATCAAGAGAAGATGGCACATGAGAAACCCACTTATTAAGAGAAAACTATCCACTAAAAGAGGGTTGTTTAGAAAAATACCATTTTGTACTTCGGTTGAAGTCTAAAAAATCATAGTATATTAATCATATTATATTAAAAACTAATTAAATGGCTGTCAGGTAAATGCAATCAAAAATACTAATCATTTTTGTATCAAAAAGATACTAGAAAATACTGTTTTTTAAGTTGTGCTGCAAATTTTACCAAAAGAAGTAGTGGATCCAAAAGTCTAATGGCAACTTTGAAATGTTTTTAATATCATTAACTTGCGAAAGTTTTAAATAAGTACTCCATTGATTCCTCTCAAAAAAATATGAATTTTTTTTCTATAAACATGGGTATGGAAATGCATTGTTTTAGAGTTACAGGATAATAAAATTTTTAAAATTAGGGTTTTTGTAATTATCTTAAATACCATTATTTTTTTATTTGAAATTGTTGTAGGTTGGGCCAATAGTAATAATAACTGTTAGTACCTAATAATATTTAATAATAAATTAGCTAAAATATATAATTTAATAATTTTATTTTATTTTAATTTTATTAATTATTGTGGTTAATTAAATTGCGTTTATCTCATCAACGAGGCCGAATTCGACAAAATATCAAGAGATACCTTTTAATTGGCATTAAACGGCCTACACAATTCTGATATCAAAAGAAAAAAAGTCATACGAATCGCTATAAGTACTTGGAAGAAAATTATAATAAATCGAAAGATTATTAAGATTTTAACACCCTGTAGCTACGAAGCAAAGCAGAATCGGACCTATGTTGATATGAAAAATAAATCTTATTTTTACGTAAGGAATGGCACGTGAGATGGCACATCTTTTTTGAGACACCCTGTATATTTATTATTAAAAAAACACAAATTTATCCAAATAATATAAAATGATGACTTTTAAAAATATTTTTAATAACTGGTAGTTTTTTTTAACTAGGTATAACTATTTTCTGAAACATTTTCAACTTAATAGCATGAATCTTTTAAACGGTTAAATAAAGTGGTTTATAATTAATTGAAATAATTAATATGAATAAACATCAGGTGAGATCATGTAAATAATTATTACAAAAATATTTTTATTAATTGATAAAATAACTTAATTATTAAAGCATAGGTCAAAAATTATGATAAATTGTAATCTTTAAGGTCTGCAATTATTTTTTTTCACGAACAGGAGTTAAAATATATTAAAAAAAACATGTATACATCTATTTTTCATTTTAAGCATGCATACAGGGGGACTTGTACACCAAAAAGTTCGATATGTTTTAAACTTTATAGTAAATGCACTGAGTCAAAAAAACTATACAGGGAGAGTCTTAAATAAGTGGAAATATTTTCAAGGCTGGTAGACCTCGATAAAAGAAACATATTTTCTCTTTACCGTTTCTCAAATAAATCCAAAATAACTGAGTTATTCAAGTTTGAAAATATCCAAAAAAAAATAAATTTTTGCCAAAATTTTGATTTGGATCTTTTCTGGATTTTCTTTCTTGTAAATTTAATCTACTACCTATGTTGCTATATTATCAACAAATTATGTTTATTAACTAAAAACAAAACAATTCCAAAATTTTTTTTCAAAAAGTTCTAATTTTCTTTTGTGAAAAAACCTCTTTCGGTTTCGTGGGTCGAAATATACTACCCCTAAGAATATCTGCACTTATTTAAGACTCACCCTGTATAGTATTCTATATCAAAAACTATAACTTTGGTGTCAAAAATATTTAAATCACATCCTGTAGTTCTATGAAACTATTTTTAGTATATGTTAGTGTGTAATAGTATTACTTAAAGCGAATAAAAAATATTAGAAAAAGAATAAAAAAATATCTTTTATACGTAGATTAGAGTGAATATTACAAATAGAAAACTTGATATGGACGTTTTTTGATGACCCTGTAGATTAGTATAGATTTAAATGTCTCTAATATTTGTATTTCCTCAAAATAAATCTAAAAAATTAATCTAGATACAGAGGTGTCCTATTTATTTTATGAAATATACGGAGTGTTACAAAAACATGAGTATGCTTAGTTTCGTTGCTACCTAAGTCCTATTTTTTTGTATTTATGATAATTTCCACGGGGTGTTAGCGATGCGAAAAAACAATGGGTAAAAGTTACTATAAGTACGACATATCTTACTGCTAAAGAAGTGTCGACAGATGGTCGACAGATTCACCAAGGACGTGCATATGGGTTATCAAATTAATATTTTTTTAAAAAGACTGTGCGCCACTGACTTTTTCACTTTTTAGCACAGTTGAGGAGTTGAGTAGACCGTTTAATGCCGATTAAAAGTTTTTTTCTTGATATTTCGGTCTCCTTGATGAGATGAAGACTATTTTCTTAATTTGCCTTAATCCAAATCTAATATCACCTTTATAATAATAATTGTTTAATGTCATTAACTGGCCAAAGTACTAAATAAGAATCATAGATTCCTCATCTAAAAATATGAAAAAAGTTCCTACAAACATGGGTGTGGAAATTGTGGAAATGCATACTTTTAAAATTACAGGACGTTAAAACTTTAAAAAATAGGTCATTTTATTATTCATTTATTTATTATCTATTTTTTTAATTTGCTGTAGGTACCAGTGAATGTCAGTGTTATAAATTTTAAGAAAATATAATAATACTAGCGTGTACCAGCGACTTCGTTCGCGTCGAATTAATCATTTGTAATGGTGATGATAAAGCAAAGCAAGAATTTCCATTAACATACAAACTGGATAACATTTTCTCACATTTATGTCAGCATGAGAAAAAACAATATGGCGATATTATTATATAACTTGGTAATATTTGAGCGGTAGTATCATCTCGTTGGAATTTGATTGAAAAATCCGTTTGGCAAAAATAAGCTTTTTACGTCAAGCAGTTTAAGCAGAATCGTGGTTAAGAAATTACCGAACTTTATGGAACACTCTGTATGATTTAAAAAAAAAATCCAAAATATGTAAAAAAAACAAATAAATTATGCTTGTCCAAGCGTTTTCCCGAAAGACTAACCGTTTTTTAAATAACAAATATTGTTATATTTGAGGGATAGTTTTCAGGAATTTGAGATTCGAGAAATCCCTCCTTATCGAACCTCTACACCCCACAGTCAATCCGTTTACAAAAAATCAACTTTAAACGTCAAGCAGTTTAAGCGGAATCGTGATTACTCAATGGTCATATTTTATGAAACACCCTGTATAAATTTGTAAAAAATCTTAAAATATGTAAAACAACAAAATAAAATATACGTGTTTAAGAGTTTTTCCGAAAAACTCCCCGGTTTTTAAATAAAAAATATTTTAATATTTGAGGGATAGTTTCACCCCCTTAGAATTCGAGTTTAGAAAAATCCCTTCTTATCGAACCTCTACACTCTAAAGTCAATCTGTTTTCCAAAAATCAGCTTTTTACGTCAAGCGCTTTAAGCAGGATCGTGATTAGTCAATGACCAGATTTTTCGAAACACCCCGTATACATTTTTTAAAAATCTTAAAATATGTAAAAAAACAAAATAAAATATACGTGTTAAGTACTTAAGGATTTTATATATTAGTATAGATAATAATATAGATTAAATAAATAATTTATTAATTTTATTTTTATTTCAATATTCTCTAAATCAACAACATATCAAGTTACAACTTTTAATCGGCATTAAACGGCCTACACAATTTTGCCAACAAGAGAAAAAAAGTCAGTGGCGCACATGTTTGTTTTAGAAAAATATTCCAGTAATAACCCATATGCACTTCCCTGGTTCCTTGGTGAATAACTTATAGTAATTTTTACTTTCAAAATTTTATTCATATCGCTAAAAGTACTTGAAAATGAAGACTCTAACCCCCTGTAGCTACGAAACAAAGAAGAATCGGACCTTTGTTGATATAAAAAATAAATCTTATTTTTACGTAAGGAATCTCTCTACGAGGAATGGCACATGCTTTTTGAAACACCCTGTCTAGAGTTGAATTCACAAAGACTGCAAATGGCAGGCGTCAAGTTACAAAACCCGCCTTATAACACAAATTTTGTTTCGAGATAATAAGCAAAAACTGTTTTAGCAAACGTTTGAAGCCTTAATTTACAAAAAAAACGTGTCCTGAGTGGAATCATTGTTTTTTTATCTCGTTTTTATAAAAATAAAAATTAGATAATATTTAATTAATAAACAGAAAAAACATAAAAATATTTCGGATAAGGCGGGTTTTGTTGCAGTATAAGAACGCTGTCATTTTATATGTAAATTTTTATGGGATATGTCATCGATCGTCATTTCCGAGCCAACCGAACGCCGTTTTTTTTTTTGATCATACTGTATTTGCATCCTAACTTGATTTATAAAATATACTATTTTATTAAAATTAAGTAAGGATTTGAAAAGACGTCAGTAGTAATATTGTAGTTGTACTTGTGTAAAAAGCTTATGAAAAAATGCGGGATTTGTAACAATACTGACAATAAAAGGCAAATATAAGTGGATAAGACGGATTTTGCTGCAGTAACGTAATTTGTAGTGAAGTTTATATAGTTCAGTCATTGGGGATTTTTGCTTGGAAAAAAGTCCGGAAGTTTTGCAACTTTGCAGGTTTATAGGTTTTGGGGTCCCTAACTAAAATCCATAAAATGCACAATTCCAGACTTGCCGCCGGCGCCGCCATCTTGCCAGGATGGCGCCCAAAATCGGTATTTTGTAAATATCTCGAAAACTATGCGTTTTTGGCGAAAATTTGAGGAGAGTAAAATTAAAGAGAATAAAATTTCCTATAAAAAAGGTTTTATAAAAATTTTCGCTAAAGTCAACCGTTTAGGCACAAAATCCCTGGAAATTTTAAAAGTTTGCGTAAAATATGATATATTATGTATAGTCGATTTTCCGAAATCAAATGTCGATTAGGGTTCACTAAAACTAGTTTTAGTTTAGTTTCTTCAATTTTGTCATAAAACAGTGGCGTATCATTAATTCGCTCATTAATTTATGAATAATTAATTTTAATTATTGTAAATGTGTATTTGTTTCCACACCACCCAAGAGGTAAAGTATATGGCGTGTTTATTTTAACGTGGTCTCCCCGGAGGCCTACTCCACTAGATAAATTAAAAACTTTAACTTATCTTCACAAGACCGACGGATCTGGCTCATTGATGTCAAAGTCGATCGTGTCTGCTGTGCTGGGCTCATCAGGGTGGTCTCTCAATACGTCCAACTCTTCATCTTCAGCCGCCAGAGGGATATCTACAGGCAAGTCCAACTCCTCTTCATCGGATTCGTCGAGTGACACTTCAGTGATGTTGTCACAGGATTTACCATTGCAGTATGCACAAATCATTGAACATTTTAATCCTGCTTTTCTGCATCTGCAGTCTTTACCATAGTTGTTGGTTTTGCATTTACAGGATAAAAATGCCAACAGGGATTTTGGAGCTGGATCTTTCAACGTTGTGACTGGAGTAATGCCTGTTTTCGTTTTCTTCCAACCCCATTCTTCGGCATCTTTTGTACAACCAGACCAATGCTGAATCTGGTGGTAAGTTCGCAATCAATGCTGTCCAGCACGACAATTAATTATTCATAAATTAATGAGCGAATTAATGATACGCCACTGTTTCATGACAAAATTGAAGAAACTAAACTAAAACTAGTTTTAGTGAACCCTAATCGACATTTGATTTCGGAAAATCGACTATACATAAAATATCATATTTTACGCAAAATTGTAAAATTTCCAGGGATTTTGTGCCTAAACGGTTGACTTCAGCGAAAATTTTCATAAAATCTTTTTTATAGGAAATTTTATTCTCTTTAATTTTGCTCTCCTCAAATTTTTGCGAAAAACGCATAGTTTTCGAGATATTCACAAAATACCGATTTTGGGCGCCATCTTGGCAAGATGGCGGCGCCGGCGGCAAGTCTGGAAATGTGCATTTTATGGATTTTAGTTAGGGACCCCAAAACCTATAAACCTGCAAAGTTTCAAAACTTCCGGACTTTTTTCCAAGCAGGCCCCTTTTTTGATCCTCAATGACTGAACTAATATAGGAATAGGCGACTTTTAATGCATTTTGAGATTATGTTTATGTAGATTTCAGGGTCCACTATTAATATATGTCATTAGGCCATTTTTTTTTAAAAATTGATAAGGCGGGTTTTGTAACTTGACGCTTCAAATATTGTTTTATAAAAATATAATTTAATATTTATTTAAACTTACTTCTTGAAAAAAATCAGTGTTAACAACCGGTCCACCAAACACAAAAATCAAAGAGTGTCCAATAATAATCAACGTCATAGACCAAAATTTGATCCCACAAATACATTCCAAGTTCAACTCATTCGGTTTCGTCTGTAGCAGTTTCCCAACAGTTTGAATCAGAGAAAAAGAGAATATAACTTCGTTTTTCACTGTATTATTCTCATCTCTAATTTTTTCCACACTGTATACAACCGATTTCATCCTTTTCCTGATGTGCAGGACATGCAGAATCGTTGAAAACAGAATAAATAAGAGAAATAAGGAGATGATAGATCTGTAAAATTAAAATAAATATACATTATTGCAAAGTTTATTTCTTTTTCATACCCATAGATGATTTCTTCAGTTGAGGTCACTTGCTTTTGTTTAAAATAACAACTTTCATCGTCCAATTTAACGGAAATGTCTTTGATGTCATCATCGATAAAAGTATTAAACATTTCTTTAACAATAACTTCAACATCTTGTCTTCTGCAAGTCAAAGGTAGGCAAATTCCTAAATATATATGGTTATTCTTGAATTCGTTTCTTTCAGCCTACAAATCAATTAAAATGTTGAACCATTAATTATTATGAACGTGTACTATTTTATAGAGTGTCCCAAATTTATGAAACTCCCTAAGTCGACGGAAATGTTTTGGAGCGCCCGCGCCCCCTTAATTTTATTCTATATTTTATCTATTATTTTTTAATATACAACTTTTTTGGGGGCAAGTGTAAGCCCATGCGCTGACAGATAATTTTTAGTCGGCCGACTGTTTAGTTGAAGATTTGTAACCAATGTATTACAATAGAGCCGCGCTCACATGCAATCAAGTAATTCTACGATTAAATAGTTCTGTCTAGACATGGTCTAGACACAAATTGCGTGCAACCAAAGCAAAATGTTGATATTTTGGTGAAAGTTTGAAACGCCCTGTGGAATATCAAGGCTCATCTTTTCTCGATGGTTTGTTTTTTGTTTCATTTTAATAGCTGTATTTTTGTCGGTTCTATTTGCTTTTTTTTCAAGAAGTCAGTGATGATTTACAGCAATTTTAGCATTAAAAGCTTGCTTTTGCTTTTGATCCTCATCAGCACATCTAAGAAATAGAGTTTATTGTTTTTTTGAGGTCATTGTCATGAAAAAGTCACATTATTATTGTTTGTTGGAAGAATCAATGACAGTTACATTACAAATTATATTATTTATGGTACTAGTGTGTTATCTTACATATAAGTCACGCTATGAAATGTTTAGGGCTAATTTTCTCAAGTGACTTTATTATTATTATATTATCATATTTTACTAGCGTGTACCCACGACTTTGTTCGCGTCGAATTAATCATTTGTAATAGTGATGATAAAGCAAAGCAAGAATTTCCATTAACATACAAACTTGATAAAATATTCTCACATTTATGTCAGCATGAGAAAAAAACAATATGGCGATTACTATATAACTTGGTAATATTTGAGGGGTAGTTTCATCTCGTTGAAATTTGACTTCCGAAAAATCCGTTTGCCAAAAATAAGCTTTTTACGTCAAGCAGTTTAAGCAGAATCGTAGTTAATCAATTACGCAACTTTTCGGAACACCTTGTATGATTTTTTAAAAAATTTCATAATATGTAAAAAAACAAAATAACTTATGCGTGTATAAGCGTTTTCCCGAAAGACTAACCGTTTGTTAAATAACAAATATTGTAATATTGAGGGGCGTTTTTCACCCTCTTGAAATTTGAGATTCGACAAACCCCTCCTTATTGAACCTCTACACCCCACAGTCAATCTGTTTGCCAAAAATCAGCTTTAAACTTCAAGCAGTTTAAGCAGAATCGTGATTACTCAATGGTCACATTTTATGAAACACCCTGTATAATTTTTTAAAATATCTTAAAATATGTAAAACAACAAAATAAAATATACGTGTTTGAGAGTTTTTCCGAAAAACTCACCGGTTTTTAAATAAAAAATATTGTAATATTTGAGGGGTGGTTTCACCCCCTTAGAACTCGAGTTTCAAAAAATCCCTTCTTATCGAACCGCTACACCCTAAAGTCAATCCGTTTGCCAAAAATCAGCTTTTTACGTCAAGCGCTTTAAGCAGGATCGTGATTAATCAATGTCCAAATTTTTCGAAACACCCTGTATATATTTTTAAAAACTCTTAAAATATGTAAAAAAACAAAATAAAATATACGTGTTTAAGCGTTTTCTTCATTTCTTTGGTTTAAACCTCTTTTATTGTGATTTTCTTTTTTTGTTTTTTGTTTTTTTTTCACCCAAGTTTTACAAGATATATTCGGAAACAAACGTATGTATAGTATTAGTGTTAGTCGTGAATAATAATCTGTATCGTGATGTTCATCAATATTAGAATAATAAAAATTTTGTGTTATCTGAGGCCATAAAATTTGATGTCTATTTTATGAAACCAAGGTTCATTGTTCACGTTCATTCTGTTAGTTAAACATTTTTTTTTATTTAAGAGTCTATTACGCTATACTTTCGGGTCGCGCTCAGGGGTCGGGTAAAGCGGGTGTGTGGCCGAAGGAAAAAAAAATATATTTCAGAAATCTGCCCAAGGCTTAGCCCGATCCTGTCGTGTTAAGCCACACCCAAAATTCCAAACACACGTGCTTTGATAAAGGCTTGATTAAGGTTTGCAGAGCTTCAGCATTTGCCATAAAATAGCGAGCAATTTGTTACAAAACCATATAAATTATATATCACTGTAATCACAAAACTTCAATCTATTTCTGTATTGTAACGGAATTTTAAATTGTCTTTATTTTCGAGAAAATTTAGTCCAAACATAAGAAATATTTTGTTGATGTTTGACCATCAAAATCTTAAAAATAAAGAAGTTATCTAAAATTGTGCTACAATACGGATATAGTATAACCCTTTATCTTTAATTTCCTTCTTCATTTGTGTCAAAATACCTAGCCAGTTTTACATAAAACGTTAAATGCCGAACGCTTATTTTGCTACTTTTTCGGACTAGTGAAGTGGACTCATAATTCTTCATACAATTTTTAAAAATAACCCTTTAATAAATTCCGATCTTCGTATTCTCAAATTTGGGACACCCTGTATACTGCTTACGGGTGTATAATTATCCTTAAGAATCATTCTTCTTCCGTCATTTTCATTGAAAGATACTTCGCTTAAGCAGTATTGACCTTGGATAGTTTTTTGCTGATCTCTTCTTAAAATATCAACGCATTCGTCAAAATTACCCAAATTGTACGTGTCCTTTGTTGGGGAATTTAGAAAAGAACCCAGGGCTACAAGAAAAAAAATATAGACAGGGTGACCCAATGTCCTAGAAACGCTCCATATCAGGTTTCATATTATTTGAGTTTTTCATTGTGGATGTAATTTTTCTAGCAAGTCTACTGAGAACAAATATAATATATACTACAACTTTAGCGTAAAATAATACAGAGTGATTCAAGGTTATGGGTTTCTGGAGAATCGCTGGATATACTGGGTGTTCCATTTAAAATATCAAAGATGCTACTACTTTTTAAATGAAACGGCAATACTCACAATACTGTAATGCTGAAAATAATTTAGAAAGTTAGAGCTACCTTTATGTAAAAATCCAAATTAAAAAAAAACATTGGATGAAAATTTTTTGCCGACATTATTTACCAAAAAACAAAAAATCCATTATACCGGGTGCGTATCAAAAGTGGTTAATATAACTTTTTCATTTCTTCAGATAAAAAAACGAGATTTGGTATGTTAGTATATGATATAAATTAGGACTGTATTTAATAATTGTTTTTAGTCACTTCCTGTTTCACCGGAAATGACTACAACTTTTGATTTTTAAATGACAATCTCCGTATTTTTTCACTTTATTCGATAGAAAATGACACTTTGAATAGAATGACATATCGTATGTCAACTTTTGACATTTTCGCTAAAAAATCGTATTATAAATTTCAACCCAGAGAGCTATGGCCGTGTTACAAACACTAATTTTTAATCAAGGAGCCTTGGAAAAATAGATTTGATCGTCTAATACTTCTCGCCTCTTGTCCTGGCCGGTTAAAAGATGCATAAGTCGTATTTTTAATCATATCTCAATTTTTCAAATGGAACAAGGGTGGCTCATTAGCATATTTGGAAAAGATATTTTTAACGAATAATTTAGTACCACACACTTGGTATTTTGAGTCAAACTGTCGTTATGAACCGCATGTTACAATTTCAAATAAACCATATGCGAAAATGTCAAAATTTGAATAAAGTAAAAAAATACCGAGGGTGTCATTTAAAAATCAAAAGTTGCAGTCATTTCCGGAAGTGACAAAAAACAATTGAATGCCGTCAATTTTAATTTATGTCATATACTAACATACCAAACTTCGTTTTTTCTATCTGAACATATAAAAAAATTATAGGGGGGAGCCACTTGTGAGACGCGCCCGGTATACTACAACAAGGCTGCAACTTTAGCGTAAAACAATACAGGGTGATTTAAGGTTATGGGTTTCTTTAGAATCGCTGGATATACCAGGTGTTTCATTTAAAATAACAAAGATGCTACTACTTTTTAAACGAAACTTTTTTGTACCGAGAATAATGAAAAAAAAAGAGTGAAACCAAAGCAATCAAAAAAACATTCTAAAACAAACTCAAAGAAAGGGAGCTTGTTTGCGTATCCCAATTGCCGAGTGCATCACTTCAAATCTTGCTTTATTTTACAATATTTTATCAATAAGTTATAATGGTACGTTTCAGCAAGAAGTTTTTTGCATGGTTATGTTTAGAAAAATGTCTAGAATGTAAAACAGAAACGTGTTTTCATGTAACATTCTAAAGTTGAAAAACTTGAAATTATGCATTTCCGCAGAGAAATTTAATTTTAGTCAATTTCTATTTGGACAGGCTTCCAAATACTAAATTAACAAATATTTCTTACATAACTAAACTAAACTCAGATGCAAGGAAAACGCAACGGACAAATTTTTCGTCAAGTTTAAAGTGTTATATCTTTTTTTAATTTTTAGTCCTATTTCCTTGATTTTTTTAGCAAACTGTATATAAATATATCAACTTTAATTCGTAAATTCAGTTTATTACAAACTTTAGTATTTGACTTATTATACAGGGTTAATAATAATTAAGAGTTGTTTGTTATCCTATGCAATGCAAAAACACCCTGTGCAATAACTTCATGAGCAAATTTTCCTAAAATTTTTTCCTATTTTTCGGTCAGAACCATGTCAGAACCATGTCTTCTGAATATTTTTATTTTGATGTCAACACATTAGTGATGGCAAAGTTTACAGAATAAAATATAAGTTCGGTCACTTAGCATCGGCACTTTGAAAATCGCGTATCAAAAGCCAGAAGCCGCCTCGTCCGATACGCCGGACGGTAAATAGAAGCCGCATTTTTACCGATCGCAATGTGCGACAAGGTGCAGGGGAACGTGGGGTATTTCAAAAATACCTAATAGTAAATCTACAAAAGAAAAAATATACTATCAGTTTATTGGTGTATTACATATAAATATTTAGACATGGCAAGATAAAAAAAGATATAGCAAAAATAGAATAAATTTTAAAAACAAACACAAAAAATAAAGCTACACAATATCAACAGTAAATAATGTAAAAGTATATTACGTAACGAGTGTTTTGGAAAAAATAATATTACGCATTACGAGTGCAGTATTCAATGAGTGCGTAATATGGTTTTCCAACACGAATTACGTACACTATAAAATTCAAAGCTGAAACTATTAAATGTCAACAACTTTTGATGTTTAAATGGTATACTCGGTATTTTTTACGTTATTCGATAGAAAATGATACTCTGAGTAGAAAGACATATCATATGTCAGCTTTTAACAGTTTCACATATGATTTATTTGAAAGTGTAACACGCGGTTTATAACGACAATTTAACTCGAAATACCAAATGTGTGGCATGAAATTATTCGTAAAGAAATACTTTTTCCAAATATGTATACTAAGAGCCACCCTCTTTCCATTTGAAAAAAATTAAGATATGGTTAAAAATACCATTTGGGCATCTTTTAACCGGCCAAGACAAGGCATGGAAAACATTAGACGATCAAATCTATTTTTCCCAGGACTCCTTGATTAAAGTTTTGTTTTTAAAAGAGCTTTGACACTCAATATTGAAATTTTAAAAGATTTTTTTAAGCTAAAATGCCAAAAGGTGACATATGATATGTCATTCTATTCAGAGTGTCATTTTTTATCGAATAAAGTAGAAAAATGCCGAGGTTGCCGTTTAAAAATCAAAAGTTGTCGTCATTTTCGGTGAAACCGGAAGTGACCGAAAAAAATTGAAAACGTTAATCAATCCTAATTTAGGTCATATACTAACACACCAAATCTCGTTTTTTTATCTGAAAAAATAAAAAAGTTATAGGGGTAAGCCACTTTTGAGACACACCCAGTATATGATTTTTTGTGTTAAAAAATAAAGTGTTCTTGAATAATTCTAATTAGATATTTTAAATAATTTTTTTCCAGTGGCGAAAAACTCAATATTATTTTTAAGAAATAATAAAAATAATTATGCTTTTTTTATAATACACTAATAAATAATTAACTAAGGCTAATGTGATCAGTAACATTTTGCAATGAAAATTAAATAATCACTTGAAAAATAATTCCATATGCATGCGAGACCACTCTGTAATAACGTCAAAATCAGAGTAATACGCCGAACGTGATCCGCCGTGTATGCTGGGTCCAAAGTCCACACACCAGTAATACACTGGGAAACACGTGCGTGAAGCGGCTTTTGATACCTGCCGCCGACACAAGTGACGGAACTTATATTTTATTCTGTAAACTTTGGTGATGGGATGGGCATTACGATTCTTTTTAGTGAATTGAATAACACGATTCAATTTCTCATATTGAATCGACTCCTACGATTCGTTCATTTGAACGAACCACATGCGCAATATACGTTTGAAAAAAACAAGAATCGTAACTGGCACTACAGGCGATAATTTGGTAGGACAATTACTTAAGGGACCAGAAAAAGAAATATACAGTTCTTTCCTTTGTTTGTTAACACTTTATAACACTGGCGTAATTGGATTGATTATTTTACCAATACGTAATATTAAATTATCAATCCAATTTATATACAGGGTGGTCCGAACAGTATTCCGCAAACTTCGGCAGCATATTCTGCAGATAAAAATAAGTAAAAAAGTTCGTATAAATGTATGTCCTAAAATACTTAGTTTCGGAGATACAGGGTGTAGAAGTTTCATTTTTATTTCGATTTTTTTTAATAGTTTCTAAAGTAACGTCAATATCTGTATGAAAATTGGTGTCTGGGAGTTTTGTGACATGAGAAATTTGATTTCGATATCAAAATGACTTCTATTTGTAGAGGGCGCCACCTACATGTGTTTTAACTGTTTTGAAGTGTAATAACTTTTCGACGGTACCTGTATAAAACTATTGACTAAAAAAATAAACATTTCCATGACTTTTTACGTAAAAAATGTCTCTTAGTAAAAATAGTTGGTAATATTATTTTAACAAAAATATTAACGAGAAAATTAAATACCTTACAGATACTCCCGTACTAAGCACAGTATAAATAAGTTTTTTTCTTCGTAAATAACTTTCTTATTGTTTGCATTTTATGTTCATGATGTTTGTTTAGGGCTTTTGCTCAAGTCTAAATATTGGTCAAGAAACGAACGATCGCATTGTGATCCGATTCAATTCCCACGATTCATTTTTACGGCTCATCGTTCAAATCTTATGGATCCGTCTTGCTTTTAAAAGTGACTAATGTTCCATATTAATTTTGTCTCACCCTGTATAACTTTTCGGGTCCAATTTCAATTTGGTTTAACATACAATGGTTACTGTAATTAAATATCAGGCTATACAAGGTAAACTAAAATTTAGGTAGCTGTAATCGAAATTTTCACAACATGTGAAATATGTCAAAAAACTCCCCTTTATTTTTTTCCTAGAATCCGAAAATCAATTAATATATAGGGTGTTCCATTAGAAAAAAACACAACTTTGATGTGTAACTTTTTTTGGAACACCCTGTATACTTCTATATATTTTTATAAAATGCTTTCAGTTAACCTACATATGCTGCCAAAATTTAATTTCGATATAAACTACCGTTCTCCGTGGAGCTTCCGCGGCGTATGAGAGGCGCCACCCTGTATAATCAGCCAAAAAACTACTAAAGTTTATAAAAATCTGAGTATATGAATTAAAGTTGATAGATTTATATTCAGTTTGCT